TATTCTTCATGAAGACTATGATTTACAACAACAACATACCCAACGACTCGAAAATATTTACATCCTTTTTTGCGATGTTTCATAATTATTCTTCTGAAATAAAAATATTGCATAAATAAAAGAGATGGACACACTCTCTCTCTCTCTCTGGAAAACACTAAACCGCCACAATATATATGTATTATAAACGGGAGAACGTTTTAATATTTTTCAAAGAGAATTCATATGATTTTGGCTTATTGCTGTTCATAAAACTGAACAAACATAATCTTTCCTTAATTCGGACCAAAAATTCCAATTTATCGAACAAATTACAATAAATTGAAGAAAAAAAAACCGGCAAGCTAGCATTTTCTTTAAAATACTTTTGAACTACTGACACATTCGAATCAAAGAAAGATTTTTCTAATCCTAACCATCGATTCTTGTGATACTTCAAGAAATTTTTTACGAAATGATATAAAAAAACAATCTTGAAAAAAGTTATGGAAGTATAGAATAGACACAGATATTTTGATTTATCAGATGCTTAGAAGACGTTAAGAAGCACATTCGAATTCTATAATAGAACATAGATTTAATCAATAGACATCAATTGAAATTGTCGAAATTTATCCAACCAATTTAACAAATAATACTGCGATTACATCGATTTCGTTCACAAAGCAGTTAAACTAAAAACACAGATTTATTAATATAAAAAAAAATAAAAAAATAAAAAGAAAGATACAGATAGATTGAGAATGACTTTTAGATATCTAGACATTTTATTTATGTACATTGTTAATGCTAGAACAAAAAACCAGTAAAGTACAATTAAACTATTTTGTCATATTAATAAACTAACAAAATGAAACCTTTTGAAGTTATTACCGAACGCTAATTATAATGAAAAAAATCACGAATTCATATGAAATTGAAAATATCCTGGTAAATCTATACATTTGTCCAAAATTGAAGAAGAAAGAAACATCCCTTACATCAACTAATAATTATCAGGTGTATATAAGTACATAAAAAACCGGATACGAGAAAACTGCTTTAAATATGAGGAAAAATCTTTTCGTAATATCTCCAAGGTATTTATCGATTACATTACGATAGTGCCAGAATTTTGGTCAAACTGAGATCAATCGATTATGATAAAAACGTTGACGATTGGCATATTTTAAAGAAACATTCGAAATTGACATACATTATCTGTATGGTTCGCTTGAATAATTGAATGTGTTGACCTATTTATTTTTTATACAACATTTTTGCTCAAAATTTCGGATAAATATGATTTTACTCAACAATTTGGAAATAAAAAGAAATGTTATCTCTTTAAGTCATGGTGAATATCGTTATGAATAGTCTGTGATTATATAATAATTTTTCAAATTTTGTGATGTCATTATATTATCAATCGTTTGCTTATAAAAACTATCAAATTCCGAGAGAAAAAAATTAATTTATTTATTGGGCACTGTAATATTCATTCGATTCAAATGAATGCGAAAATCTTCTGACGGTTTCTGTAAACTCATTTGATTATCGTCCATCACAACTATTATAAAAAAACAACCCGTGCGAGAAAGGTCCTATAGATATGAATATTAATCGAAAGTCCAGAACAAAAAAAAACGTTTTTGATTTCCGCTAATCGATTGCAATTCCACTAAATTCTCACTTAAACAAAGTATGTACAAAAAATGTATTGAAAATGATAGAATAGATAAAGAAAAAAGGTATACCTCAAGAATGGACAAATACATAAAGTGATATAGCCATACAAACGTTCATCCAACGCAGCAAAAAAATAACAAACATTCGATAAATTTCTCCCACCTGTCTTCATCTTTTTGTTGATACGGATTGAAATTGTCGAGCAATTGTTCATTCGGTTCACTTTGATGATGATGTAACTCATTTAGTCCAATGGTTTCGTCTGGTTTCATTTTCGTCGGTGCAATAACAATCGGAGTTAGATCACCATATAATGATGCTGTCATTGACATATTTTGAATGCGATTGACCGTCATAAGATCAACTAAATGAACAAAAAAAATTATAATATAAATGTAGGGCATGTTTAAAGTGAATTCATCTCATTCAAATTTACCACTTTTTCGTTTAGTTGCCAGAGAGCATTCAGGAAGCGGTTCGTCTTTTTCGATTGTGCACGCTTCAAAATGTTCATGCTTACTATGTTTGGTTGGTGGCGGTGGCGGCGGTGATTTTGGTGATGAATTTCTTCTTCTTTCTTGAATTATGACTTTGACATTCTCCACCTGATTCACAATATTTGGTATTGGTTTTGGTCTTAAATTACTTTCAGCATCGATACGCTCTGTTTTATCCGAATCATTGTTTTGTCCATTTGCTATTGAAGATATGCCATTTATACCATCAGCATCTATTCTCACACCGTAAAATATTATATAAGTAATGAAAATGGAATGTAAAAAAAAAAATCAAAAATATACATACAATCGGATTTCCTTGAAACAAATGAATTGTCCTCATTTAACGTGTCAATCGATGTGTGTGTGATGAGTGGTGCTGTGACAATAGTTTGATCGCTTTTATTCCGTGTTCCATTTTTTTTCGTTGATATTGACAGGCCGGGCGTTGCTTTCGGTAAACACACAATGCCTTTGTTCTTTTCAAACAATGCCAAGCGTTCTTTGAGTGACATTTCGGCCGGATCTTTTTTGTTGGGCGGTGATTTGCGATCGAATATTGCAGCGCATGCATTTTGTACAAATCCTTTAGATTTTGTAATATTTAATTCGAAATTTTTTTGCGGCTTTGGTGGTAATGCTGGCTTACGGCCCACTGGTACAGCCGTATTTTTCACGGTACAAATGTTATGCGGTTCACGTTTTATAATGTTGCTATTTGCGTAAATCGTTTCAAAATTTATTGGTTTTTCCACTTCGTCTTCATCTAAATTTGCTGTTATTGATACCGGTTCTGTGCTACTATTTGACACAACATCGTCCAACTAAAAAAAAAAAAACATCATAAATCCACAGTAATTACAAAGCAAAAAAATCTAGAACAAAGTAATGAAATGTGATGAAACTCACTTCGACCCCTTCTTCGTGATCGATTTCATTTTCACTTTCAATCGCATTGCATTCGTAATGAAGGCTTATTGAAGTTGTTGAAAATTTATACGCTTTACAGCGACGGTCAATTTCACTAAGCATTTGTTGTGCAAACGAATCCATGCCGATAAGAACTAAAAACGAAAATGTTATGTTAATCCAATATACGTAAAACAATGCACTGCAGATTGATTATAAAATGTTCCATTGAACCTTGACTAAGTGCAATCGATGAGCAGTACGTTTTTTTTTCGTTTCGTTCACAAATAAATCTATCAAAAGGTAAATGCTTTGAAATCGATTTGATAGCTATGCGCACCCATCAAAACAGACAATAACAATTGAAAAATATTCCTTTGAATACAAAATCGTTCGGTTTTCTTTTTTTGGTCAATCACTTTTTCCTGACAACATTCAATAAACAAGAGAATCGACGTTAAATTCAAAACAATTTTTGTATGTCACGCTGTTTGTATCGCATACACACACTTACACAGACAAACTGATCGTGTTAAATAAGAATCGGCTATGCACCACCACTACTATGCCTGTGATATATTGCATTCCAAGCTCACGTGTTTCAACTAATCAATGTATTGAGCAAGTGAAGCCATTTCCATTGCATTCGATATGATTTTTTTTTGTTACAGACACACAAGCACACACACACACATCGACAGCGAAATGAATGCACAAAAGAATAGTGCGATACAAAACCGCATTGTAAAAAATGAGACAGATAGCGATTTAACCGCATGCTAGCTAGTGAATAGTTTATGCGGGTCACTAATACTATCTCTTTCAGTGCTATGCGGTATGCTTGTCGACAAATGATATATTCCTTATGTTTCCACTGTTCGATTATCAGACTTACGTATGTTCGGTATGCTGCATACAATATGAGTATTACAAAAAAAAAAAAATATGCGTAAAAGATCCCTATCGAGGGCGTACACATTTAAAAGGATTCGAGTATTAACATGATTTCTGTGGCAGAAAGAAATAAAAAAGACATTCAGAAAATTTAACGAATAATTCGAAAACTGGACAATTAAATCGAAGAAAAAAAAATGCAAACATTTTGGATGATTTTTTCGGTTGGAAGCTAATTTATTATATTAAATGCGTATTTGTGTGTATTTTTTAGTCAAAGAAAGTATTCAAAAACAAATGGAGGAACTGCAGTCGCATGGTCACTTATATTCATACAATTCACGCCAAAATCATTTTTTATACTAAATTTCAAGCACTCTTCAAATGAATACATGTGGTTACAGTTGGGACTTATAACATCAGACTAGTAAGATAGTTATTACTTATTACTAATAACTTCTAATAACTGGTAATAAGATGTCATCTTATTAGTGTAATAAGTATAATAATAAGTACTCACAGAAGACGTCAGTTGTAATATTTGTGAACTCTGGTAGTAATTTACTAAATTACCACCATTACAATGTGCGGCATGGTGATTTTTGTATGTATTGTATATATTTGCTTTGCTGTGACAGCGCTGTACAGTATTACCACCAACACTGCGTTGAGCGATAGTAATATTGTTGCAAATAAGTATGATTCAGTATTTGCAAACTAGTATTCTATGAAATACTATTGTCATTTAAAAAATAAAAAATATATTTCATTCTTTCAATAGAGTTCAAACTATTCAGTTGTTTTATTATCCAACAGGGTTATGGGCCCAGACTACGCTATTTAAAACAAAAGAATAAAGTTAAGAACAAAAAAAAAAAAAAATTAAATTGATTGAATCACAAAATGGAGAAAAGTCCAAAAATTGAAAAATTAAATAATACAAATTATTATACATGGAAATACAAAATTGAATTATTATTAATCAACCAAGGAGTATGGACTGTTATTAGAGATGAACTACCAAGTACGACACGACAAATTCGAGAATGGCGTAAAAAGGATGACATAGCAAGATCCCTAATTGGCCTAAATGTCGAAGACAGTCAATTGGTACACATCAGAGGCAAGACAACAGCATTAGAAACTTGGAACGAATTGAGAAATGTACATGAAAAAGATACACTTACAAACAGAATATCTTTGTACAAGAAAATTGCATTACTTCGAATGAACGAAAATGAAAAAATTGAAAATCATTTAAATCAACTAAGTGAACTATTTCAAAAATTGTCTGATCTTGGTGATGTACCATCTGAACAATGGAAAATAGGAATGGTATTTGCGAGCTTACCATCAACTTACTCAACGCTTGTAACAGCCTTGGAAGCACGATCTGAAAGGGATTTGAAGTGGAGTTTGGTGTATACAAAATTATTGGATGAGTATCAAAGACAACACGAAACGCAAGAATATGAATTGAAACATCATGAAGAAAGAGTGCTGAAAACTACACACAAAAGCTACTGTAACTTCTGTAAGAAGAAAGGACATGAAATGGACAATTGCTTCAAATTAAAACGATTTCAACAGTTTGAAGAATTCGAAAAATATTTGGAACAACAGCGAAAAATTGAAAAAGATGAATTGGTAATTAACGAAATTCATAGTGACAACGAAAAAGAAGAAGAAGTGATATTAAATATAAAAGAAAATGATAACCGTGATTTGCAAAATTGGACCATTGATTCGGGAGCAACAAGACACATTTGCAATAACAGAAAAATGTTTAAAGACCTGAAGAAACTTGAAACTCCGCTTGAACTAACTTTACCCAATGGACAAAAAGTATTTGCGAAAAATCAAGGAACTTTTTCAATCAAAATTTTGGATGAAAACGGCAAATCAAAGAAAATACAAATAACAAACGTAGTATACGTGCCAGAATTAAAACAAAATCTACTGTCAGTAACAAAAATAAATCAAATGGGATACATAGTTTTATTTGATGAGAATCGTTGTGAAATACGTAAAAAGAACAAAGTAGTGGCTACTGCGAAATTAAAGGGAGGTTTATACAAATTGTGTATTGAGAAAAAAGAAAGAGAAAAGAAAAATGATGAAGAAAACATTTGTGAAATTTTGACAAATTTTGTAATAAAATGATGTTTCCAAATTTACTGAATCAAGGGGGAAATGTTGCAAATAAGTATGATTCAGTATTTGCAAACTAGTATTCTATGAAATACTATTGTCATTTAAAAAATTAAAAATATATTTCATTCTTTCAATAGAGTTCAAACTATTCAGTTGTTTTATTATCCAACAAATATTGCTCAGCAAAGCACATACAATACATACAAAAATCACCATGCCACACATTGTAATGGTGGTAATTTAGTAAATCACCACCAGAGTTCACAAATATTACAATTGACGTCTTCTGTGAGTATAGTTATTAGAATGTTACTAGTCAGAAGACTAATAAGATGCATGTATCTCATTATTATAGTTATTGGTATAGTTTCTCATCAGTATATTTCGATTGATGTTACTAGAATCAAATACTGCTGAAACACGAAAAACAAATTATAATTAAAACTGGAAAAATCTTCAAATCGATTTTTCTCGCTTTTCCGATGGGAAATCGAGGAAAATAACGAAAATTCGGTACCATCATTGGGGCCCCATTAATCTTAAATATTAAAATTTATTAAAAATTATATTTCTAAAATTAAAAATAATTAAGCTCTTTAAAAAATAATTTATAAATAAAATTCCTATTAATAAAGGTAAAGAAGCTAATAAAGTATAAAATAATAAATATAAACCAGCTATAATTCGTTCAGGTTGATACCACGAGTACTCAACTTCTAGAACATTTTGGGTCAGGTCGGATCCACCTATTCCACAAGATTCATGTCCAGATCATTTTTTCCCGCTCCCTCTCATACGATATCATACGGGGATATTATGAGTAGTGAACGGGATGTCATGAGCTGGAAGTCGGTCTTGACCCACTTTGGGCCAGGTCGGATCCACCTACTCCACAAGATCCACTACTCATTATATCGTCACGTTCACTACTCATAATACCCCCGTATGATATCGTATGAGAGGGAGCGGGAAGAAATGATCTGGACATGAATCTTGTGGAATAAGTGGATCCGACCTGACCCAAAATGTTCTGGAAGTTGAGCACTCGTGGTCCACTCCCTTAATGGGGCCCCAATAGGGGTACCGAATTTTCGTTATTTTTCTCGATTTCCCATAGGAAAAGCGAGAAAAATCGATTTGAAGATTTTTCCAGTTTTAATTATAATTTGTTTTTCGTATTTCAGCAGTACGAGTATTTGATTCTAGTAACATCAATCGAAATATACTGATGAGAAACTATACTAATAAGATACATGCATCTTATTAGTCTTCTGACTAGTAACATTCTAATAACTATACTTATTACTATACTTATTAGTGCAAAAAAATAATAAGTAATAATATAGTTTGATCTTATTAGAATGATAAGATAATAAGATGAATAATAAGATACCGAAAATGCCCAACTGTACATGTGGTTTGTTTTATACTTACTTCAATTCGTAATATTGTCGAATTCGTAATATTTACACTATATTTGCGTAATTTTGTTATGGGCAATTGCAATGGGAGTTCATTTAGAAAGTGCTATTTATTCATGCGGAACCGATTCCGACCATTTGAATTATTCATCTTTTAATATGATTTGTTAAGTAATCGGAAATCTTTTTGGTTCCTATGTATTAAGCGCCCGAAATTTTGGTGATGCTTAATAGCATCTAATGCCAAATTATGCTATGATCATCTTGGCCGATCTCTTTCTAAGAAAGAGAATTCAGCTTAAATAAAATCAAATATTCCAATGAAATCGATTTTATTATAGTTTCGATGATGACGGTCGAGATTTGCTCCTTTGGCCTTATCGAATTGAAAAACTTGTTGTCCACAATCCAATCCCACTGAACGAATGTAATGCACAAGATACAAGTATAAAACACACGGGAAATATACACAAAGGTACAATAATTGTGTACAATACGTGGATATTTTATCTGTAATTTGTGCAAAATGTGAGGATTATTGATTTTTTTAAATAAAAAATAAGACATCTATTATCAATTGAACAATTGTCAGCGAATTTTGAGCAGAACGAAGAAGAGACAATCAATTTAAATTAATTTTTTTATTTTGCTGCTAATAGGAGCTCAGTTCATCAGTGCTCCTCCGGCACCTCGGAACGCTCCCCCTCACATATATTGCTCTGAGAAACAGTCTCTGAAAAAAACGGCAATTCATGGTGTTTTAATTCACATTCATTTATTAGTAAGCAAAAGTATTCTTTTTACTTCCTTTAAAGCAATTGAACATTGTAAATTAGTAATTCAAATTTGATTCCTTATATGTTCTTTATTCGAATTGCTATAATAAATAAATTTTGATATATTTATTTTGGATAAAATAGATGAATTAAATTGTGTTGAATATTCAATGTCTAGATTAGTTAATTTTAAATATGAAAAACGGTCACAAGGCACCGTAAATAATTATGAAATTATTTGGTTTCAAAAATGATATAATAGTACATAGCACACTTTGAATACGGTTCATGCATGCCTAATTAAGGCGTACTCATTTCTTTTAAACGAAAACCTGGAAAATATGCACCAAAAGTACAATACTGTGAAATATATTTGAACTTATTCTGGGATCGATTCAAATAACACGATACCCTTCATTTTCAAGTTTTAAATTATTCATAGCATCGTTGTAGCCCATTTAAGTTTTCCGCCTTATTTGGAAGAGACTAAAACAATTATTTATAGTTCTATGAAGCAATGCTAAGATAAGAGGTGCTACTGGCACCACCGAGGTGCAGCCACTTTTCTTGATACTCTTTCTTCAGGTGCGGCACATGGAAAATTATACGGAATTAAGGAACTCATGTGTATCCTCACATCTCCGGTGTCAATAACAGTTCTGGATAATAATGATATAAAATTAATTTCAAACCAATTAATTCTCGTCATCTTCATGTGAATCAAAAAGGCTTGGACTACTAATGGATAATATTGACGATATATCATATTCATTTTGGAATTCATTCAATGTGTGTTTATGTGTAATTTTTCTTGGTTGACTGTTTTGACATAGGCTGCTGTCGATTTGTGGCGTAAGCTGTGCTGTTTGCATTTCCCTTATATTTTTGCTCCACATTTGCATTGCTCGGTGTCGGTTCTGTGTAGCTTTGTTGTTGCTGTTGCTGCTGCTGCTGCTGTGGTTGTTGTGGTTGTTGTGCTTGTTGTTGTGGTGGTGGTAGTTGTGGCTGTTGCTGTATTTGTGGCTGTGTCGCGTGATTTTTTCCAAGTTCAGATGTTCTTGGTGTGGTTCTTTCTTGGTACAAGCCAACATTGTATTGTTCTGATTGGTATGATAGTTCATTTGGCTGGTCACTTGGCTGATATGCTGATTGTTCATAGTCTTTTGCATCATATCCTTCATATCCCGTTTGGTATTCATACTCATTTTGGGGCTGTAATGCGTTTGTGTTGTATTGATTTCCGTCATAGTCTTGTTGTTCAACATATTGTGAAGCGTCATATTCTCCGGTTCCATAAATATTATCGGGTTGTTCGTAATGTGTTTGGGAATAAATTTGATCTTGGTGTTGTTGTTGCTGCTGCTGAAGCTGCGGTTGCACTTGGGTTTGAAGATCTTTTTCATAATCGTATTCATTTTGTGCATAGCCCGTGACTGCTTCATTTCTCTTATTTTCCTCAATTGATTGGACTTCATCATAGAACCGGATTGAGCCTTTTCGTCGGAGATCACTGGACTGGAATTGTTCATTGTCGGGTGATGTTCGGTTTGATTTTGGCTTTTCTGTTTCAAAGCTGTCTTGGACGTATTTATCACCGGACTCGGTTGCAATTGCATCGCTGACCGGATTTGCTTCTGGCTTGAAAAATCCTTGAATGCTTTGTTGTGACAGTCGACGTTGAGTCTCATACAAAGATCCTCGGCGACTTTGTTGACTTGTTCGTCCATTTGATTCGGGTTTGAATGAGCTTGATGGGCTAACGCATGTGCTAAGTACTGATTTAGGCTGTTGCTACATTCCAAAATACACAAAAAACAATCGAAAATGTTTGATTTTTTTGTTTTTATCATTTTTATATAGTGTTATTAAAATACACCTACCATCGTGTCGATTTCATAGGGTTCGCTAACTGCTCTGTATGGTGTATGTTCTCTGTATGGTGAGATTGGTGCTAAAAATTAAAAACAAAAAAATATTTCAAATTTAAATTCTATTTCTTATGTGTCGTCGATTTAAAAAAAAATATTTCTATTAAGTATGTTTTCTATGGCATGCCATCATTATGGCCCTTCATTAGGAAAACAAACTTTTCGGTAATTCTTTCACTTTCTACATGCAATGGTTCACATTTAAAATTTCCCAATGATCTTACGTGATGAAAACACGCTCACACCAGTAAACAAAGAGAGTCAGCTTGATGCATAAGAAGCATATTTCATACAAAAAGATGACAATTCATTGAACCAAGACAGAGGCAATATCGAATCGTGGCTCTTCTCTCTCATTTGATGTACAATTACCGAATGTGATATTTATATTGTTGTTGTTACCATGTGTGGTTGGTTTTTATCACCGTTATCTATTGTTTGTATTTTGTAAAGTGCTGTGTACTAGCCAAGGCTGATGTAAATAAATTAATGTTATTGGATTTCACGCCATTCAACAAAAACATTTGATTTGTTTTTTTTTTTTTTTTTTTTTTGTATAGATACATTCTTCAACCGGCTGTCGACCGATTAACACCTATCCTACGAGTTCTATCGTAAATTTAATCAACAAAGAAAATTTTTGCAATTTTGCATGTTAATACAAAAAGGAAATCATTTGGACCAACGGCAAAAAATCACATTTCTCAGGTGAGAATTTTTTCGTTGAAAAGAAGAAATATTTTTGTTCGTTGAAAATTTCAAACATTTTTCGGACATGGTGCTCATCTTTATTGTATTCAGGTGCGGCATTTGAAAAATGATACGAAATAAGTGCGGATCCTCACTTCTCCGGTATCAATAACAGCTCTGAACTTAGAAAATCCATTTGGTTCATTAAGGCTTTATTAACATTTCAAGTAAAATTTGGTGTCAAAAATGCGAACTTTGGCTCTGGTTTAACTGTGCTAACTGCAAAATGTTCAAGAATGAATCGAATGGTTTTGAAATGTTCGCAGAGAAATTGGACTGACGCTATAAATAAATTAGCGCATATTTCATAGCAAATATAAATTGGCAATATTCGCACTATATGTTGTCCGGCGACTCGCCGCTTGCGTCGTCTATTGACTGTACGCAAGACGTTTCTTCTTAGTTTGCTGCCACTGTGTATGTCTTGAGCTGTATGAGTATTCATGTTCGACACATGCAAACGACGAGTCTTGCTTACAGTGTGTATACGATACGCAGAATAAATTACATCGCATTATTAGCGATAAATTAAATCGGACACAAACTCGACTTCAATATACACAGAATTGATAAACAATACAATTTGCAAATGAAGCAATTTTTTGATTTGAATTTTTATTTACATTCTGGATAGCCATTCTTTGTCGATTTTCTTCTTCATTTCGCTTGAATATGCAATTTCAAACGTATGCTTTATAAAGAAAATATGAATACATTAACTGTGAACGCGCTCTATACCCTTCCTGTGTGTGTGTGACATTATATTTTAAAACTTGGTGCGGTGTACATTATAATATAGATAGCAAAATTGTATATAACATTATATTCTTGACGTTTCTGTGTCTCGTTTCAATGTGCACTCCAAAAGTAATTTCACAATATCTCAACCAATAATAGTCGTTCTTCGGAGTGTCACCATAGTCGAAACATTGTTTATTGTGATTTGAAATAAAATACAGTTTCATTTGATCTGTAGTTATGGGTTCGAGTTCATCTTCTTCGAGGGTTGTAGACGGCCGCCGGACAGATGATAGAAATACCACAATGCATTACAACACACCGACTGTATATTCAGCTTATGTAAGTTGCCTGAGTTCGTATGTTTACGTTTAAAGAATTGATTTTTTTGTTTCATCCATTTAGCCGTCATATGGTGCAAGTAGTGCCAACACAGGTAATACTCGCGTACACACCCAGTACTCTGGAAATACATCCAGTACTTTTAGCTCTTCAACATCTTATCCATCACCACAACCGCACGCCCAAACCCAATATGTATGTTAATTATTGTCTGGGGTCAAAGTTTTATTCTAATCGAATTTTTTATATTTTCTTAAAACAGAATCCATCAATCGACCTTCGTCCACAATTCCGATCAATTCGATCATCAACTCATATTCCATCATTTAATCAACTTGAAGAAGATGATGTCGCAAGAGCTATTCAAAATTCGCTTAGGGAAAATTATTCCAATCAAACAACAAATGTTCGAACGTCAACGATGGTAAGTCACTATCAAAATTATCTTCAAAAATGAATGCTACAACTTATAAATTGCTTTTGATAGCTATTATCTTCATCGTCATCGCAAAGATTAAATAATGATAGTACGAAAATGAACAAAGTGACAGCTGAAACAAATGCGTCCAAAGGTGAAATGATACTTGATTGCAGTATCTGTATGGATTTTAAGGAAAACGACGAAATTGTAGCAACGCAATGCGGTCATATATTTCATAAAGGATGTGTTTCACCATGGATTCAAGAAGCTGGAACATGTCCAACTTGTCGATTGCGAATTTCAATTGCATCGTTGCTTAAACTTTTTGTTAATGTCAATCCCAAACCTACTGAAACCACAACGAATTCCAATGGAAAAAATGGTGCCAATCTCAATTCTGTGAAACCTGCATCGACTCCCAATGGAACAAATACTGTCGATACCAATATTAACTTTGACACAATGTTTTTCTTGGCGAGGAATGCACGTAATACAAATACTACATCGATTTCCAATAGAACAAATACTATCAATTCTAATCCGACGGGACTGTTAGTGACTCCTACAACGATGAACACACGTAATACAAATACTGCGACATATTCAAATTTATTATCGACCTCCAATAGACCAAATACTGTCAATCTCAATCCTACGAGACCCACAGTGACTGCCACAACGATCAATGCATGTAATACAAATACTGCGAGCAATTCTAATTTTGCATCGACTTTCAATTCAACAAATACTCGTAATAGAGTTTTCAGACCCCGTTTACCCGCATCGACTGTCAATTCTAATCCAGCGGGACTGACAGTGACTTCTACAGCGATTAATGCACGTAATACAAATACTGCGACACATTTAAATTTATTATCCACATCCAATAGACCAAATACTGACAATCTCAATCCCACGAAACCTACAGTGACTACCACGACGATTAATGCACGTAATACAAATACTGCATCGACTTCCAATAGAATAAATACTGCCAATCTCGAAACCCGTGTATCCACATCGGCTTCCAATAGAGCAACTTCTGTCAATTCTAATCCTACGGGATCCACAGTGACTTCCACATCGACTAATGCACGTAATACAAATGCTGTTACATCGACTTCCAATGCAACGAATCCTCGTAATACAGGCGCAAGGAACCGACGTCGAAACAAACGGACACCGGCAATGTTTGGTCGCTCAATTTGGTGTTGCAGTAACAATAAAAATATGACTGAAGAATTGCTTGCCGATATTATATTGCAACACTTCCACATTGAATCGTCAAAAGTTTCAATTCGAAGCTTACAAAAGCAAAATGCAATCGCAACACGTCAAACCTATGTTTCATTCAAAATAAGCGTCGACACGGAAAATACGTTCAACGTCTTAGTGAATAATTCGATATGGCCAAATTCGATCCGAGCTCGTGAATTTATGGAAAAAAAGTGAAAAATATTTTCCCAAAAGAACGTAGATGAAATGAGTGTTCAAGAGATAATTTCGTAATCTCTAACTAATCACTCAAAATCCTTGACCAAAAAAAACATACTCACTTACAACGTGAATAGAAATGCTCATTCATTTTCACACAAAACAAAAACGAAATCATATCTTCCATATTTGATATCAATTCAGCCAAAAGAATTCACTTCATTTTTATACATTTTATAAAGCTCAACTTGAAAGAAACTATAAATGATAATGTCAAAGGATGAGTACGAAACATTTATCAAAGTCATGAAGAACCCTAAAGGGTTAGGTCAACATACTCTTTTTTTCTAGCAAAAATATTGTAATTCCTTCCGAAGTTTTTTTCCTAATAAAAGCATTTGATAAGAAATTGGAAACACTTTCACTGAACTGGACCTTTATTTACAGGATTTACTCGATAAACGGCTATCAAAAAATTTAATTTTGCCAAAGTTAAATGAATCAATTTTTGAACGTTATTGGTGAAAAAGTGAACAAAGTCTTTTAATTTTCTGAAATATGCCCGAAAAATTCTCTTTTCAAAAAAATGATAGAGATTTGAGACGGCTACTTAAAAGCCATACAGATAATTTCGTTGGTTTTAAGCACATGTTTTCATTTTAAATAGAATAGATAAAATCAGTGTGATGGAAATTGGTAAATGGTATTATTTTACCTTGATTAGTATCTTGTTCGTATTTAAAATTGTCTTCATTATCTGTTTTATCAATGTTATTTTCGATTTTAGTGGTTAAGTAGTCAACATTCGATTGAAGTGTATTCATTTCCTGCCTTCGAATTTGAAAAGCATAAACCATCGTCCAGACATGAGTTTTGTACATGAAAATATTGCAGTTGAACGAAATGCAGCAAAAAGGAAAAAGAAAAATGTCCACATTAGTTTGATTTGTATATTGTGATTACCTGATATTCGGCAGGATACTTGTTTGCAGTGCTTGTATACGAATTAAGTACGTGGGTATCCTTTAATTTATCCGTTAGAATAACGTTTGTGTGACCTAGTTGTGCCCTTTCTTTTCTTTAATTACCAACCGATAAATATGAAAAAAGTGATAATTGATAAAAGCAATCATTAACAAAAGGCAAAAAAAAATACAAATATTTTAAAACATCATGCAAAAAAAAATAATAATATCATCAATATAATACCAAAAAAAAGAAACCATAAGCTTAATCACGTTTTAACTCAATTTTCTTCAATTCAAATAATTATTTTTTTTCCTTTGATCCAATTGATTGATGCAAAAATGAATAAAACACATCGTATTAAGTGTGTTATAACTTATCTGGTGCTCTTAGAAGAGAAAAGTGTAATCGTTCTTCCTCTAATTTTATACAATGATAAATGAATATGAATTTTACCTCTGCCAAAAGACTATTTGCATTTTATAATCTATCTAGAATAATTTAAACAAACTCGCATTCCACCGTTAAATTCACTTTATGTATTATTATTTTTTATTGATTTCGAGAAAACATTCAATCTACATCGGCACCACTAATCTTGGTTTTTGGAATTTTGGGCACAAATTTAACGCTCACATCCACTTTGATTGGTAATTTATTTGACATAGATGGCTCTTCTCTTGACTTTTGGAACGTTGAATCCAAAGGTGGTGGAGAGCTCATCATTTGTGATTGTTGAATATCGGTTGTTTGAATATCGTCCAATTGTTTGTTTTGTTGGCCGTTGGCCAACAATGGTGTATGCGTTTGCCTCACATTTTTCTTCAGCGAAGTGTACTCGTTTCTTCGTGTTTCCGCTGCCATTTTGTGCCCTGACAATCCAAAAACTAAGAATTAGCACCTATTACTTTAAAATGCGAAAAACAACAAAGTGCAATAATAAATGCAAATCTAAAAGCAAAATCACTAATCAATTATTTGTTGATAATTGTTTTTCAAAAAAAAGCATGCGATTTAAAGCGTATAAGGACTAAATATGAAATTTACTTATGCTTGAGTGTAGCATCCTCTAATTTATTAGTTAACGTTTTACATTCGGCGGTCAGTTTTTCCATGAGCTGTCTTTGACCTTGAACCATGCCTTCCAATTCGGATACCGTAGCAACTAATACACAAAAAATACATATTATATATTGATATGATTTAATAAAATCGTAAGTGAAAAAAAAAAAAAACATTTATTGGGTGAAACCAACCAGATATGAATAGCATTTGCATAATGGAAGTATGAAAAAAAAAAGATTTGTGTACACCATTCACTCATTTCTGAAGTGGAACTTTATATTAATCTAAACTATGAATATAAAATGGTAGCATATAGTTTAAACCATCTTCTAAAGATATAGTATTTCGCTCATGGATAAACTATTGACATCGCCAATACATCTACAATTTGATTGTTGTTTTCAATTTCGAACTTACTACGTCTACTCTAAAGTCAGTGCATTCAAATTGCACATCGATTGAGTAAATTATCGCCATAGTGACATGCCACTCGTTTACTTTGAGCTGGTGTACACAAAGTGCTCACCTATAAATTACAAAATCGGTCAGCACAAGTGCGTTCAATTGTACTTAGAGCGAAAATGATTGACTATTGATACAAGCTGTACGGTAAACACTTTGGGTATTCGGTGCATTTCTGTTGCACTCACTAAATTTATACAAAAAATTAACCAATTAACGACCGCTGATGGTGTCTCTTTTTTTTTTCAAGTGTGGTGAAGATTTTCATCGAAAGAATGCAAAATGGCACAAAATGCAGAAAAAAATTTAAGATCCAGATGTTTTGATCAATGAAATGGATTTACCCTAATCCCGATTTGTTCTTGCACGAATCATGCTGAGCACGATATGAAATGGATTTTATCGAAAAATGCAATAAAAAATATATATGTACGGTCGTCAATGGGTTAATGTTTCGTTATGTTTTAAAGCAATTTTTTGGGTTCAACAGCAGCTTGCTCATCTCGTAAAAAGATAAATTAATAACAGTTTAACAAAGCGATATTCGACTGAATTGGGACGTTTTGTGATTGAAATATTCCCATAATTTTGAGCATCTCACGCGATTGCTCTTTATATTTGATTTGATTTCGGGACAAACGGATGAAAAAAAAATAGTTTTTTAGGAAGATTTTTTTCCCTATAAAAGTCATATGCTTTCGTGGAAGTTTATATGAAGTTTTGTCAGTTGAATACACTCCCATCACATCAAAATTTAATTCCTTTTTTTATTAATATTTTTCTATTCAACTGAATTGCACAGTCAAAAAGTCCCAAATTAGTTGACTATCACATTCAGTTACTCTGTAACCATTTTTTTTTATCTATAATAAACAAAAACTTTGTATCAACTTACGGTGCTTTGATTCCATATCTGACATTAATTTGGTCAGTTCTTTGCTTGGCCTTGTCTCTCGATTCAAATCTCCCAAAGTGATCTAATTGTAAGAAATAAAATTGGTATATAGAAATTATTTTTCTTATTAAAAAAAAATCTTGTTCAAAATAATTTATAATCATTTTTTTCAAAAACTTATTTATTAGGCAAACTTACTTCTTTTTCGAGAGCTGCAACTTCATCGCTCAATCGTAAGTTTTCGCGTTTTGATTGAAGTAAATCGGCATCAGCTCGATCTAGACGCTGACGCAATGACATAATTTCTGCATTCAATCGTGATGATTCGACTTTTGTTTGTCGTTCTGCACGTTCTAGTTGCATACGCAACGATGTTATTTCTTGTTCCAATGATTGTTTTTCAGCATTTACTTGAGCTATATCGGACAGTAATGATGTCGTTTTCTGCTTCATTTCGCTTCGAAGATCTTCAATTTGTGAGTTTTTTTGTGCTAAATCTCGACGATAATCGGCCTCAGCTCGCTTTTGACGTTCCAATTCCAATTGTAGCCGAGACGCAGTTTCCCATTGACTACTCAAATCACCATCGACTTGTTGTACATGATAACTATACCGTCTTTCAGCTAATGAACGTTCTTCGGCAATTTTTTTTGTCATTTCAAGTTGCATTTCACGAACGCGACCATGTTGACGTTCAAGTTCCTCGCGTAATCGACGAATTTCAATGTCGGACTGTGCCTTTTCAAAAGCACTTTGCTCAACAAGATCCCGGGATCGTAAAGAATTTGAAAAATTTTGAGCATCATTCGCTTTTAACGAATCGACAATACATTGCAATTTTCGTACATTATCCTCAAGCGACTTCTTTTCTCTGAAATGAACAAACAAACAAAACCATTAATATTTTCGTTGTATTTATTCAATTTCATTTTATATACCGTTGCAAAGTTTTGATTTGCCTGTTTTGTACATCAGACGTTATGGCATTGCTGGTAATCCCTTCGCCATTGGCGAGTCTCTGTTTGTATTGATTGTTTTCTTGTGTAAGTTTTTTTATGTCAATTTCAGCTTGGGCCAATTGAGCTTCGAGCTCACTAATTCGAGATTCAAAAACAATATTCGGTCCGGACAATTTAATTTTCTCGTGTTTTTCCTTTGATGTGGTTCGGTAATTATAATCATTGCTACCACTATCTGATGTGTCCGATGCAATTGTGCCCAATTTTGTTTGTTCGGTTAAAGCTTCATTTTCCGATATCACATCTTTTACTTTGGTCAGAACATTATTCAGTTCACCCTAAAGTTATTTGCATTCGATTAAATGAAAAGCTAATTTTTTGTTGTCATTGACCTACCCGACAAAAGTGTGACTCTCGTTCAAGTTGTTCAATGTAACCTTCCTGCTTTTCGATAAATTGAAGCAATTCATTATTGGGCTTGGCCACTGATATGGCAGTCGGTGCAGCTGGACTTACATATTGACTTACTGGTTGAAGGCTTGCGATTGATTCGGCCGATTTTAATCTTGTTGGCTGAGTGCTATAGCTCGAATGAGGGTGAGAGTAGCGTGATAAACCAGATGATGGAATGTATTTGGATATTTCGGACAGCGCTGGCCTTTCGATTACCTATCGTACAAACATTGAGTTTATTCTCTTTGGTAAACAATTTAGCGTAAAATAATGTGTGGCAAAATATTTGAAGGACACTGCGCCTTGGTTCATTTAATCAATTTATGTGTATAGAAATATAATTATGTATTGGTGTTAGACAACACTACACTTCTAATTGGTACCATATGCTACTCCTGCCATAGGGCAACGAGATTCACTCGCACTTTTACTGCCATCTGCCACCATAATTATCGAATGTTTTTTTTTAATTCACAAGACCCATATTATTACAAAGCAAATAAAGCAAAATTATACTACACCGGCAATTAAACTGACTAAATTGAACACCATCGAAAAATAGTTGGAATTATGATTTAAAATTCATGAAAAAAAAACTTTAAAAAAAATAATTGATAAAAATAAAAAATGTGGATATCTACCGAAATATTGTCCGTGTCATCAGATTCGTAACCAGGGCGTCTGATGTTTTGTTTGGCACATCCGTATGAATCAGTCAACATCGACTTTAATCAAAAATTAAAATATTATTATTTGCAATAAATTGTCGGATTCTTTCATATTTTCTTACCTTAAGTCTGTTCACTGCTTCGCGATATGCATATTCGGTATGATTAAGACTTGGTTTCTTGTTCACCACTTTTTCCCTTTTCTGAGATTCAACGGGCTTTCTAAATGAAAACAAAAATATAGACAACGATTCTAAAAGTTGTACAATGATAATTTCGTAATTAAGTAACACATACAAAATTCCAATCATTCTGAATAATGATCAATAAAAATTACTGTATTTCACGAAATTTGAATGAAAGACTAAAATGTTTGTATTGTTTTATTTTTCTTGTCTAGCAACTGATTCGAAAATAGATTCTCAAAGACATTGTATCACAATGACACATAATTTATGTATATGATAAACAACAAACTATTGGTTGCCATGGTTAAAACATACCCCTTGTGCATTTACATTCAACCAGCATAAAAAATACACCACAACCGCATAAGTAACTAGATGGCTGTGTATGCGCGCGATACGTACATTAATACGAATTAAAAGAATAAAAAAAGAACAAAAACTTCGGAATAACATTGAGCATAAGCTTATGATAATTTATGATTAATTTAGTAAATATGCGAATATATTTCTTTGAAACAGTCTCGACGATTGGCTCCCTTAGATAGAAACAAGGGAAAAAACAATTTTGATATTGATTCAAATATGAATTATGTTCGTACAGTGTGAAAAAACAAATAACAGCCAAAATGTTAAAGAATGTAAAATATTAAAGAAACCGGGACGCAGCAAATTTAACGTAGTTAGACATGCATGTTTTATTTTTACTATCGGACTTTTTTGTCCCCCGTTCGTTATAACATTCATGATGTTCAATATATTTATTTGCTGTGTATTAACACAACAAATTGCTTTAGAATAAAAAATTAGCGGGAGTTTATTTCATTCGATCAAAAAAGTCATCGTTAGTATAAAAAAATCATCGTTTGAATGAAAAACTTGATATTCTTCTTGCTTTTAATGTCTCGCCCAATTCCATTTAAAATAACATCAAAATTGTCACTTTTCCTCACAAATCCCAACAAGAAGCAATTTCTTCTAAGTACCTTACTCGTTTGTGGCTACTTGCCAAACTATTATTGCTGCCATGCAATGATCTTGGTGATGGTTTTCCAAATTTTGAGCGCATCGATCTTGATGCTGACCCAATAAGAGGATTTTGATCAATATAGTTGTATCCAATGCCGCTTTTCATAATTGTACGTTACGTTTTAAGTTAAAACACCAAAAAAAAAACCGAATTCCCAAGAAACTGTGTCACTTGTTTGAAGGTTCACCCGTTTAAGAAAGAACAAAAAATGGTTTCAACTCTTTTATAGTTGTTTCATTGATCGATATTTATTTGCAAAGTTTTTTTTCTTTCTTTCTTGCTGGCATGTCTTTGTACGTTTCCTTCAAAGAATGTTGAAACCGTTGTCATAATAGAAACGGTCTGATATTAAAATAATTGATTCCTCAAACTGTTTATCATGATTATTTCACATAAGAATAAAAACTTGCTGGCTTTTTATAAGTCGTACCAAGTAATTTATTCATAATATGAATTTTATCATCATTATTAATGCCATTTTTTTTTCTTTTCGTACCATTTGGCAAATACGATTGTCAAAAAATGGTTGATTGTCTATATAAAACTTCGGAAGAAACTTTTGATCCGAAAATCGAAGTCTTCAGAAAATTCATAAAAAAGAAACAAAGACAACATTGGTGAAATAAATCTAAAATGTTCTCATTCGATCGAATTCAATTTTTCAAATACTTTATTCTAATCTCAAAATGAATCAAGATAAATGTTGGATTTTTCATTTCTAACTAAATGAAAATTGGGGCGTTCATGATACATAAATATTATGCTAAAAAAACGATTAAAAAACTGAATTTTGATTTCATTTTTATCAAAAACAATTCAATTGAAGAATCATGTGCTACTTCGATTTGTAATGAATATTACGTATGAAGAAAAAAAAAACAGATACATTTCTCACATTCTCACCGTTCAGCTAAAATGCGTGCGTTTGTGAATGAGAAAAAAAGCAATTTTCATGTTATTTGATACACGGGTTAAAGTGAAATGCTTTGTTTGTTGGGTAAATAATACAACATAATTCTCACGATTGTTTATGATTCGCCGAAAGAAAGAATAAGAATTTAAATTGTAGTATTACTTATGCATTTTTCCTAATTGTTGCAAAATTTCATAATTCATATTCCAAATTGGGTTTGTTCCATTTTGTAATGTAGTAACTTTAATACTTCTCACAAATGTTTTCATCGAATTGTCTGATTTTGTAATTTGTAATGCCTCTATAATTGAGAGTGATTTATTATTAATAGCATATCAGGCAGAAATGAAGCAAACACCAACGTATTTGATATGTATGTCCGGAAGAGGCATTTTTTTCTTCAATTTCAAACTACTGTTTTTTCGGTTCATTCGTTCAGAGTCTCAAAAATCTGAAGTAAATAACTTACCGAGCTACCTTTTTTTTTACCAAACAATACTAATTCGATTGAAAATCGAAAGTTCACCGAATGAAGAGAAGACAACGTTTGTTGTCGTAAAGTTTTAAATGTTAAAAATGGACCATTTTCAGCGTCATCAATAAATTTGAATTTTTCGTTTGTAGTTAATTAAAAATAATAAATATTCACTGCTAAAAGACCGTTGATCACGTTCGTATCGCATACATTTCGAAATGATAAACTTCATTTTATGTGTTTGATTGCAGAATTTTCACTTGTGAATTTATATATAATAAGCGATTCGCATAGCGACTTTGAATTTTTCAGATCTCTTTGAGTTTCATGTAAAGCAGTAACCCAAGGTCTTGTTATACAGTTCAACATATTGATATATGTAGTGTACAATTTTGTGTGAGTTTCAAACATTTTATGGCACGGCACGTAGCAATTAGCTAGAGGTGGTAGAGATGGGAAAATTTCGCGTTTTCTTGAACAGCTTAAAAGTGGGTGCTTATTATAGATCTCATGCTATTGTTCAGTTTATTTTGAAAGTGTAAAGTTGTTTGATCACGAACGGTGCATGTTTTATGTTTTCAGAACAAAAAAAATTTGTCTTCAGAGTTTTAAAATGCAATAAAAAAAAAGATTGTGATTTCAATGCAGTTATATTTTGATAAATCGACTTTATAGGATAGAAACATGTGTGCAAGTGCTAAAATTGTGAAAAATATCCAAATTCAGGCAAGTTTAAAGTCTCATATGTAAAACGTGTGACAACTCAACCAGTTATTTTATAGGCTCATCAGTATATTGTTGTACTTTATTGTTGTACATTATTTTTGGCATCGAATGCATTGCATACATTCGAAACACCAATTCGTGAGGCATTGTTGAAACCACGAAATTTTAACCCACATCCACATCATATCCATGACCACATACCACAACAAGGAGCCATCAATTTGAATACCATCGATACAGATTATGTGGCGAATTCTTTGTATAACATTGATGTTGACAACTCATTGGCAGTTCAACATCAATCCAACGACGTCAACTACCTATTGAGGTTTTGTGATAATTTTGTTTAATCATTTTATCCAATTTTTGCATTCAATGGTTTTCTTTTGATTTTCTCGAAGCCATGCACCACATCGATTTTCAACATCATTGTCACCACATAGTTTGCATAATTTACCACATCCATATGCTACATTGAAGTATAAATATAATGGAAACCATGACAACTATCATGCGGTTGATATAAATGAAGTAATTGGAGCTTGCATATTATTTTTGACTTTTTTCGTAAATTGATTTGATTCGATTGTTTTTAGGATTCGTTGGAAACACAGAAAAAGCAATATGCTTTTTCATATAAAGTACGCGATACGTATTCTGGTGATGATTTCTCACACACTCAACAACAAAAAAACGGTGCCGTACAGGGAACTTACAAGGTTTGTGTCTAATTTTTTGATAAACAGTGCGTGTAATGAGCAATTTTAACCTTCTTTCAAGGATAACTCGTTGAATTGCGATTTCATGTTCAATAACTGGTCATTCGCGCTCTGTATATCTTCCGAAATTGCCCAAGTAATCGATTTTAACTATTTTTTTTTCTATTTCAATCCACAGGTTCAATTACCGGATGGCAGAGTTCAAGTTGTAAGGTAAACATTAAAACTGGCTGGTAAACAATAAACATAACATATCTTGTAATAAATTTCATTTATAATTTAATGTAGGTACACTGCTGATGATGGTGGATATCGTGCGGATGTCTCATATTTGATTGATAAAAATGCCGTTCATAAGGCAGACGAAAGTGATTATGTCAAATACAATACAGAGGAAAAACCATTTCATAAATTGCACATTAATCCATATAATTCTGGAATACCATCCCATCCACCGCCTACTGCGTCGTCAAAAATATTTGTGGCCACTGCTGTGCCTCCCATACATCATGCATCTTTGAGTTTAGAACAAAGACAATCAATATCTGCCCATCCAACCTATGTGCTCAGTGCAAAAAAGACGCAAATCAGTGATGCCATTCGTCTCGTGCCAACTGAAAATTCGATCGATGACAATTCAATCTTGAATGGCCCATATTCGAAAGCAACTCATCATCATCATCATCCGGTGTATTATGAGAACCATTGATAAGAAAATACATAACATTTGATGAGAATAAAATTGTATTTATGTTTTTAAAACATTTATTTTTCCCCCTAAAACACAGTATTTTTTGATTGAATCAATTGCAAATTGTTTGTTTTTTTTTCTAAATTTATTCTTGGAAGTTTGCTTCTCCTTCGAATGAACATCCGGAACGTTTGATAATTTCTTGTGCTGCCCAAATGCCGCATCGTATACATGTTTCCAATGGTTTTTCTTGAACATATTGTGCCAAAAAGCCGCCGACAAAAGCATCACCAGCACCATTTGTATCAACAATTTCATCATTTGATAATTTCTGAACTGGAATCTCGAAAACTTTTCCATTATGTGCCAATAGAACTGGATCTTTTCCCTGTGTAACAATCGCAACTCGTTCACGACTCTCATTTTGTTTTGGAAGTTGACAAATTTTCAATGCAATCTCATGCAAATTTTCAGTTTCAAAAGATACCTCCTTTGCAAATGCGAGAGCCTCTATAAATTAAAGATTCAATTTTTTTTGTTTATTGTGTGGTAAAAAAACTATCTGTATCTGTCGACACTTACCAGTTTCATTCCCGAACACAATGTCCGCAAATGGTAAGGCGTCCATTAGCTGCTGTTTGTAGAATTGAGCAAGGAATGGTGCGCTTAAATTCATCAAGAATGTACCTAAGGGGAGAATCACAAAAGAAAAGAATAAAATTTAAAATAATCGATAAGTAATCGGAAAATAATCGAAACTAATCGAAAAATAATCGTAAAACAATCAATAATAATTAAAAAGTAATTTTTAAGTGATTTGCCCCTAGAATGTACCATTTGTGGCGAGTGAATGTTTCGCAATTGCTTGCACTGTTTCAGCACTGGCCGTTAAAAAGAAACCGGTGGCATAAAAATATTTGGCATTATCGACAACTTTTCGATTTTCTGGTTTGTTGATATGGTCAACGGTGAATGTATTTGCAGCGGCTAGATTGGCGCACAGTGATCGATGGTGATTTGTAAGTGCTACGGCACATGTTCCCGTCGGCAATGCATCATTTTGTTGATAAAGCACATTTACACCATCGGCTGTTGCTTTCTCCGATAAGGTTTTTGCATAGTCATCATCGCCAACGCATCCAAAAAAAGCGCACACTTTTGGCTTACGCAAAATCCATTGGGCAACGCGCAATGAATTCTGACATGATCCACCAGCCATATACTGGACCGAATCCATTTCAGCTAATTCCTTGTAACTGATTAAAGGACAAAAAAAAGATGAATAAATACACAATCTTTCAAATTGAATTTGCTTTCAATTTTTCTCACACAAATCGAGGATTTTTATTTCATATTACACTTGTGATCAGAATTTCATCCTATTTAGATAATTAGTATCTCGTTGGTTTTGACGTTTAAAATACTTTTCATTCAGATTATCACTTACAGGTTTTTATGTTTAACTTCATCTGCAAGGATGGCATCATCTGGTTTTAGGCCATATTTTTGGAGAAATTCATCATCAACCGTTGCAATGATGTCCAGAAGTGGATTTCCACAGCCAAGAAGAAGACCTTCTCTAAAATTGAAAATAATATAAAACGTCAAAAATATTCATATTTCAGCAACATTCTTATCAATGCAATCTTTTCTTTGTTGAAACACAATATCTTAATTATTTTATTAAGATTTATGGCACGATATGGTTTTTACATGACCAAAAATACTGGCAAACAAAATAGGAAATCAATGATTGAATCAATAATTTTTTGTCTTACCTTGAATTTTCCATAATGTTCTTTCAAGAAAAAAAAATAATCAGAAAAACGACTGAACTCACAATCAGATGCGGCAGTGAATGAAGCGCGAATATTTGCACTGGACTATGAACAGATGTGTCAATATTTCTACTGTTTATAGATACGAAATATCGAATGATGTGACATTTCATATCACGTGGTTTTACGACATCGAATTGAATGAACGGAACTTTTTTGAAGCTTCGTTCTTAAAGCTTTTACAATGACCGCCACATTTGAATAACGTTAGGTATTTGAAGCTTTTTTATCTAATTTTGTTCATACATAATAGAATAGTAGATTTTTTGTTTAATATTTTGGTCAAAATACGAAGAAAATTTATTCATATACTAAGACTTCTGGTTATACGATATATGTAAAAATAACAATTTATTGTTTTTAAAAATTGCACTTTTGACAGTTTTGTCACTACAAACATGTTAACATGCTATGCAAAGTGCCAGTTTGTTCGGAAGAACAGTTATAGAAAAACGAAACGTGTTATTTTTTTAAATAAAATTAAAAAAAAAACTTAACAATAAATTATTTGTGTTACAAGAAATTGATCAATAACTTTTAATTGTATCGATTCTTTCAATTACCATTGGATTCAACGAATGTGGCATGAGAAACGGACGCTGGAAAATTAGCCGCGTTTACAAAGTACTGGGTGAATGTATTAGAGAAAGAAGTACAGAACATTTCCAAAAAACAAACGTGTTTACATTAAGTCTTTAAATATTTATTTATTTATGGATTAATTGTAAGCCTTGGGAAAATCCTCTATATATTCTTCTTTTAAATCCAGGAGAAAGAAGAAAAAATTACATTTTATTGATGACAACACAGAAGAGCAAAGGAAGTTTAAAGAAGCGCCTAACCACGGTAGGCAAAACCAATTTTTCGAAATTGTTATATTGTTATATTTAGAAAAGATCGTTTTGTCTTCCGTTGTTCCATATCGTTGAAAATGGAAAGATGTTAATTTAATTTTAAGGAATTCTTTTATTGGAAGTATAAATATATAATGTCGCATTCGTATCTAACTTTACATCAATCATATGTACCATTGTTTTGACATTGACAGCTATTGTATCTTAAAGAGCGTCAAAAAATCTATTAAAAACCATCTGTCACAGTGAACATTACGGTGAAAATGTCGACTTTTGTGGTATCAAAAGATCATTTGCGGGAAGTGTTAATTTACTTTTTCCATTTGAAGAAAAACGCATCTGAAGCACGTCGTTTACTCACTGAAGCTTATCCTGACTATGATATAGACTTAAGAATGTGTCAGCGTTGGTTTGCACGCTTCAGAAATGGTGATTTTAATGTCAAAGACAAGGAGCGTGCCGGAAGAGAAAAAAAGTTCGAAGATGAAGAATTGGAGGCATTACTCGATGAAGATCCGCGTCAAACTCAAGAAGAACTTGCAAAATCATTGGGAGTCACTCAATCAGCCGTTTCACAACGTTTGAAAGCAGCAGGATTTATTCTAAAGCATGGAAAATGGGTACCACATGAACTGAAGCCAAGAGACGTGGAAAGACGATAGTTCACCTGCGAACAGCTGCTTCAAAGACAGAAAAGAAAGGGATTATACTTCCAATAATTACAAATATATTTAATTTTTTTTACACGTTAAATACATTTTCAGACCATCGATGAAATGATCGGTTTTTCTAATGATACAAACAGATCATTTCATCGATGGTTTGATTACAACGCGGTTGTTCACATCAAATATAATAAGAGACCATAGTAATTTTGTTAGATTAGACCAACATTTTGTTAGATAATAAAAACGAATCAAGAAAATGGAAAGAAAACTCAAATATTTATTCATTGTAAATTTCATTCGAATTGTGATTTTCCTGATAATTGATGTCATTACTTTCCAAAATGCCATTGATCAGCTGAGCAACTGGTGCACTGAAAACAGCCTATATCTGAATCTGAGGAAATGCTTCGTAATGACGTATTCAAAAGGTGAAAACGCAATCGACTACGTTTATACGATCAACAACGGCCAACACACGTTTGAACGAATAAATTTACACAAGGATCTCGGCGTTATTTTTGACACAAGACTAACGTTCGTCAATCACATCGATGCGATCACAGCCAGTGCACTTGGGACAATGGGATTCATAAAACGCACATTAAAGAATAAGTTCACGATTGAATCGGCTAAAATGTTGTATTTTGCTAGGGGGTAGACACCAATTCAAAATGAAAAATCTATGTTAAAATACTCAATTGTATAATTTCATTGATTCCAACGATTCCATTAGAATTATAATAAAAAACACAAAACTCACAAATCCGAAGAATCTCATGAATCATAGGGACTTTGACAAAGTCACTTTGTCAATAATATAAAATGTGTTGATTGTTGAGTTAAATTTTATTCCATTGTTAAAAGTCGGTAAAAATGAAATCATTGCATAAACAAAAATAATTGAATTTTATTTTAATTTATATTTGCTAGCATATTTATTTTCTATAAAATCAACATACGTTTGTACGTCAAAAGAAAAAACACAAAAATGTGAATATTTAATGAATCTGTGGAATCCGACACAAAAGGTGAATGGATTCACGGGTGTCTCCCCCCTAGGTATTTTGCGCTAGTCAGATCAAAGTTAGAGTACGCGAGTATAGTATGGCAACCATACCACCGTATACACTCCGATAGAATAGAGTCAATTCAGAAAAAATTTGTGATATGGTCGTTAAGATTTGTTTACCAAAGAGATGAGAATTTTGTATTGCCACCGTATCAGTTTAGATGTGATGTTTTAAGTATTCAACCGCTTTGGAGACGGCGTATAAATGCCTCTATATTTTTAATTTATGATCTCTTATTAGGTAAAATAGTGTCGCGTTCGCTTAGAGATAAGATTGTATACACAAGACAACAATATAACGTAAACCAAAGAAATTTGAGAAATACAGAACTTTTTAGAGTACGAACGTTAGCAGCTGAATATGCACATAGTCAACCATTTTACGTGGCGTGTAGGAATTTTAATTTAATAAGAGAAACATTTTTGGAATCAGCATCGCGAAGCATTTTTAGAATTAGTATTGTTAAATTGGACAATTTGTTATTTAATATTCGGTAAAATAGACTAAGAAAAATTGTGTTATGAATATAGTAATATACAATGGACACAGTCGATATCTGCTGCTCCGAAGTCGAAAAGACTGGCGGCTGGTATTCGATCGGGTAGTGTTTCATTGCAAATGATATTGTAAATAATTGTGGTAAAATCAGTCTGTGATCAGACGGTGAATAAATAAATAATAAAAATAATAATAATGGTATTCAACGATTCACTTCAAAATGATTCCAACAGCACATAGCCACCCAATTGAGTCCGAAAACTACGTTGATCTATTTTTCAGATATCGTTTTTCGTCTATTACAAAAAAAAATCAAAAACTATAAATTTTTAATCCCATCGGAGCAAAACAGCGCCGCATTGAAGTTGTGTCATTTGGTAAAACTAAAGGCAGGTCGACTGGCACAACAGTACTATGTATGGCTACATATAAACATGGATAAACGTACATTGTTTATGTGCTGGTTTTCATTTTGAACATACATGCACACATACGTACGCACACACATGCATTTTCTTGTTGACATTTATTTGTTGTAGCAAGGCATGCCTTTGTATGCGCATACGCACCGGAACCTTTATGCATATTTCAGTAGCGTCCATCGCAGACAGAAATCGAAATTTTCTTTCATCTTATCAATGTTTCGTTTGTAAACAAATCAAAATCATTTGTTCAATTTCAATAAAACATTTCCAATTACAACGTCTTCAATTTGAATGAGTTCAAAATTTCAATTGTAACAATATTCAAAAGAAAATACGTCGCCGTCACTGTACACACACAGGATTACAATACAATGATGCGCACATAAAGACTGAATTAGTATTGAAAATTCAATATTTTGATGAGGGCATATGCACTTTATAATACACATATAAATATACAAATTTGTGAAAACTAATAAACAAATCATTTCAAAACGATTTGAAAATATCTATTCAATTTTTAATGGAAAACAAAATTGTTCCATTAATATTCTTGGTGCCAGTGATCGAATATTAAATAAAAAATATGTATTTTTTCAGTGGGTGCATTATATCTTGTTGAATTTCTAGGCTTCATGTCCTGCGAACATGTATTGTTCGAATTCATTCGAAAATCAAGCAAAATGCCATTGTAAAATTGCTTCCAAGTAAAAATTCAATGCGAAACAAAGTGAAAATCGTGGTGCATTTCAATCATTGTTTACATACTGATTTAACTAAATTCAACTAAATGAAAGTTTAAACGGAGAACATTATCTGTGTGCATTGTTGTAAGTTTTCGTTTCTTCAGTGGTTTTTTACATTTGCTTAAGAAAGTTCATTTGGCTCTTCAATAAAACGAAACGTGTTATTAAACATTTTGTGACATGAAAAATTGACTGCACAAATATTATAGGCGAAAAAAAGAACAAAGTTTCATTAAATTTAAACAAAACAATTACACTTATTTTGTTGTGCGTTGATTGAATTGAATTTTCTTAGGAAATATCAAATTTGCGTTCTTATTTTTAAAGAATTGTTTTATTCGACATTTTGGAAGAGTGAAAAAAAAAAAAATTGAAAAAAATAAATACATCCCTCAAAATAATATGTAAAATAATAAAGTATTTTTTTAAACGAAGTGGAGAAAATTTTACAAAAAAAAATTCTTAGTCACCAAAAAGCCAAATCTTTAAATTTTTGTACTTTTTTCATTTCGATTATATTTTGTGCAGATCAAAATAAACGAAATCAAAGGGAGTATAAGGCGAGAAATAAGATTCAATCATGAAGGAACGTGTAGAAGGATTTACGAAGGTCTGGCAGATCTTTTTGGCTTCAGTTGTAATGCTGGCTGCTACTCGAACATTTGCAGAAGCGGTTATGGAACAGCTGTCACCCGGTAAGTATAAATCATGGTTTGGCATTAAATATGATCATAAAATGTTAGGTATCTAAGAACAAAAAAAAAAAACATTTTTGAAAATTAGAGTCCCGAAAAACCTCCGTTGATTTTTCTCGTTTTTACATGTTTCGAGATGTGCTCACATAAAATGCAATTGTCTATCTCGTCAAATGTTTCAAAAACCTTAATTTTTTTGGTTTTCCATGTATTTTTCGGAAAATAAATTCAAATTAATAACTGAAACGAAATTGAATGAATGTGCTTGTATGCAGTTCGAGCATAGAACATTTCAACCTGACTCAATACATTCAAACCGGGCACTTATGTACAAATACAAGCATCAATTCACTTGTACTACATATGTATACATTAACGGTGTTATAAAACAAACACTTTCTAATATAAACTTAATTCGCCTCATAGGCATATGCATATTCTTTTTTAAAAAAATGCTCCGAAGGAAGTGTGGAAAAAATTGTGATTTTTTCCATCTTATATTATGAACCTTCTGGCGTTTCCAATTCCAGTACTAAATGCGAAGAAGAAGAAGAAAATTAGAACAAGCATACATATATTTCGCATATGGTACCTTGTTTCACAGGTATATTCTTTCGAATGAGAGATACCTTTTCCAGTAAATGTGAATACAATAACAATTTGCGCATACATCAAGCATACTGTTTTCTGCCTGACGCTATTCCCCACGCTTCAACTCTATTCAAGTGTTAGTTGTTATTTGGTTATAGTCGTGAAAGGTCGGAACAATTGTCATTACGTGTTATGTTTTACTGTGCTCCATGTTCTCTTTTTGAATCCTTTGTTTATTTCTGTGTGTGATTTTTTTTTAAATTCTCTCAACAGAACATGAATAAAATCAGAATACTATCATCAACTTATAGTAAACGATTTTTTGTATTAATTCGTTTAGCTACAGGTGAATACGTACCTGACATTTCGTGTAAATTTGAAAAGTGTTTTGAACTTTGAAGATGAAAACCGAACTCCGACGAAACGAACAAATTGTGCATTCGCTTTCCGAAATTTATTGAAATTAAATAAAATTGCCATAATATTAATGGACAAAAATAAAACAATCCAATCATTCAATTTTTGAAAATTGACTTTTCTACCATCTCTTTTCAATGAGATGATTCATTTTACTTGAATCTTATAATATCACATTGGCGTGTCGGTGTCATTTAATTGCGATCAAAAAAAAAAAAAAAAAATAAAGAAATTTAATCACTCAATTAACAGTCGAAAATCGATGAACAAATATGAGACCAACCGAATCGTATTCTTAACAGAGCAGTTAAGAAATCATTAACATTTCATGAACGATCCGAACATTTCTTGAATAAAACTCGTTTCATCCAATCATTCAAAAGAGAAAAAGAAATGGCTTGATATTCAATCTAAAACATGGACGCATTTCAAAACAAATGCAATACATGTTTCAGCTCTTACCGTCACAATATCCAAATTCTCGTCTCTGTGTCTCTGTAACTCTCTGTGTATATGCATGTATATGTTCACTTTTGAATGGGATGAAACGTGTATTGAAGAACAAAATGTGAATACAAGAAACATTTTCTGCGCATTCACTTACCAATACATCGATAGCATTTGAACTGACAAAGTCATCGGCCTCACACCATCTTGTTTCGACTTTAACTAAAGAACGATGAATCAAATGTCACAATCTAGCCAACATTCCTATTTGTAACGATTTCGAAAGAAACAACAACAAAAAGTATCGAATTTATATGTATTTTCACGTCTTAGTTACACGATATTATTTCAGATGCTTACCGCTGATGCTTCATCCAACGCTTTTAAATAATTAATGATTTTATCGTATATATCGACTCGAAAGAGAATATTTTCCGAACATGAACATTTAAATAATTAAATCATCATAGTTGATGTAAAAAAAAAAAACATGAAAAAGTTTTTCAATATCGAGAATTGAGTGAAAGCGAAAGCACACATTTATTTACGAAGTCAATGCGTTCGTTTAACTGGAAGAGAACACCATAAATAAAGATGATCAACTAGATGATAATATCTAGTCAATATTTCTTTTTAATAGTTAATGTTTTTTTACTCTCTAAAGAATCAACTTTTTAAATGTGAAGTGAGTGTTTGTGTATTTCATTTTATGTTAGAATGAAAAAAACTGTACAAAAAAACTTTAAACTAATGGAATACAAACATTGAAACAGAAAGCAATACAATTGCAACGATATCATTTTAAAAATTTACAACGATAAGTGAAACAACACACAAAAATGCTATTGAAAATGAATAAAAATAAGTTAGCGGTTACAGAAATGCTCCTAAAAACCAGCCATATCATTCTAGTTTTACTTTTAATAAAACTATCTAGCTCTGCTGGATACGAAAATACATGGAACTTTTATTATGAACAACCATGTTGTAGTAGTTCAAATAGTCATCATTTGCGACATCACAAAGGTAAATATTTACACATTTTGTGTGACATTCATAAATGAGACACTCAATCAATCCTTCGAGACTTTTGACATCAAAATTATGATTCACATGAAAAAATGTTTATTTATACTGTCTGGCAGTCATAATTCGAAAAGTACGATTTCAAACATTTAATTACACTTCGAAGTAATAAAACTTGTACAGAGTCAATAAGATTTCACTTTTTCTTTCAACCAACGTCTTTTTTTAGCATCGCGATGTTTGTTTATATAAATAGAATGCAAGTATAAGTAAATGCAAACAACGAGATTCATTTTATATCGAAATATTATGCGTAAATCCGTCTCACATGTTTGTAATTGTCGTTTTGATGAATCCGTTGAAAATGTTGTCAGTTTTTTAGCATTTTTGAAGGAAAGACACATTCTAATTTTTGGTCTTAGAGCATTAAATTTATCAAGATTTGTTTATGTTGGTTGACTCTACAAACATTTCTTTTTTATTCAATTAAACATTTATTCATTATGTCAAAAATAATAACTATAATTTCTATTTAAAATAAACCGTGATTGGTTGATGAATGGAACAGAACATGGAAGTACTTTAAGGAAATTTGGATGATTTGTTGGAATTTATTATTTGTTGGAAATTTTAGAGTCGCGTATCGATAACCATAAATGAATACTGAATTCTGAGCACTTATTCTTGGCCGATAAACACTTTCTTATCAGCAAAATACATTTCACGCACTTTTTTTTAATTTCTGATTTATTAAACTTTATTGGATTATTTTTCGTAGCCGATGGATTATTTTCTCGGATGTTTTCTGTAAATTCAAATGAAATTGGAGTCTATGCATTTTGTTATTTAAAAAGTTGCCGTAATCTGTTCTTAAGAATGTAGACAAAAGTTACTGTTTTTCGGAAATCTTCAGATACAAAACTGAACCGAAATCTTGGATTTCCACTCCAAATTTGAAAATCTTTGATTTTTGTTCAATCATAACTTTTATTGCTTTAACTTTTTTAATTCCTTTGTTGAACTGATCAACTCGATGGTAGCTTCAGCTAATTTTACTTTTTTGGTCGATGCCTGTTTTTATTCCTTTTCCGATGCAGCCTCATTCAAATATTCGCGTATGCCAACATTGATTGGTACACCGTTACAATAATTAATCTAATTAAACTTCATCGTTCGACTTATCGGTGCTGTTCATTTCGCCGTAAGACGTAACCTTACCGTCGGTTGTCTTCAAAGAGTTCACATCTGTTGCCTGCATATAATATTCACAATTCGTTCAAAAACAAAACAACAAATACAACTTATGCTTCGATAATTGAGTTTGCACCGAAATAAATGTCATTGTGTTTCTGTAACAAATACATTTCCAATTTACCGAACGCAATGGCACATAATGAACTAATTTTAAGAATCTCATACGCGTACACACATCCAATCTTGCCGGCGTTGCCTGTTGTTGTTCATTTTCCTCAGGCGTTTAATAACTGGATGACTGAAGTGGGCTGTATCGTTAACTGGTTGGAACGTCGTTTCATTATTACCTGCAAAAGACCTATTAAAAGAAGGGAATCGGAACACGAGAACCACTGCCTTTCAATTGATATCGGTAGCAACAAAAACAACATTCACAAGATGTGTTGTCCTGATTGCAAAATATCCAGCTCTACTTGAACCAAACGTAAATGTTTTACAATCAAAAAGTCTCGATTTGTTTCAGTGCAAAACGCATATTAAAAGAATTTTCAGTCAGTTATCATCGAACATCGCACTAATGCAGCAAGCACAACCAATCTTTTTTTAGATGACGCACGAGAAATAGCTGAACATCTTGATGTAGAACGACAACAACATCGTTCAAATCAACCATTCGAACAATTTTCTGATTATTGAAAGAAATCGTTGGTAATTCCATACTTGGATTCAATGAGACGTGTTAAAAGACTTATTTTATGTCAATATTGTCCTCGTTTTTTATTATTCTCGCACCTCTCTAATCAAATTCCTGCGGAGGCCCTTGTTAGCTGCTGATAATTTATCGGTTATATTTTGGTCACTATATCAAGGTGAAGGGTGTACCATGTATGCCTTTCAATGATGGTGATGTTTTCTTTTTGCCTATTGATTCCAATGAAGCACGTGTCTCCTATCTTGCCAGCATTGGCTGAGCAACTTAGTTTACTCATTGACTAACAGAACGATAATTCTGAACAAGCCGTACAAATTTCTACGAAATCTAGTCGAACGAAAAAAAAATAAAAATAGAACGACAGCAAAATAATGCAAAAACCATTACAGTTGACATATTCAGTTGAACACAGATGAAGATATTAAACGGATTTCAAGCCAATTTTGAAGGAAAGTGGAAGCAAAGAAGACAAATGACCCATTACTTATCATTCAACGATGAAACTTTCTGTTATTTAGAAAAATGCATTCAAAATACAACATGTGAAAAAGACTTTGGTAGTGAGGGCATTGAATAAACAAAAAAGCACATTTTAGAATAACGACAATTTAATATTAATAGAAATGGAAAACCAGCAAGAGATTTCCACCACTTGTTTGTTGAAATGTGTTCAAAGAAGCAGCATTTGAATACATTTGATAATAAAATGTCTTACATCCGTAAGATGAACTTTTCCGCACTGTGATCCACAACATGCATTTATTACAAATCTTTTACTCAAAGAATTCACGAGAAAACTTAACCTGACATTAGTTTTACGATACAAATAATTTTCGAAGCACTTTTCATACAAAAACTACTAAAAATGTGAATGCCTATATGATACCGTAATCATGTGAAAATTTGCAGAGGTTATTTTTTTCACAAAAAGTTAACATTCTGAAAGTTTGAAGAAATTTCAATACATATTAAGGGTACTTCCCATACAAAATTTCGTTTTTGAGCGAAAAATCCAAAATTTTGTTCGGGAGGTATCCCTAATATGCGTTAAAATGTCTCCAAACTCTCGGAATGTTATTTTTGTGTGATAAAAATAACCTGTGCAAAGTTTCAGCTTATTACGATATCATACAGGCATGGCTTCCATACATAAACTCAATTTTTTTGACATTTTTGTTTGAAAAGTGTGTCGAAAGTTATTTGTCCAAAAAAAAACCCAATACACATTTTTGAGTGTTTAAGAATACATTAAATATCACTTTTGGAAGAAAAATCGAATTTTTCCCATGGATGGCCATGGGCATCACACCAGACATGACACTTCACTCTGTCAACCAAAGTCGCTCAAAATCTAATGGTTTCTATTCCTCGGCACCCCCAATCATCCTGTGAAGTCAGATTTTGAATTACTTTTCTTGTTTGAAAGTTATCGTGTTAAGAAATTTTCGGACATCGAAATGGCTGATTCATGTTCCCTGGCCCCCAAAACACCCAGAAAACATGTTTTTTGAGGGTGTTAATTTTTCGACCGATTCCAATACTTTACCTTACACACTAGGTGTGTGCGGAAAAGTAAAATACGCATTAGTTTATCACTATTCTTTTTGAATTACGGTCTGCACAGTCCAGCGGATTTTTTTTTTTTGCTTCCGGTCAAAAAATAAAACAAACTAGTCTCGTTCCAAGATGACGAGAAAAAACACAAAACTAAAGCAACAAACAAAGAAAAAACTGCACCAATTGATTTTTTACGACAAATGATGAAAACAACTCACAATTTTCTCACAGCTAATAGAAAACGTTTTTTTACTTAAAAAAAAATTTACTTGTCACATTAATCTTCTGAAATTGTTATTAACGCTCGAAATAATGAGTAAGGATGCCATATGTTTAAAATTCGGTTGCTAGCTTAAGTGGTTAATTAGAAAGTGGCAGCATTTTTAGTTTTTCATTCAATTATTAACATCTGAGTACTTTTTGAGTGGAAATGAACGTGGTTTCTTTGAAAGACTCTTTTTTTCTGTATTTCAAATCATCAGTCTATGTATTTCGGATGGATATCCATCCGAGATATTTTAGAATATCTGGATATTCAACACAACTGCACAGCGCCAGAGCTGTGTGCGTCGCAAATAGAATCTACGGTATGTCGCGACGTATATGTGTATCAAGTGTCGCACGTACACAGTCACACTGTGTCTGTATTTTACGTGTAGCTACATACCGTAGATTATATGTGCGACGCATACAGCTCTGGCTCTGTGCAGTTGCGTTAAATATCCAGATATTCTAAAATATCTCGGATGGATATCCATCCGAAATACATAGACTGCAAATCATACACTAGGTTTAAGTTCGATTAAGATTGAAACTCAAACTTATAGAATATAGACATTAGTAACCATCATCAATGATGATAAATTATCATTTACATTTTAATAAATATGTCATTTTATTCAATTTTAGAAAATGTTCGCGAATTTACGTGCGGGAAACTTTATTATCGAACATTCCATTTGGATGAGGAGCGAGACGCTTTATATGTTGGAGCCATGTAAGTTGAATTATCATTAAAATCATTAATTATTAGAAATAATGAGGCGAAATCACATGAGATTATTCATTATTCACGGAGTTTGTTTCGTATATATCGACATTAATGCAAATGATAAGCAAGTTTATCAAAAATCACTCACTGCCTCTCTCTATTTTTATATGATGTCAACTCATTTATTTGTTGTCTTATCACCAGGAATCGTCTATATCGGCTCAATTTGAGAAACATCAGCCTCTCGGGTTGTGAGGTAAGCTATTTTACTTTATTTTTTTTTTCCATAAATTTAATATCCAAAATGTTCAAATGGATGTTTTATTTACGAAATTTGTGAGTGTGTGTGATAAAATTTCGACGATTAAATAAACCGATTTTTGGCCTTTCCAATTCTTTTCAGAAGAATCATTTGCTACTAGAACCCACCGAGTCTGATGTTAGAGACTGTATTTCGAAAGGGAAAACTCAGGTAATAAATGATTGTTTTTGTTATTTGGACTCTTTGAACTTTTGAGGGGCACTTGCCCTTTAAAAAAATCACATAAATTATTAAAAACATATTTGAAATTCAATTTTGAAAACCTAAAAAGAATTTTTATCAATTAGATAAAGTAAAAAGCGTATAATTGAAACACCGCAATCCAACAATGTGGTTAAAAACAATGAGCAATAGTTATTCAAATTGAATAAAATTGTGTAAATAAGTTTTATTCCAAAAATTGAATTTATTCTGAAACTATTTATAGTTTTGATGTGGAAAAAAGGCACACTATTTACAATCGGTCTACTATTATTTATTTATGTAGCGTTTCGAATGCCGAAATCATATACGTGTTATTCAATCTATGGAAAATGGAAATCGACTCTATATATGTGGAACGAATGCACATAGCCCAAAGGACTATGTTATATACGTGAGTATTATGATGATTATTATTATTTGAACGTAGAGTTTTTGCACATTAAAATTCATATTTTGTGCAAGCATCAAAACATTTAAATTTTCATAATTCAGAGGTGTGCAAAATTCAAGTTGCAAATGTACCTACAATAAAATAAATACGAAAATTTGTTGATGATTTCTTTTTTACTTTAGTCAAACTTAACACATCTACCGAGATCAGAATATGTACCGGGAATTGGTTTGGGAATTGCAAAATGTCCGTATGATCCTCAAGATAACTCGACAGCTGTTTGGGTTGAGAATGGAAATCCGGGCGATTTGCCAGCATTGGTAATTATTTGTTTTCCATTGAAATTCCACGCAATTCAACATAATCGAATTGAAAACGTTTATTCGATTTATTTCAGTATTCGGGCACAAATGCAGAGTTCACTAAAGCGGATACTGTAATATTTCGCACCGATTTATATAACATGACCACCGGCCGAAAGGAGTTCAATTTTAAACGGACACTAAAATATGATTCAAAATGGTTGGACAGTGAGTATTGCTAACATAAAATGCTCTTATCGTGTAAAATTTGATTGTGTTAATGTTTATTAATTATCTGATTTATTTCAAATTTTCAATTAAAATTTTAAATGTTTCAGAACCGAATTTTGTGGGATCATTCGATATTGGAGATTATGTATATTTCTTTTTCCGTGAAACTGCCGTCGAATACATAAACTGTGGCAAAGCGGTTTATTCACGGATTGCACGTGTTTGTAAGAAGGATACAGGCGGAAAAAATATTCTAAGTCAAAACTGGGCGACATATTTGAAGGCACGCTTAAATTGTAGTATATCTGGCGAGTTTCCATTTTATTTCAATGAAATACAAGCGGTGTACCAATTGCCCAATGATAAAGCGAAATTTTATGCCACTTTTGCCACCAGTACAAATGGTTTGGTGGGCTCAGCCGTTTGCAGTTTCGATATAAATGAAGTTCATTCGGCATTTGCTGGTAAGTATAAATTTGAATCTCAGATCAGCTAGGCGATTGTGTCACTATTTATATGAATTTTAACTATTTTGTTCGTTTTACATAGGAAAATTCAAAGAACAGGCAACTTCGAATTCAGCCTGGTTACCGGTATTGAAATCAAAGGTTCCAGAACCTCGACCGGGTACATGCGTTGATGACACCTCAAATTTACCAGACACTGTTTTGAATTTCATAAGATCACATCCATTAATGGATAGAGCCGTCAATCATGAACATTCAAATCCTGTATTTTACAAACGAGATTTGGTATTCACCAAATTGGTTGTTGACAAGTGAGTGCATTTGGAACATTTTAGATGAAAATTGTTCGTAATTTTTGTCGATTTTTCAGAATTAAAATTGAACTGCTCAATCAAGAGTACACTGTTTACTATGTCGGAACAAATTTGGGTCGTGTTTATAAAATTGTTCAATTTTATCGGAATAACGAGCCAAATTCTAAGCTATTGGACATCTTTGAAGTCGCACCCGACGAAGCAATTCAAGTTATGGAAATCAGTCAATCACGAAAATCATTGTATGTTGCAACTGACAATAGAATAAAACAAATTGATTTGGCCATGTGTAATCGTCGCTATGACAGTTGCTATCGCTGTGTCAAAGATCCTTATTGTGGATGGGACAAAGACACAAATGTTTGTCGTCCGTATGAATTGGGTTTGCTTCAAGTAAGTTTTTTGATGAAAAAAGAAATTATTGAAATTGTAAATGTTCACGATTTTTGTTGTTGTGTAGGATGTTGCAAATGATACATATGACATTTGTGATACGAGTGTGCTCAAGAAAAAGGTGCTCATTACATATGGTCAAAGTGTTCATCTTGGATGTTTCGTGAAAATTCCAGAAGTATTAAAAAATCAACAAGTTACTTGGTATCATCATTCAAAGGAGAAAGGAAGGTGAGGGCATTGTTTTTGTTACTTTGCAATTGCACACTGTACATATGTGCACCTTTTAATCAGAGACTGTTTATCAGAGCAATATGTTTGTTTATTAAAAAAAAATACGTTTATTTCGATACGAATAGATATGAAATCAAATACAGCCCGACCAAGTACATCGAAACAACTGAACGTGGATTAGTTGTAATTACTGTAAATGAAGCAGACGGTGGACGATATGACTGTTATTTGGGAGGTTCTTTGTTGTGTAGCTATAGTATTACTGTTGATGCGCATAGGTATGCATTATAGAGACTTTATTTTCGATGCTCTTGGAAGTCATGATTTTTTTTTTTTCAATTTCTAACGTATTGATTATTTTCAGATGCACACCACCACACAAGAGCACTGACTATCAAAAAATCTACTCTGACTGGTGTAATGAATTTGAAAAGTATAAATCAGCAATGAAATCATGGGAAAAGAAACAAGTGGTAAATTGATTTTGTCATTAAAATGTGGGTCAAATTAAAATATCGCATACTAACGATATGTATTCATTTACAGCAATGTTCCGCGCGTCAGAACTACAGCAACCAACATCCAAACGATATCATCTCAAGCAACGTTAACGTTTGACCAATCGGTAATTAAATTATATTACTTTTTATTATTATACAGAAAATTACGATGGATTAAATTAACATTTCCATAGGCCTAAACAACTTGCACACACTCACTGAGAAACTGTTAAGCTTTAGCAGCCAACAAAATCCACGGACAGATTGAAAATCGGAAAATGAAAAGAAGGTCTACCATCCAGGCAGTAAATAAACGTTCAAATAAAAGAGAAACACAACACAAAAAAAAAACAAAAAGTTTAAAATTAGATTATTCAACTAACTGAAGTATGAGACGTGAAAGATGTACGAATCAATCATTATAGACCCAAATGGGGGTATTATTGCATTTTATTCAAACAAGGTGTGTAGACCGAGTATTTTAATATATATGGCTCCGACATTTTTTTCTCTGTATGTGAAAACTTCTAATGGAAAAAATAGCAGAATCAAGAAAAAATGAAATTAAAATTTATAAAAAAAAAATCAACACACAATATTAGCATGTCGCAAAAATGTTTTTGTCAAAACTTAAGCAAAAAAAAAGTTTTAAACTGTGATATTAGTTGAAAGCAATTAAACAGTTAAGCTTACGAGGGAAAACTGACGACCAATTATAATTTTGACGAAACAAAACAAAATCGAATGAATTCATAACCAAGAGAGCAATCAATTCAGCATTTCTTACTAGTTGAAAGATTATATTCAGGTGACATAGACGAATTTAAATCGTTGATATATTTTAATTATGTGCTCTTGCCGAAATTGTGTTCAGCACCTGTAATTTGGCCAGTGATGCCGATTTGGTTTTATTTCCGTAAGAGAATACGATTGAATTATACCAAATATCTGAATTCAATGTTCGCCGGTATAAAATTAACTTTACCAGTTAGTGTATAAAATAGCAGTTGGTGGTAATAAAAACAAAATCTAAAACCAAAAGTTACGAATTTACACATCGCGATGTGAATCGACACTTTTGTTAAAGTAACCACAAATACATGGCATTTATAAAAGAAAATAATAGTATATCTTCCCTTTAGTAACAAAACAATGTAACTTTATTTACCACACTCATTAAGATCAAACGGTAAAAATGTCATCATTACAATGGAGTAAGAAATCCGTTTTTATACTTTGCACCACCATAATAATCGAATACAATTTTTCATCTTAATAGACATTATTTCAACAATCTAACGTTATTCATTTTAAGTTTTATCGAATATATTGATCACAAATTTACACGACAAAACATAATTTATACATTTAATTATATTTGTTTAATTTCATCTTCTATTTCAACGCATACATTATTAATGATAAATTCATGTAAGAAACTTCATTTCTTCTTCTTTTTTACTTAGAGATTATGACAATTTGTAATTTTTAATTTTTAACATTAAAATTTTGCACAACTTTCTTTTTTCTACGATGAAAGACAAAACGATACACAAATTCAAATTTCTCTCTTTAGTTTAATTGCAATAATACGTTCTCTGTTATTTTTAGAACGATAATTAAGAAAATACTAAAAACTGGCCGAAAATTCTCAAATAGTTCAGAATTCACTTTTAGGAACGATTTTGTTAAGATTTCTGAATAACTATCAATTTCGTACTTAATAACCGAAAATATGAGATGGCCTCAAATAATTTACAAAAAAACCGAATACCGACAAACAGAATTTTTGCACTCTGATCGATAAGTTAATGAAAAAAACAAGGCAATAATTTTATGCCATCAAATATCACTTAAAATTAAAGAAAGAAAACCTAATTAAACTTTGAATTATGACATGTTGTTTCTTTTTTTTTGCAATTTTGTAGAAAATATATAAATTTTATAGAAATACTCAATCGATTCAACATCCGAGGCGTATTATGAAGAAATCATTTTAACGGTTTGTTCTAGAATTTTTCTTTATGTTTAATTGCAACATCGTATGGAAATCAGAATAATGTCGCATATGAATCCAGTCATCTTTGGATACACCAGCTACCAATAGCTACGAAGGCAATTAATTGGGCGAAGGTTTGGTCTCTCTCTGAAACTTTGCTTTTTCGTTCAACTATTTTAATCAAGATATTTACGTCGGAGTTACTCCATTAAAACATATGATGCTCCTTTATTTTTAACAGAATTTTTTTGGCAAGCTAGCAAATTTCAAAATATATGATTATAAATTTGAAATATTCATCGGTTTTATTATTGGCCGTTCAAAATTTATTGTTTCAATTAAGTGTAGATAAAGTGTAGGTAATTGTACAACATTTAGTTTCAAAGTGTACCTGGAATTTTTTTTTCAAAAAATCGATCCCTTTTTTGGGGGTCCTCATAATTTTTCCCGGGGTAGCGATTTTCTAAATCCAAAATTTTATGTAATGTATTATGGTCTTTAAAAAGTGTACATTGAGTGTAGGTAACAATTTTGCATTCATATACGATATTACCAAGAAATTAAGTGATTTGGCCATATCAACCTTATCTGAAGGGCGAGGGGTGCCTATACTGAAAATTTCAAATTTTGTTTAGGATGAATTTTATGAAAGTGTACAGCCTTGAAATTGAAAATTTTCAATATTTTTCCAAACTCTCGAAGGTTTTAAGTACTTAAAAAGCACTCTCACTGGCTTTTCAGTCTCTAGACTCATTTGTATGTCTTTCAATCTTGACTTGTAGCACATGGAATTGGCTTAGCCCTAGGGGAGAGAAACCAATGCTAGTTTTTCTAGTTTATAGCTAATTTACTAGTTTATTGCTTGAATAATCTAATAATGCTAATATTCCTTTAAGAAATTGTTAGTTTTCTAGTTTTTTGTTCTGTCAAATGACAATCAAATGATTGTACTGACACAATGAAGTATTTTGACGTTTTGTTGTTCAGACATATTTTTATGTGTTTTGAATAAATATACACTTATAATAGTGAAAATTAGTTTAATTATTCTTTTTTAACACAAAATCGTGCATAAAGTACTTGTTTCTTTCAATAGTCGACTTGTAAAATTGATTTAGTCATCAAATCATGGCAGAATATCAAAATGGCGGATCAAATAATTTTTGCTAATTTTTCTAGTTTTTGCTAGTTTTTTTTTCTAATTTTCCTAGTTTTTACTTGAAATATAAAAAACTAGCTAATGGTTTCCGTCCCCTAGGCTTAGCCTGCATATAAATACTGTTTGAATTAATATTTTTTCGACAAATCGACAATTTTCAATATTTTTCAATATATTTAGTGTGTTAGTAATGTAATGTCGAGTAAATCATTATCTCTCCCTTTATTTTTTACCGTATTTAATAATACTCACAACCGATTTCATTTTGAGTGTTTGGTTTGTGTCGTCGATATATTTTCTGTATGAAAACAAAATTGATACTGTTAAATAGGCAAAGACGACCCGTTTTTTTATAGCAACAGAGAAGAGAGCCCGCGGAAATACAAAAAGTTCAAAGTTATTTTAAACGAATTTTTTATTTTTATTTATGTATACATAGGGCTATACGCAAATTATTCAGTTTAAAGCGTTGTACTACTGTGGAAACCGTTGAAGAAATTTCATCATCCCTTTTATGACCAAATAGGTCCATCCCTCATGCACTTCCATGCCATGTTTGAGCGCGGTCCAGTAACTACCAGTATGCATTTGGAGACTTGTTCAATTATACCTCAAGTGAATTTTTCGATTTTCATAAAGCCAGACTTGTTTGAAGCTACAATAAAATTTCCTTTCTTCATGATAGGTGTTTTGTATGTTCAGCAAAATTGTTGGCTCGACCATAAACTTTAATTATGACCACCAGAAATTAAAAAATTTTTTGCTCATCCGATCGTAATGGCTAAAAACTCAAAAAAGGTCGAAAAATGGGTAATTTTCCATTTTTTAGCAAATTTTCACTTGAAACACAAAAACTATGGCCTCAAACCTGTTGATTCACGTACGAGCCATGATGATGAAATGGAAAAATTGCGAGTTTTGTACAAAAATTTAAAAGAAATCATTCATTAGATTTTTTATATCACATTGAGTTGCTAGATAATTGGAAACTTTGGTCGAAATCTCAACAAAAACTTGACTTAAATTTTCTTAGATTGCTTTGGCTGTTATTGTAGAACACCGAGGACTTACGTTAATGCAGTTATTTCATGTCAATATGCCTCTTTATGCAAAAGAAATCCAAAAAGTAAAAATCGTAAATCACTCGTTAATTGAACAGGTCAACAAAGAATGGATACTAGTAGTTATTTTATTTGGTCATAAAAGGTATGATGAAATTCCTTCAACGGTTTCCTTTGAAATACAAAATTCTTACCAGAAATTGATCACAGTAGTATATTCGACTTCTAAAAAGATTAAATGGAATATTAATCTAAAAATTATGTAAATAAACGAAAAAAATCTTTGTCGTTAATAGTATTTAAAACCAACTTGACAAAAAATAAATTTGATTATACGCAAATCGAGCGCTATTTGATTCACAGTCTCCGGTTTTTTTTTGATCACATGGTATAAATGATTTTTAAGGATGGAATCAGACATTATATGGAGATATTTTTAAGACATTAGGCTCGAGCTATACATATAGCGGCTGCTATTTCATAGGCGCTATTTAATTCGTGTGCTGTGTGTAATACCGAGTAGGAATATCATAGCCTACTATTCTTTTCAACATTTGAATGTTAGTACGAGAGAGATGAAGAAAATAACGCCTATGAAATTGCAGTCGCTATATCCATAGCTCAAACCTAATGTCTGATTTTTAGCCAGATGAATCAGCTCAGCCAGATATCGTCAGGAGCTGAAATTGTGTGAAAACAATGGAAGTGATTGTTATACTTACATTGCTTCAATCACTTTTATTGTTTTCACTCAACCAAAAAATATGTTGAAAACAGGTTAAGGTTTCGATCTTTGATTTAAATAATAGAATTATACGTATGTTTTTGGCATTTCGATTCGATGAATATGTATGCTAATTCTGATTATACAAATCACCATGGCAAAACATGAGATTAATATTCAAACGATCGATGAATATCATTGGGAATCACGGTTGGATTCGCCGAATATATACATGTATGCTAATTCTGAACAAGTTATTTTCCTCTTACTTCTCTCTCTCTCTCTCACTCTTTTATTTATCTTTTTAATTGTATTTGGCCCATTGCAATGCTTAAACATATTTAGAAAATTTGATTCTGTTGGTCCATCGAGTGAATTTGTGCAAATATATTATTCGATGGTCGCATAATATGACTCCATATTTCAACAAAATACCAATCCTTTTTATTTTCAACGTAATTTCAGCTCATTTTAATCCAAAAGCATTCATTTGACTCATACATTGTTCGTACAATGATCACACATCTATACAGGGACTGTATGCAATCACACAAACCATGCAATATCACAGTGTATGAACTTTGTGTTGAATATAACAAAATTGTAAGCGAGCAAATTTCAATATACAATATAATACACAACTTGTGTATCTTATTATATATAAACGGTATATTTAGCGTTCCTCAAGCAATATTAAACAATATTGTGAAATTCATTTGATGATTCAAATAATTTAATTTTTTATAAATGCACTCTTGTTGAAGCAGCTGTAGCAAACAGACGCAATTCATAATATTACATTGGAAACAAAGTGTGGTATCCTTTAAAAAAGTTCAAAGTAAATTTTTTTGATTTGAAATTTATTTGGGCTAATAAACAAGTTCGATTTATTGTGTTTTGGGTGATATTTTATATAATTTCTAGTATAATTCATTGTATATACTTCAATTTTTTCCATTATTTATTATTTTAAATATCGCGGATGATTTCGTGCCTTTACCTGGCGCAAAAAGCGAAGATGTAGCTATTCTGAAAAATATATAGATTTCTTATTTAAGAAAATTGTTGATCAAATAGATGATGACACGATCACAAAATCGAAAAGTGGTGGGCAATTGTGTTCACAATAATCATATGAAGAAATTAATGTGTTATAATGCCTGTGTGACTTTACATTTGGTCACATTGTAATAAAATGATGCGCAATATAATTTACATGTACATATATGAAACGTGGAGTTGCACAGATTTAATCTGTTTAATGTGTATCGGTATTGCTTGCGATTTCAAGTTTCTACGTATCACTTTTGAGCACTTATTAACATTTCTTTTCGTCTCGGTGTTCTTCTTCACCTTGCTTGCCTTCGTTGAGGAACAGTACATGTTACTGATACAATTAAAAGTTCAATATAGAATATCAAGTTTAAAGGAAAATATTTTATGCACAAAATTTGGGTGTGGACGCCCCTGTAACAGTGACTATATTACTTTCTCAGTTATTTTTTTATATTTTCAATTATAGGTACCGAGGGAAGATTAAAAAACCATAACATCATATTCGATTGAATTTTCAAAGAAAATAAAATGGGAATTCGCTACTTACTCGCTTTTACATCAACAAATTTCATAAATATGCGTGATGAGGTCATTGAGTGGAAAAGGTGACATAATTCATCACATTTGCAAAGTTAATTTTCTCAGTTTTAATTGTTTTCAATAAACAGAGCTCACCGGGGCAATAAACCAATAATAGCGATTGATTTTAAAAATCTCGTTTATGCCATTTCAACATCTGAAGAGAGTGATATTTGTGGTGGTCGTCATAAAGAAACTTTGAAATTGTGGGAAGATTTGTTGGAAGCACTTAAAAAGTTGGATTGTAAATTCATATTCTTTGCGGACTCGATTACCCCAATGTGGAAGGTTGGAGAATGGATGCAACGACGAGATGAAGATTTTGATAAATACAAAAAGTTATATGAATTGATTAAAAAAGGCACATCACTCGAGGTTATTCCGGGAAAAATTTATAATTTAAAATCATTGATTGCAACATATTACGAAATGTTGCAAAAGGCAAGGGAATACGGTGATTTCCCTTATTCTGCTTGTAATGATAATGATTCGGAGATAGCATATTATGCAAAAGAAAATGAGGTATTTGCTGTCATTTCAAATGATTCTGATTTTCTCATTTATGATGGGCCATGGAAGTTGTGGAGTATTAAAGATTTTAATAATGCTATTCGATTGGAAGCAACTGAATATAATAGGGATAGTTTATTGGAAAAACTCCAACTTCCCAGACATAAAATGCCTCTTTGGGCGACTTTAGTAGGCAATGATTACACGAAGAAGGACGAAAATTTGAAAAGATTTCACGTGCAATTGAGTCGGAAATATAATCACGGTGTGGGCGATCGCCAGCTCTTTGGTAGTATTGTAAAATATATGAATACATTGAATTTTGGTCCAAAAGCTTTAGATTTCAATATAACACAAGTTGCAAGATCGGTTTTTGGATCGGACCACAGAAGATATGTTGAATTGATTAAAAATAGTGTCGATTCATACAATATTGATAATCCACTTGATGTCAATATGATCAACGACCCTATTGGGAAGAAAATTTATCAGTCAAAAAATCCTATTTATCAGTCATATAAGGCACTCATCTATCCAATTGTGGGCATATCATTACCGTATTATGATATGCGTGGCCGTCGACCAGGAGGTATATTTACAGACCTAATAGTACAGTACACAAATCGTAAGAAAGGAATTTTATTGATGGAAACACGTCCAGAAACATACACCTTATTAGCAAAAAAAGAAGCCAACCAACACTTTGAGCGGTCTGAAGAAAAAATAATTTATCCAGATTGTATGTTATTCATTTCAAGTCATTTAAACTAAACGAATATTTATATTTTGAAATGATTTCTTTCTTTCCTTTATATCAGTTACCATACCACCACTTCATCAGTTATATCTTGGAAACACCAGTGTTGTCGATTCCGAAATTATTGGAACGCGCTGGAAAATTTTTCAATTCATTATGATGTTTTCGGAAGAAGACGTAAAAAAAGTTAAGGCATTGGATAAACAGTTTCGATTAATTGGCACCGTTCTTTATGTTTTGGTTAAGGTATTTTTAATACAAAAACTATCATATTTGAAAAGCTTCAAATCATCAATACAATAATAAGCACAGTCACTCAGTCTACCAAAATTAAAAGAGTAGACGCTGGGCCGCTCGATTCAGTTCGCTAAATATTCGAGAAAACTCAACATGACGGAAGTCACGGTACGGCAATTTTTTTTGCAACAAGGTAATGCAAAATCAATGAGTAAGGCCAGCTCGCACCGTATGGTATGCTTGAGCAGGGTGACAACCGTACCGAATAAATGAAGTGCAGTATGATGAATACTATGAAATAAGTTGTTTTTCAATAAAAACTGAACAAATATTTCTATATTAGAAACGACTGCTTAGTGTAGAAGAAGCCGATGGAATTTTATATACTGAGCACAGAGTTTATGATGGAACTGACAATAATCGAAAACCAGTTAAAGTCGTTGACGAACACATTCGCTCAGCTCACATCTATGTTAAAGCATTCGATTGTGTACGTGAAAATTTCGCAGTTGCTGGACTTCTATCACAAATTCAGGTATTATTGGAATGATCAATGAGAAATGGTTCGGTCAAAACCAAGAACCGCTTTTGTTCGAACCGTTTTACGAACGGACAAATTTGCACCAATTTTTCGAACATGGACATAGCTTCTGACGGTCGCGTTCCAAGGTTTTCAAAATTGTAAAAGGGTTAATTTTTAGCTCACAATTCGAAATCGAAAGAATTTTTCCCATTTGAAAAGCTTGTTGCGCAAAAAAAAGTCTTCACTATTTTCGCAAAAATCCTCAGCAAATCGACAGATTATTTTTCTCAATTTGTAAAGGAGTAATTTTTCAAATCCATTCTCCAGGAGGGGGTGCTAATTGAACCTCTCGGAACCCTGATCAGGAGCTAAGAACATGGACATTTTTTGCCACTTTCAATTACTTTAGTGTATTGTCTAATGTTTACCTAATATTTCAGGAAAAACTGCTATTTAACGGTGTTTTCTTTCAACAGATAATTCACAATATGAGTGATGCTTTTCGTCACAAATATATGAATTCATTGCAAAAATACCGTATTTATGCTTAGTTTCAAGAATATTACCGATTTATATTCACGATCATTTTGCTGTAGCAGCTGATTAATAAATACTTGAAATACTTGGTGTGAGGAATTTTATTATAATTTTATCAAATTTACCTTATCATTGGAATATATTAATGGGGAAAATTGCCATTTAATAATTATAATCTTTTTTCTTTTTTTGTGAAAAATTCTTTTTCCCATTCATTTGATAGAAATTTGATGTGTAATCGTTGAAATTTGGCGAGTTATATCATACAATCATATTTTGAAGAAAAAACAGCGGATTTTAATTTTTACTCTTAAGGCATATTAAAGCAACAGTCAGAAGTAGCTGCATTTTTTTCTAGAATCGCTTCTAAATGGTTTTAAAAAATATCGTTTTGTACATCTACTCGTTGAAGTATACCAATTAAGTCAAAGACAACAAAAACCAAAAAAAGGAAATTACCCATTCTATTTTCTAATTATTGAAAATGTTCAAGAAGAGAATGTGGATTGAGTTAGTTGGTTTGATCAAATAAAACCACAAATGTTTGTTTAAAACAAAATTCGTTGCTACATACGTTCGTTCGGCGAAATCTTTCAAAAATTTTGAAAATTATCACTTCGAATCACTATATTGTTGTACATATACTTACCGTAGGATTCTCAGCCAAATAGTCTAGTCGATCGAACGAAAGGTACATTCAGATCATGAAACCATTAAAAATATTTCCAAATTCTCGGTTACGTTAAAAAAACTACCTTTATTTCTTGTTTAATATAAAATTAATGTGTAATTGTGCTTCGATTTTTTTCCACCAGAAAAATAGATTGTGAAATCACATTGACGGAAACGATTTAGATTTAACCAATGACCAAATGGATGAAAAAATGAAATCCTTCAAGCTGCTGTACCACATTTATGTACTAAATAAACCTTTAGTAAATTGTTGAGGTTTTGTTCGAAATTTGTGATAAAGTTTCTGAACGAATTATTTTTCTTCGTTTTAATAAGATCATTGAATTCCACTGTGATTAGTTCAAAATTGTCCACATCGGTTGTGACATGAACAGTGGCTGACAATTGTAATTGTAAGGCGTTTTTCTTGAATCGTTCTTGTGATTCGAGTCGTTCATAGTTCAATGTATTAACGGTAATTTTTTTTGTTTGTTTTCGTGCTAAAAATACATCACGTGTTCCAACAATACTGAATTCCTTTGAAAATTCATCAATTTTTTTGCTCTTTGAATCATCGCTGGTTGTGTCCGTTTGTGGTTCTGGTGTTGCACTTGTTGATGGTGTATTTGTACCATTTGTCGCTGTTTGGCTCGTCATATTTTCAACCTTAAGCATAAATATATCCTGTAGTATGCCATGAATGCTTTGAATAATGTTTTCAGCCCATGATCGATGGATGGTTTGATTGTCGATTTTCACATTTGTGTCGCTGTGTTTTTTCATCAAAATGTCACGTATAATCGATAGATGATAGTCGGTGGGTTTTATTTGCAAAACAATTTTACGATTTGTTGTTGATTGTGGTTTTAATACAGCCAATTGTGGTGGAACACGTGGTTCTGGAACTTTTTGATTTTTTCGTCGAACATATTCCAGAAATTTTCCCGCATCAAATATTGATAATAGTAATTTGGTACTTTCACCACCTGCTTCAAGTTCCGATTCGATGATGTTGGCAGCATACTCAAATTTGGTGATGATCTTTTGAAATTCTTTGGCTGCAATCGCACCTGGAATCGTATGCGTTGTTTCGAACGGATCTTGGATGCAAATACATTTATTGAATTGCATTGGTGTTAAGGTCGGATTGAATTTTAGCATTTCGTGATATCGTTGAAATTCGGTCAATTCTTGGGCTAAAATGTCAGCTTTCTTGAACGATTTACCGTACAACGGACAAATGACATTTTTATCAAAATCAAAACTTTTGTAAAATTTAAAAAATCCCATCAATAATTCGGAGCATCGACTTTGATTTTTTGTTTGATTTGGATAAAATTCATCGAACGCAAAATTATATCCATTCACAAATAATGGATGGACACGCTTTTGAAATTCAATGATTGGAGGAAGAATTGGTACTGGCAACTGTTGCAAATAAAATAAAAGCATCCATACAATTGCATAGTTTGATATCCGATTTTTTCCAGCACAGTCATGTACTTTGGCCCAGTACTTTAGAATAGTAGCCAGCACGTAAATTTGTGTGTCGAATGTAAGAAGACGCGCCACTATTGGACTGTTTAAAAATATGTAGAAATTAATTTTTTGTCGAGAGAAAAAGAAAATTCTTTTTTTTTTACCTATTCAATATGCCGTAGGAGTCGGAAAAATTGATGTCAACTGCCATGGACGTTTTAGTGTGGTAACATTTTAATATTGGTACTCGTGCATGTGAAATTGGTAAAAAATTGGTGAACTGTCCGCTTCGTCTCAAAATGTTCATGGCTCGACCGATAATTTCGGCAGGTTTTGCGTTCAATGGTGGTCGAGACAACTCGATGAAAAAATCAAAATCACTGTCTATACATAAATAAGAGAAAAACATGTTCAAAAAAATATGAAAAATTAATGTGAATTGTTACCTTTAAAAGCAATTCCCATCACGGTTGAGCCAAATACTTCCAATCGAACACCTGGATATTGGCGTTGTAGAGCTAATAACAAGTCCTTCTTAACTTCCATACACTTCAGCCATAACGTATGATGATCGGGCTTCAGAGAAGAGTGTAGTACTTCCAATTCACGTCCTGGTTCACATTTCTCCAATCGGTTGCGAACCTGTTCTTGCATAAACTGAAAAATCTGTGCGTTCGGATCATCTTTTGCCATCTGTTGTTGTGGTTTGTTTGTCATTTTCCGAGATTTTTTCGGATCATTGTTTTGTGTTGGGTTTCCTTGGTTTTTTCTTGTCGCTCTTTGACCATTATTCGAAACTTCTAAACGAATCAATTATTTACAAAAATAACAATCAAAGAAAAAAAAATTGCATTTTTTTTCACAACATTATCTATTCAATAATACTCACTTTTTTCCGGACTTTTCGAATCGGTCGGAGCATGTAATTCAGTTTTTGTATCGTTCATAATTGGCCCATACGTTTCGTTAATAAATTGAAATACTTTTTTAAAATACTATTGCATTGTTTGATTTATTAACAAACATTATAACAATTGTTCAGACAACTTTTCCATCGTATTTAACATGCGAGATACAACAAACAACATTTTTGATTGACATTTCAATGGATACGTTCAATATATCACACATACAGTGAAAATGGGTGCGTTTTTACATGTCTTAATTTTTTAATACAATTTTACACACTTCAGCATTTCTTATCATATTTCGATGTTGAGAGAAAACTAGAAATGTTAATTAAAATATTACAAAATAGTAGATTTATTGCGAAAGCGATTCCGCTCAACGGAATTCCAAATCTAACAAAATCACTATGTAAAGTTGAACCAGTTCAATTGATGCTAAAACGGAATGCATCGATTCACACTCGAAATATTTTAATACAAAAGTTCAAATTAGAACATGTTGATAATTTTGGCATTTTCTTAATGGTTAGCTCAAAATGGTTTTATAATATTTTCTCGAAAAAAAAACTTTATTATCACGTCTTTCGTTTCATTTAATTTGTTTGTAATGACATTCCTTTTTTTTCATTAGCTATTTCCAGTGGCAACTTTTGGCTTGGGAGTATGGCAAATCCGACGAAAAGTTTGGAAAGAGCAGCTGATTGCAGAATTAAAACTTCAAATGAATAAAGAACCAGTGGATTTACCAGAACAGTATGACAACTTACTGATAATTGTGCATTTGAAATTTCAGTTAATAACCAATAACGTTGTTTTGTTCTTCTCGAATAGTTTGCCCGAGCTCAATGACATGGAATATCAGGCAGTGAGAGTGCGTGGACATTTCTTACACGATAAAGAGCTATACTTGGGTCCTAGATCATTGATTGAAGAAAAAACCGGGAAAAAAGGTGGAGTGCTAACGATGGCTCCCAAATCTGGATATTTGGTTATCACACCATTCAAGCTCGAAGGCAGAGAGTATGTCGATTTACATTTGGAAAAAAAAGAACATTTTAACAGTTTATTGATTTTTTTTCAGAGAGGTAATTTTGGTAAATCGTGGTTGGGTTCCGAAGAAAAAGAAAAATCCATTGTCTCGAAAAGAAGGTCAAATTGAATCAAATGTTGAAATTATTGGTGTTGTTAGAAAGCACGAAAATCGGCCGCAATTCATGCCAAAAATGAAAGATGATCAATTGTTCCTGTTTAGGTAAAAACAAAATAATAATGCACTATCGGTGATTTATGGTGATTATAATATTGATTAACATTTTTCAGAGATGTCAATCGAATGAGTGAAATAACTGGAACACAACCATATTATTTAGATGCAACGATCGGTTCAAGTGTACCAAATGGTCCAATCGGTGGCCAAACAACGATTGCGATACGGAATGAGCATCTTTCATATGTCATTACCTGGTTCTCATTATCCGGATTATCCGCATACTTTTGGTATAAAATGGTGTACACAGTTAAAAAATAGATCAAAAAAGAAATGTTCTATTAAAAATTAGTATATTTTGTTTTATTTCTTCCACCAGAATAATTTTGTTGACAAAAACAATGTGGTCATTTTAGTTGTTAAAATTCGAAAATACATAATAAATGCCATTACATTGCAAAACCATTTATAATTTAGAATATAAAAAATCAGTTCATGCCGAAAGTGATGCTTTCAAATTTTCCGCCAACTTATCCATGAATGCAAATGTATCTAAATAGTCACCTTTTTGAACATTTGCCATGCCTTTAATGCAAATGGCCAAATCTTTGGTTAGAAAACCCGATTCAATTGTATCGATACACACCTTTTCCAATGTAATGGCGAATTTTTTCAATTCAGCATTATTGTCAAGTTCAGCACGATGTGCCAAACCTTTTGTCCATGCAAAAATCGAAGCAATTGGATTTGTTGATGTCTCTTTGCCTTGTTGATGCATACGATAATGACGTGTGACTGTTCCATGAGCAGCTTCAGCTATATATTCAATAAAAGAAAGTATTTGTTTATTGATTTTTCGATAAATTTAGCAAGAGACAAAAAAATACCTTCAACTGTTTTACCATCGGGACAGATCAAGACCGATGTCATCAAACCAAGTGAACCATAACCTTGAGCAACTGAATCAGACTGAACGTCACCATCATAGTTCTTACATGCCCATACAAATCCACCTTCTGATTTCATGGCATATGCGACCATATCATCGATTAAACGATGTTCATACCAAATACCATCGGCCTCATATTTACTCTTATACTCAGTTTCGTAGATATTTTGGAAAATATCCTTGAATCGTCCATCATACTTTTTGAGTATGGTATTTTTTGTGCTTAAATATAACGGATATTTACGGCTTAATGCGTATTTAAACGATGCATGAGCAAAATCAATAATGGAAGCATCCGTATTAAACATTCCCAATGCAACGCCTGCACCTTTAAATTCGTTTACAATATGGCTGATGGTTTCACCGCCATTTTTCGGCACAAAACGAAGTTCCAACGTTCCAGCACCAGGAACAACAAAATCGGTGGCCTATTTTTTAATTAAGAAATTAATTTAAGAAAATGTGATAATAAAAACGTTTTTGTTACTTTGTATTGATCAGCATGTGCATGACGGCCAATGATAATTGGTTGTGTCCAGCCGGTGACTAAACGTGGAATATTTTTACAAATGATAGCCTCACGAAATACAGTACCACCCAAAATGTTACGGATCGTTCCATTTGGTGATTTCCACATTTTTTTCAATTTAAATTCTTCAACACGAGCCTCATCTGGTGTAATGGTCGCACATTTAATGCCAACATTATATTTTTTCACCGCTTCGGCACAATCGATTGTCACTTGATCATTGGTTGCATCACGATTTTCCATACCCAAATCATAAACATGCAATTCGATATCCAAAAAAGGTAAAATCAATTTTTCTTTTATCAAATCCCAGATGATACGTGTCATCTCATCGCCAAGAATATCAACGACCGGGCCTGCCTTTATTTTACTTGCCATTGTGATTTATACTGTAAACAAATAAAATTAAAAAAATAAAATAAAATGAATGACACACTTTGTTATATGAGCATTGAGCATTATAAACTGTCTGAGCCATATCAACAATATATATATGAATATATATATATATATATATATATCAATTCCATGCAGTGTGGTTTTATCGATTGTAGAACGCACTTTGTACCAGACACAAATGAATAATAATCGACTATATACAATGTATATATAATCAGAGGCTTGGGTCTGCCGTTTGATGACCGGTAATTCTATATATATATAAATTATATGTAAATCAAATATATGCGTGTGTGTATGATTCGACGAAAGGTTGAAGTGGCAATTGTCTGGAGTCTTCAATATGACAACAACGCCGAAATAAAAAAATGTTGAAAAAACTCGTTTCTTCATTAAATAATATAATCATTATGATGAAAGATTAAAGTACAAATCCAATACGTGACTGCATACACTTCATATACGAAACAATTTCAACACAATATTTCAAATCAAACACGAGCTTAAATTTTAGCCGAACATATCTACGTCAGTCTTCTTAATAATTATTTGCAAATTTGTAAACAATTTTATTTTTTTGATTATAAAAAAAATCAAAACAAAAATGTTCTGCAGCCGATTAAAACGATAAACTTTCTCTTTTCCATATGATGCAGACTTTTGCTTTTATTAAATATGTTCGATAAGTTTGTGTTATTACATTGTAGTTCTTCTTCAAATAAATATTAGAATTAAATCGACTAATTTTATTATTAAAATGTATAATTCTAGCATTTTATGATTGATATAGATAGCGGCATTCTAAAACACCGCTATCATTTTAATTTAGTGCGCGTCATTGAATTTCGTCTTATTGTTGTTATTATTAATTAAAATGAATAAATAATACCTTGAAATTTGCCAATTTAAATAAAAAAAGAATGGGCTACTTGATTTGGTTTTGTTTTTGCCGTAGAAGAAATTATTACAATATGATTATAACTGAGCTAAGCGATAATGTGTACTGAGCGAGCTTCACCATACAACTGATTTCATGTAAGAATTTAAAGCAGTGATTAGGTGAAAGTCTTCATGAACGAAAGTAAATATAGATATATGAATTGAACGCACTCTCTGGATATTCACTAGAAGTATAAGGTATATGTGTGTATGTTGTGTACTTGAGTGAATGTATTTTTTTTAAAAATAAAACCGGATATTTTTGGTATTCAACTCCATTCATTAGTACCAAATACTTACAATAAGTTATTTAAATAAAAGAACGAAATGATTTTAAGAGGATATAGCCAGCAATTATCCTATGAATTTTATATTATCAAATCCTAAAAGACGTCGACTCGATTGTCTGGCGGTGGTGCAATACACCATTTGGATGTGATGACACCCAAACTGATCAGTAATACGATTAGCGATGATAATGCCAGAACAACACCTGTTATTAAATCATGGAACGGTGTTCCGGGGATTGGATTCAATCCAAGCAAAGCAACAAGACCACAACAGTTGAGTAATGAGAAAATTGTCACCAAAACATAGCCTGCAAATAAAAAAAATTTCATGAAAATATTTATTCATATTTTGACGTGTTTTTTCTTCTTTTATGTAAGTAATTATCAAACTAACCTGATATGTAATTGCGATTTGGCAGCCAATAACACTGTCGTGATCTAAAGCCCATAGCACCAAGCGCGGCAGACGCAAAACCCGATATGATACCCAAATCCAAATAATAAGATCGTCTCATCTATAGATTCATATGAGAAATTTAAAAATGCTTTTACTCTCAATTCCGCATCCTTCTGAAGTTCAATTATATTAGTATCAATGTGTTTTCAACATATCCCTTGAGATGATTTTACAACAATTATGTTGATCACATTGTACTTTTTTTTTTTTTAACAAAGATGTCAAAAAAGAAGATTCAAAATACTTACATCGGTGACCATATATAAACATAGTCCTGAATTTAAGACACCGGTGAGAATTAACATGAGTGAAATAACTGCGATGGTAGCGGTTGCATTTTCGACTTTTTGGAAACTTTCATGGGGCCAAGGTTTTTCGCCATCCATCGTTGATTCCATATAAACCGATTGCTGATGAAGTCGTGGCGATATAATAGCCGTTGTTCTTTGCTCAATACTTTGCGAATGGATTTGTTTATTTTCATATTTTAGCTTTTGTGGTGTAAAATTCGTTCGTTGTTCTTGTGTTGCGTAAATATTTTGTAGTTGAAATTGATTTGGTGATTTTTGAACGATTGTCTGATAACTGGCTTGACGTTGAAGCGTTTCTTGTTGATTTTTGCGTGGTGTCGACAATAGTTCATGTAGTTTTTGTGTGGCAATTGGATTTTTGGTCGGTGTTCTTGGCATATAGTTCAATGATTTTAATGATTGATAGTTGGTTCTCATTTGATTTTCTCTGCTTTCATTGTACTCCATTGTAGTGTTTAAATGTTCACGGCTTGCCAATGTTGATTGAATTTTTGGTTGTTGTTGTTGTTTTTCGGCTACCGTTGTAAGTCGCTGTTTATTCGTGCACATTTTTAACGGTGAATTTTGATGGTGTACATTTGAATGAACATTGGTGACATGATTTATGATTCCATTTTCATCATCGTCATCGGTTGGAATGACCGCATATCGATGAAGGCGACCGTTATGCATTTCAATAATTTCATGATTTGTGTCAACAACTTCTTCATCATCATCGGTTGGTACAATTGTGTATCGTTGTTGACTATTTTGATCGACCAATATCATTGATTTATTTATAAAATCCGATGAAAATGCGGAAATTAATTTTTTCTCATTCTCTTGTGGTTCTTGAATTGCTGGCAAACTGATAAAACTATCTTCTTCATCATGAACAAAATCCAAATTATCTTGACTTTTTGTTAGTCGCAATGAACTACTACTGCGCATCATATTTAGTTCGGTTGTTGGTAAAATTGCATAACGATCTTTACTTGAACTGGGCAGATCTTCGAGTGGCACCAATGCATAACCGCTTGTATTGAATTGCATGCTTGTATTGTGACATTTTGACAATTGTTCTTTCGAACCAATATGAAAATCATAATGATTTGGTTTTGGACCGGGTTTTGGTGGTAGACTTCGTTGTTGAACCTTTTGGATTCGTTGATTTGTACCTTGAAAATTTCTTGGTCGATTTGTCCAATTTCTTCGTTGAGCCAAATGTAAAATTTCACTTCGCGGTAGATTAATTTCACTATTTGCTTCAATCGATGTTAAAGAACTCATTCGCGGACAAAATTCACTTTCAAACGCTGGATTTGTATAATGTGCCATTGTGTGTGTGTGTTTTTTTTTTCTAAAACTCTTATTTGGACTGTTTAAACAAATGTGAAAAGAAATAAATTATAAAACTACACTTTCGAAATTTAAAACTATTTGAATTATTTTCACGACTTTTTTTGTATATATGTTAAATAAATTAAGTAAACAACTATTTTTTGGGCGAAAAATTGTAACTTAAAGTTAATTTTGGTATATTTTTGAACACCTTTCTTGATCAACACATAACGAGCATCTGGTGTTTTAAATGCGTTGCATGCATAAAGAAAGACGACCGTTAAAAAAATCTATTTGATTCCCCTATGCTAAGAACCAATAATAAATTTCAGTTAGAGTCGCACATCTGATGATCAACATACGTGCACGCACACACGCACACTTACAAGTACATTTGTGTATTCTTGTGTATATGTTTGCGCGTATGCCCTCAGAAGGATATATGCGTTGCACATGTGTGCGTGCAGATTGCATTCATTTTTATTCGTTATTTTTACTATTTGTTTGTGTAAACACCCTGCACACATACTAACAAATATAAACATAAAACATGTGCCAAATTCCCCCTAGTTGATGCGTTCCAGTTGGTTTAATACTATGGAAAATGCGGTATTCTGTATAAACATTTTTTGTTTAAATATTCGCAAAATTTATTAAAGAGCACAAATTCGACGATGTAGTCTCATTACAGAACATATATAAGAGATTTTTTTCCATGAAAATTGTGGGTGTTTGGCCGGAAAAAATCAAATGAAGCAATTTTTTCACAATGAGTACTAACAATTGCTTGATGATGGAATCTCGAGAAGTCATATGAAAAATGTTGGGTTTCCAGTATTTGCAATATTTTCATACAGAGCCGATATTCCAATACACTTTTCCGATCAATTTTTTCGGAATTATTCCGAAAAATATATTTCTATGAATGAATATTGTTTTTAATATACATTGCAGCACATAGCGAGAATAATAGGCGTTATTCATAAGACAAAAAAAACAAACAAAATTCCCCTTATTTCAGTGAAATTATTCCGAAACCTCTCTACATGATGGAATTAATTATATAGTTTCTCTTGAAAAAAATTAATAATTTTTTGTCTTTTCAATATTTGGCGACAAATGTAGACATCAAAAGTACCAAAATAAAACTCTAATAGGACTCTACATTTGTCGCCAAACGTTAAAAAGATTTTAAAATAATTGTCAACCACTCGAAATGTCAGGCGCTGAAACGGACTGAAAACGATAGAAATGATTATTATATTGATTGTAGTAATGTAAGTGTTAATATAATAATAGCTTCTATTGCTCACTGAAGCTGAGTTGTTTGTATAAACAATAATTCCGAACGATTCTTGTGGAATTGTCGTAGAATACCCAGCTGGAGTCAGGCACTGAAACGGAGTGAAAAGAATAGAAGTGAGTTATAATAACATTATGTTGATTTCTATAAAAATCACTTTTATTCTTATCGCTCTACTTAAGCGCTTGATCTTAACTGCCCGAGTCTTCAGCTGGCTGAAAATATTTAAATGTGCGGCATCTACAAAAATTGGAGATTTTACTCTGAAAGCTCTTTTTCCTCGCCGTCCGATTGCGTCCCGACTGTAATCATGTCAGAAATCGGACACGATTTCAGTCGAACGCCTTCAGATACGACATACATTTTGATTTTGAATATTTACTCTAACTGCATTTGTATCTAATTTCCTGGCGTTATTCAAAAAGAGTATTTGCAAGTTTTGACTTAAGTATAAAAGCGAAAAGGTGAACGTAATCTTGCAGTCGCTGTGATTTCCTGCTTCAAGATTTCATAAAGTTTTCAAGTGAGGAAATTATTCATTTATGATTAACCCAAACTAAATGAACCAAATCGAAAGTGTTACAATATTGATAAAAATAAACTAAAAGGGAAATTTCTGTCCGCAGATATATTTGAAACTGACAAATTTTCTTGCATTAGAACCGGAAACATACTAGTTTTCAAGATATTAGAATACCAAACACCGACAGTTACTTTAAATATTTATTGAGTACATAAAGTTTTGTCGCATGGAATGCATTTGAATTAATAATCTATTTAAGTTTTGGTTCCATTTCGCCATAAATTTCATCTAAAATTTCATCTAAAACACAGATTGAAGAAATATTTCCCAAAAAAAATATTTATAATAAGATTAATTTGAATATGAATTAAAAACTAACGAACGTACGTCTACGTAAATCGAATCGATCTAGTACGTTCAAATGTCAATTGGGTGATTGCTAATGAGATGTTTAATCGTATTTAATTCTGAGGCCCTTCTGCTCGTTCGAACTCTAAACATTCCATACGAAGCACCTTTCAGCACATTCATTAGTTAACGACTCATTATCGTAACAGCATTCATTGATGGTAGTAGCTAAGAGATTCAAAGTCCGTAAAATTGAATTTTAAACTAAAAAAAGTGTTTTCTCACAATTTTCTAATTCCTTTAATAATTTCTTAAAAGCATAAACGTTTTTAAATAATCTCGTGAATTTTTCTGCTAAAATAAGGTATTTTGGAGTTTTGTTTTCAAAAATTAAGTAATACGAAGTAAATCAGTTCAACAGTAAAATAATCTCCAAATTTTCAGAATATGTCGTCGAAAATGTCACATGCAGATGAGCCGTGTGCCAAACGCTGCAAAGAGTCCATTAAATCTGAACTCCAAAAAATCAGTTCATATCATATTTTACAATTAAATAACGATTGCTTACTAACCATTTTCGAGTACTTGAACATTGAAAGTTTATGTCACATTGCCAATGTATGTACACGATTCAAAGGAGCAAGCGAAGAATTATTTAGTTATAAATATAAAAGTTTTGAGTTTAAAAACTCCAACATTAAATTACCTTTGCTTCGTCGTGTTCTTTGTAAATTTGGTCATTATATTCAATCTCTTCGTGTTGAATGTCTCGAGACTATTTCGAATTTGCAATTAGCAAAATATTGTTCGATAAATTTGAAGCATCTATCTTTACGCTCTGTGAAAATAACCCATGATGAAATTGTCCCATTAGTTCCACATTTGGAATGTTTGGAAATACGTTTTTGTCAAATGGATGCTCACGGAGATTGGAATAAAGTATTTAATAATGCTCCAGAACTCGAAAAGCTAGTGTTCAAAATGAAAAACGGCCATTCAAAATGGGCAGACAATATGTTAATGCGACACATGCCAAAATTAAAACACATCGAATTGGATTGTTGTGATCTACATTCCGATCAACTTTCCGGTATATTACGACTCAATCCACAATTAAAACAATTGATCATCACGACATTTATAAATGATGAATTTATTGAGGCCATCGTTGAGAATGTAAAAGATTTGGAGGAATTAACATTTGGATCGAAGGAAGCAAAACAAACCGGACATCACAGTGCCAAAGGTCTTCTTCGGCTGAGCGAACTGAAAAATTTAACGAAGCTAGGTATTAATGATTTTCGGTGGGTAGGTTATGAAGATTCACTTTCTTTACTGGTAAAAACATTTATCAACAAAAACATTTTACTCGAAGAATTATCAATAGAAAGTCGTTCATTCGATTTAACGGTCGTTGACGATTTAGTTAATATGAAAACATTACGAAAACTCCGTTTAGGCGGATTTGATATCACAGCTACTGATCTCATTGCTTTAACGGCTGAATTACCTTTGCTATCCAAATTGACGATATCGTACAATTTTAATGGAACGATTAATGTCGGCACCTTGATTACAATGATAGAGATCAGAAAGGAATTAGACTACTTGAGTTTTGATGGTGATTGCTACTTTATAATAACAGAACAAGATTACAATTCGTTGGTACAAGCCGTTTTAAATACTGGCATGAACAGAAAAGTCAAGATTCAGGTGGAGAATAATGATAAATTTGATTTAAGAGTTCATGAAAGCACTTTGCTCGCAAATAAAAACCATCTTGAATTGGAAAGCAAAAATAGCAAATACTTCGATGTATACTCATTGACAGTACCCGAAGATATAATTAAGTTGCTAAAACCATTATCGACATAAGAGATCGACACATTATTTAATTTTGTTAGAACCACTTTAATATTTAGATTAATAAACTAATAATATTGCACAAATAGTAATATATTTGAAATTTATGTACATGTATTCAAGATTTTCATAATTTACTTTACCAAATGGGTTCTGAACAACAATGGATGGTAACTATTGCATTTTGGATCTTTCATGGAGTTTTCACCATATTTTCATAAATCCACATAATATTTATTTTTAAGTACTCACTATCTTACTCTTACTGCATTATCATCTAATAACAGCATTTTTATTAAATAAAAAAAATATAAAATCAAAATATTTATCGTTTGTTTTATTATCACATTTGCCAAACCATTAACATTATTTTATAATATAAATCCCAGAAATTAGTTTAAATAAGTTCGTGGAAAATTTTACAACAGTAAGGTTCACGCTGTTAATTAAAGTAAAAAAAAATAAAATTGTAACAGTGAAAAAGATTACCCACAAAAAAAAATCAACAAAATATTGTGCAACTTTTGTCTTAAAAAACATAGTGTGGCCTATTTTCCAAAAAAAAATGTAGCGTATTTTTAAATTCCATTTCGACAATTTGCATCTGAAGATGTAAACTTATAAAATTATCAGCCAATTTTTTTTTTATTTAAAAAAAAAAACAAACGAAATGAAATAAATTATTTCAAAAAAAATTGCATCTCTCTTGAGAATGATGTCAACTGTCCGGAATGTGTAGGATGTCAACGCAATAAGATCATTTCTTTCGCTGAATTGCTTGCATTATTCGTTGTGCCATAAATGGCCATAGAATCATGAAGACGAACCACGTTGGCGATATCTCCACAAATGGCCACCATCTCGGGTACTTCAGTTCCAATATCTTAGATTTATGCATAGACGATTTAGTATTGAAATTCAGTATACTTATTTCAATATTTATGTTCACCTTTTTCCGTAATTGTTGATTCCGCACATCGGATAAAGATCGCTCCAATAGATTAATCCGTGAATGGATTTGCTGTAAGTCACTGCGCATCGACTCAACCATTTTCAAGACTTGTGTGATTGTTGGTACGGTCTGGACTGTATTATTCATTGCAACCACTGTATTGGTGCTATGGTTATCAGCGTCCTGAAAATTAAAGAAAAATATTCAATCAATTCTTTGTTCAATTTGAAAGATCGAAAAATAATGGATGATTTCGAGAATAGAGTATAATTGTATCTTCAAATTGAAATGAAAGACGGAAAAGAGATTCTTTGTTTAATCAGCACTATTTGAATGCTTGAATCCCCAATTCTCTAATGAAAATACTCCTCTTTTAAAATCCATTGATTTTTTTTGAAAAGTTTTTTTTTATTACATTGGAATGGAAAGCGCCCACTTCTGTTTGGTTAATGCGAATGCGTCGAGCTGGTCGCGAACAACGGACCGGTTCTTCTATTAATTGAGGATCATCCTATGGCCAATGGAAATGTTAACGTAAAATATTCAACCTGTCATAACCCAATTGTTTCGAAGCAAAAATAAATCAAAGATTACCTCAACGGTATCGATATATTCATCATCGGAAGGTTCGGCTGTATTCAAATGACCATTGTGCATATGTCCGTTTGAAGTTCCATTGGTGTAATCATATCGAAATGGTCTATCGGATGCTCGAATTGGACTTGCTTCACGCGAAGCTTATCGTTTTAAATAAATGAAAATACAAATACAATTGAAAAATAAATGTTATAAATATATGCAAACAAAACAAAAAAACGCAATTACCAAATGGTGAGTTCGGTTGTGATTTCACTTTTTTTATTGCTTCCGGAGCAACAACTTCCAAATCGTCAACATCAACGCCGTCCAATTCATTTATGCTTCCCATAAATTCAGCAACATTATCCGTATAAGACATTGTTTCGATTATCTTTTTCAGCTCATCAACATATAATTCCATTGCACGTTCCTTTGACATTTTCCCAAGACTCTTATACGACTCATATTTTGCCCTATCATCGATAAAAATGAAATTTTAATTAAAAAATGAAATTGATTTAAATTAATTGATTTTCAATACCTGCCCACCACATCCCAGAAGGGGGGTTTCTTTTGTGTACATGGACCCAACGTTGCTTGTTTATAATAAGAATAGAATCTTAACATCATATCATTGCTTGGTTGATACGAGCCTAATCGAAAAAGATGGAATTTCATAATCAAATGTTTATTCAACAATTATTATTGTTTTGTTTGCGTTTAAATATTGACAAAAAATAAAATACGTCAAATGCATTAGACGTATGTTTAATAAACTGAATATCAACCAAAATTTCATCAACAGCGTAAATTCGATTTCTGCATTCATTTCGGCTCATCCCTTTCTTTTTTTCTCCATTCAACCAAGGAGAAATATTTAAAAATAAACAATCCGAATCTTTGTTTTTTTGAATAAAAACCGGTTATTTATTTACGTATTTAGAATTCATTGTAAATTTTACAAAATTAATGAGATTTCAATTTTGCATATTGCCTCGATTTAATACGATTCAGGAAGAGATTGTTATATTTTGATAAATAACAAGACATTTTATTTTTCTTGAAAAAAAAAAAAAAATAATAGTTTTGTCATAAAGGTCGACAATTCTCTAAATAAGTATGAAAAAAAATGGTGCAAATTATATTGAATAAGTTTTAATTGAACATTCTCTCTTTACGTAAATCATCAATTTGCTCTCTTTGGATCTCGTACTGGATCTTGTACATGAGCGAGAAAGTGGACATTCTAAAAAAAATATATATTTGTTCAAGAGAAGGAGAGTGGTGTCAAAGACCGGTGCAGATGAAAATTCAATCACAGAAAAACAATTGTCGATTAATTGAAAATTTAAATTTTCGGTTGATTTGTTTCAAAATCATTTTTATAACATTCATTTTCAGTAACAAAGTGCATTTTGATGAGTGCATCAATGTTCAATGGTACTTACCATTCTTTGGCAATCCACGTATAACATTCACCGCGGCTGTGAAGCGATCTTCAATTCGTTTTGATGGAATATCACCGTTGACACTTGTGGATGTTATCACGTCCATCTTTATATCAAATGTTTCACTTTATATTCCAAATTCCGATATTATTTCACTATACACATGAGAAACTATAAATGCAATTGTTAATGATGTGAATATATTTGTAATTGCAATGTCAAAGCTTTTATTTGTATAGCAATCACCAAATATTATTTAAACAAAAAACACATCGTACAACGAATATGTAAATTATTGTTTGGACACTGGGTAAACTTAAGCTCATAATTCCAGTTATTGCGTAGTTTCATGTAGATTTTGCAAATTGCTGCAATTATTCGAAAGTTGAAAGTCTTTATACATCGGCCTAATATCGATCTCTCACTTAGTATTGGGCTAATTAGTGAATGTGTTTACACTTGTTTTTTTTTTTTTTTAATAATATCTCATTTCTCGATTTTTTTTGTTATCTTTTCCCTCATTCAAAAAAAAAATCATTTATGAACAAATTGGCACAGATAAATACATGCATACATACACATAATTACATATATACATGCATGTACATATTATAATGTATTATAATGTACCAGTACAGTTCATATGTATATAAATTGATATATGAAATGTTCCGCTCTAATTTATGTCTTTTTTTTAGCAATAAATTACGAATAGCAAATGCAACCAAACAGAATATATTTGAAAAGAATGACCCTTACATTGTTTTATCCACAAGTTCAATAAAAAAAAATCAATTTATTTAACAAATACTTTCGGGCAGTATTTATTTCACAGTTTGATAACAAAATTTACATATATGATTGATTGGTGTTCAATCGTTAATTTTCCGATTACAAATTTTCGTTAAAAAATGGCATTTTTGCTTATAATAACCAAGAAATGTTTAAAAGAAATAAGAGAAATTTTGCAATTATCGTGTAAACCTATGTTTGTGACATGCTATTTTTCTTCTTTTTTTTCTTTATTTGACGTTTTGTGTCAGCCCAATCAAAAGAGAATGGAAAAACACAAAGTATGTACTTTATGTACATGATTGCAATTGACACTAAGTAACGGTTAAGTATGAGTTGTTTTCATTTCAAATAGATTAATCTTCGATATATTTTTTATGGAGGTAAACGCTTAGTGTTAATCATCCAAAGACATCGATTTACTGATTTTTTTGGTAATTTGATTGAGACAAGCGCGTTCCTTTAATTCTTTTTTCTTATCGCGTTTTTTCTTCGATTTTTTTATCGTCACCGTTATTCCGGAGTCCTTAATCTTTTCTAATTGCTCATCAATTTGGTCGTCGTTTCGTTTCTTGTTCTTTTTCTTCTTTTTTGCTTTGGGTGGAATTGAAAGGTAAGACGAATCGATGTTCATTTTAATTTCTTCGTGAATATTTTTCAGATGCTTTTTTGACTTTTTTCGTCTTTCTTTTTTTATTAATTTTGAACTATCCTGAACTCCATGTAGTTTGGCCGTGACTGTGTCCACCAAGTGACCATCTTCCGTTTTTAATTTTGAAAATGAATTGGCCAATTCATTGGCACGTTTACGTTCTTGTTTCAATTTTTTCTTGGACTTCCTCACGTAATCATTGCACTGTGTTAATAAATTTAATTTAACGGATTCCGATGAACTATTCAAAGTTTGTGGTTGTTCGGTGCTATCTGATTTTTGCCGTTTTTTATGTTTTTTCTTAACTTGAATCCAGTCTTTGAAGATGTTTGGTGCTGTTTCTGTATTCAAAGCCATTTTTTCTAACATTTGTTGTTCTTGTGCATCGATTCGGCTAAGTTTGCCGCTCAGTGATAAACCATGGCGGGCTCCTCTGAAGTACATACAAGAAGACAACATTTAATCATTTGCTAAAAAAAATGGTGAATTGAGTTTTTTTTTTTACTTATGTGCAGTTCGGCCACCACAAGCCTTTAGTATATCGTCATCAGTAAGAATTCTACTATTGATCGATGGTAATTTTTTTGGTGGACTGTGTTTCACCTCCAAACCGGTGGACTCCTGATCATGTGTTTTATTACTTTTTTTAAAATGTCCCAGATAACTGTCATCTTTTTTATTCTTCAATTTGTTTATCGATATTTTTAAACCGGAGCTCGTTAAAATCTATTTTTTAAAAATATATCAGATCAGTATTTAAGCAATATTTTGGTAGAGTTTTTACAATGATAAATATTTACCTCGACCGATTCATCTTTAGTTGACATTGAGACATTTCCCGGTGCATTCGATACATTAAGATTTTCGGCAGCATCATTAAAAGCCTGTTCCCACCAATGGTTTGTGAATTCCTGTGCTTTATCATAACATAATCCAGCATTGTCGAACTTCAAATTTGCCTTGATTGGTTTCAAAATACCATCGGAATTTTTTCCAATACCTTCGCCTGTAACAATATTATGAGATTGTTGTAGAAAATTTAATTTGTTTGAAAAAAATTGAAAAAAAAAAAAAATCCTCTTACCCTCTTTCCAGCCATATTTCATCAACAAATTTTTACCATAATCCATAGTTGAAACCACGTGAAATGACAACAATTGATGGTGTTGAACGCTGCGAGAAATGTCAAATAACGAAACAATGTCAAATGTTTCATGTCGCTACATGTGTATGCGTGCACGAGACATGCATGGTAATATTTCAAATGTCATACGAATTTTAGTATAAGTTATACGTTCCACAAAAAACACAAGGTAGATATATAGATTTGTTTTAATATAATTTTATATTTAGTTTAGACGAATTTAATTTTTGAGTATTTTTATCAATATTGAATGCCATTTTCGCATAAATAATATTTTATATCAGATAGCATTTTATTTGGTATTTTCACATCAGTTTTCAATAAAAACGTACTTTTTCCGAATTCTCTTTTTTTGCCATTTAAGTAATGCTTTACTAAAAAAAGAAGCAAAAAAGTAAAACATGGAATGTCCAGATTTACAACCACCATCCTCGGTACGAGGGATGACCTTGTTAGATCGAGAAAAATTTAAGAAAATCGTTCAAATACCAAAACTAAATGTAACCGATGTGAATTTAAAAAGTATTCTGCCGCACATCAAGCGAATGTTGTTAAAAATTCAGCGTCACAAGTCCATTGAAATAGAAAATGATGGAACGAAAAAATTACTACTACATCCGACGGCGATAACATGTTTTGGTGATTTACCCGAAGAAGTTCGTAATTTGGGCTTGAATGGTTCACATTTAAAATGGGAAGAATTTGAATTGACCTACGAAAATTGGACGACCGATGATATTTTAAAAGCTGTATTACCAGCTGATCAAGAATCATGTACATCGTATTCACGCATCGGCCACATAATCCATGTGAATTTGAAAACACATCTATTGCCATACAAACAACTGATTGGCGAAGTGTTTCGTGATAAAATCGCCGGTATTCGATGTGTCATCAATAAAATCCAAACGATCGACAATACATTTCGAAATTTTCAATTGGAACTGTTGTCGGGCGAAGAAGATTATCAAGTTGAGGTTAAAGAAAACGGTACCAACTTTAAATTTGATTTTTCACAAGTGTATTGGAATCCAAGACTGGCAACCGAACATGAACGTATCATTAAAATGCACGACAAAGGTGATGTGCTTTATGATGTATTTGCTGGCGTTGGACCATTTTCAATTCCGGTGGCAAAGCGAAAAGCATTTGTATTGGCAAACGATTTAAATCCATCATCGTACAAATGGCTTCAATACAATATGAAAAAGAACAAAGTCACGAATTTCATGCAAACAATTAACAAAGATGGCCGCGATTTTATAACGGAAGATGTTAAATGTGATTTAATCAAACGTTGGAATTGCAGCGACAGTAAATTATATAAAATTCATTTGACCATGAATCTTCCGGCAATGGCTGTTGAATTTGTAGATACATTTTGTGGACTGATGTCAAATTATACGGGACCCATTGAACCATTACCATTGGTGCATGTATATTGTTTTGCAAAAGGCGATGATCCGGCCAGCATTGCAAAATGTTTAGTTGAAGAAAATTTGGGCTACAAATTAAGTACAAATCTAGAAGGTGTCCACTTTGTACGAAACGTTGCACCAAACAAAGATATGTTTCGTGTTAGTTTCTATTTAACACAGGAAATTCTTTGCTCGAAGAAAGGTGCTAGCAAACGTGGCATTACCAATGAAACGAGCGCTGAATTCAGCTCCAAGAAACCATGCAACACCACAAATTGATGAGAAAAAAAAATCGGATTTAGCTACTATTTATAACCCCTTTTTTTGCCTCACATCTTTTCGATCTGCACATTCTTTATGATTTAATTATGAAAATGAGTCTAGTTATAAAAATGAATTCCATCGAAGAGCAATGAGAACATGTTTTTTTAGAAATTGAATAAAAAGTATTTTTTTTAAAACAGTTTCTTTTCAATGCAATACAAATTTTAAGTGTTTAGTAATTACTTATCACTGTTCATTTTTCTAGAGAAATAGTCACAATATCTCTTTTTTTCTTGCACTTTTCCGTTTTTCCCGAAGGTTTTGCTTGACGACACCAAAAAAAAAACTTTTCTTTCATCAAAATGGGCAAAAAAACTGCATTCACTAAGGGCGGAAATCAAACAAAATTGAACAAAAATCTATGCAAAGTGCAGGAAACAAATCATAGAAAAAAACCAAAAGTGGTCAAGACAACACTGAAAAAGGTAAATTTGCTGTTCTTTCTTTTTTTACATTTAAAAAGCAAAATTAATGTGCTTTTTGTTGTGAATGACACAACTCATTTATTCCATTTCGATTTCTCCATATTTCAGTTAAAGGCCAACGTCAAAGCTCAACAGGAATCTGTTGACAGCAAGCTGAACGATTTGCACCAAAAAATGGTTACAAAATCCAATGAACCGAAAAAGGAAATTAATTTACAGCGAAAAACCAAGCAAAAACCATCGCCGAGTACATCAAGTGTACAAATTAATTTGGAAAAAATGAATGTTTAATTTGAAATCATTTATTTTCTAAGAAATTTTATTTGAAAAATACATAATAAATTCATTTTGAATTATACTATTCACCATGGTCTAACTTTTGATCGCGTTACACCTGTTAAAATCCATGTACTTTTTGGTCTTGCCGTTTTTGCTCTTTGGTTATGTCGAGGATGAGCCTTGCAGTAGTTATACATGATACCATTTTTAAGCATCATACAGCAATCTTTACAGCGTCGATGTACCTTTCCAAGAACTTTCATGCCGCATGTTTGTGTATATTGAACATTAGTTGATGCAAGTAAACCGGGTGATTTATTTGCCAAATTAATGTCATAAATGCCTTGAGTTGATTTCAATGGTTGAATTGCGTGAATTAATCTTCGCGACATTAAATTATTCCATTCCGCTTGTATTTGGCCATTCAACGAACTACGCATTGGCATTGTGATGACACGACATACTCTTTGAAGAATTGGAAACATCATTTTAACGTTCGATAGATCTGGAAGAAAAAAACAACCAATTTATTTTGTTAATATTTTCTTTGATTTTTTTTTATAGAAACGAAAATTACCGCAGTTTGTATGTACCACAATTCATGTGTTCAATAAGAAAATGTCATTCGTTCATTGACAGTTTTTGTCAAATGTCAGACATATTTATACAATGTCGGCATCTATAAACAGTTTTGGAAATTAAATATTGTACATTTTATTGGGTTTTTTCAATTTATTATTCGAAAAAAAAAATGTTTCGAGAAAATTGTATCTCACAATCAGTTTCTTAATATGTTAATATTTCGATAACGAGCCGTACAACCTTTCAATCTTTTAAATTTGCACCACATTTGAATTTCGTAGTTGTCGAATATCATGACGACCAAAACTCTAATTTGCATCCATTGACAAGTCCACTGGCACCCAATTCAATCTGGAACCGTCTTTTAATGTGCGATAAAAAATTCGTCCAGATTTTTGCGCAACAATTGTTATCTTATTTGAGCTTTGAAAATACTGCTTTTAAGCCAATCCATTATTTTTCTTATAAAAAAAGGTTGAGTTTAACCAGATCTGGGCACGAACAGTCGGTCGTTCGTTCGTAAGTGGAAATAATACTTTTTTTAATCTTTTACACGAACGACCGATCACAGTCGGACATTGATGTTTGTGCCCAGCTCTGAGTGTTACTAAAAGTATATACATTTTCAATTCGTGGTTGCATTTTTTTGGAAACATTAACATTCTAATGGCTATTACCATGCCATTATGCCTGAAATTAATCATGAATATATCGATTTTTGGTTTGAACAAGAAAAAAAATACCATTGTAATACACTTTTGTCTACTTTATAATTTACTAGTTAAAATTTTCAACGTCTTTAAGCGATGGCCATTCGAAATTTTGTTTATACAGAAAATCTTTCGTATCTAATTTGTCAAACTGTGCGACCTATGGATAAATTAAGAAAATAAATATCATGAAATTTATGAAATATTTGATGATTACTTACATTATATCGAATATATTTGATGAGCAATTCGATGTGCTCGTAATTATCACAATTTGATTCGAAAAATCGCACCCAAATTGCGCTTGCCAATTGTTGGTCATCTGTTGCAAGACCTTCATCATACGCAACAATTGCATACTGAAACTGATCGGATAGAATCAACAATTGTTTTTTAATCAGGCTAGCACTTCCAGGTGCCATGCTTGTTGCCCGTTGCATGGAATCTGTCCACATTGCTTCCACAATAGAATCACGAATTGCCTTGCCATTCTCATTTTCAGCCATCGCACGTACCATCAGGATCCATACATGGATTTCGGTAATTAAAAACCACGAATTAAATGAGTTCGGCATATTGAATTTTGTTAGAAAATCAACATGTTTCACAGTATCCATTGTTTTGGCATATACCAACATTGATTTGCCCGATATAACCTATCAATATATAAAATTGGAAAAACTCATTTTGTGATAAAGTCGATGAAATTGAATATTGTTTAGAAAGAAAAAAAGAAAATCTTACGGATGATGACTTTAACAAACGTTGCTTGATCCATGATTTTATGGAAAATTTCCGATTTATTGTCTTTTCAATAAAATAATTTGGACGTACAGCGATCGATTGAGGATTTGTCTTTTTCGCAAAATTGGTGGAAATAATTCCATTGTGTATATTACGGAAATGTATTGGATGCACACGATAAAAGCCTCTGAAAATTTCACGATTTGAGGTTATCTGTTCACACACAAAAAAAAAAATCATTGATCAATTATTTGAATTAAATAAAGTTATTCGCTACAGTTTTACCTGCTGTAACCGAACACGCTTCAATAAATTCATTCTATCAATATGCAGACACTGCATTAATTTCTTTTGTTTTTGATGTACAAGTTATTGTAGAAAATATCTCAGTGAAATTTGTAAACATGAACCGAACCACTGAAAATTTGACAGTCTAGGGAAATGTCAAATGTATGAGCTGCCTTCTGTCATCGGATAAATTTGAATTTTTAAATTTTAACTTTAAGTCCGATGAATTTGAAATTGAATTTAGGGAAAAAATCATTAAGCTATGAAATTGTCAAGTAGTTTGTGCAGTCATTTTGTGAGCAATTGATTTAGGCTTCACTTGTTTAGGTAAAATAATATAGGAAGTTTTGGTCAGAAATTTTAACGCTATTTCTTCAAAATCAACTAAAATCAAATGCAAACAACTTATTTCACTTTTAATAATTAACTGATCTTTAGAATAATAGTTTCATCCTTATAAATCATCTTGCAATCGGCATGATTAATCATCTTACAATCGGCTTGCCAGATCGTCCAGATTAATCTGGGTTTGCCCGGATTTTTGGACCCGGAAGAAAATCACTTGACCCGGATGAAAAAGACTCCGATTTCGCTTAGATAAAATGTTCGTCGATTTTTCCAGAATAACGTCAATAATTCGAAATTTTTTTATAAAAAGATTATTTTTATTAATATTTCTGAATTTTGACATTGAAAAATCCACCCTTTAAAAAACTATTGGGTGTATCAATTAATTTTTACCGCTGACTGTTAGATGTAGCCACTTAAACTTGTATGAAGTTTGACAGGTGAAACCATGTGTATTTTGACATTTGACATTTGCCTATCTAATTCAGAGCAGAAAGGTTTATATTTCCACACAGTGTCATTATTTTTTTATCAATTCAAAATGGATCGCGATAAAATGTTTTTCCGAAGTGCCCTCCTTTTCTTATTTGATACGAAGAAAACTGCGGCTGAAGCGCAACGAATGCTTTCGGATACTTATGGTGAACAAGCTCCAATAGATTCAAGCTGCAGAAAATGGTTTCAACGATTCAAAAGTGGTGATTTTGATTTGAAAGACAAAAAACGGCCAGGTCAGCCAAAAAAGTTTGGAGATACGGATTTGGAAGCATTACTCGATGAAAATCCATGTCAAACGCAAAAACAACTTGCATTGGAATTAAATGTCTCTCAATCAACCATTTGTGAACGTTTACATGCAATGGGAAAGATTCGAAAGCTAGGAAAATGGGTCCCACATCAACTGAACGAAAATCAACTCAAAGCACGAATCGAAGCATGCAAAAAAAATCTTTCCGGGCACAAAAAACATAGTTTTTTGTATCGAATTGTTACTGGCGATGAAAAGTGGATCTATTACAACAACCCCAAACGTAAAGCAGCGTATGATGAGTCAGGCCAACCAGGGCCTTCACAGCCAAAACAAGACATTCATTGCCAGAAGGTTATGCTGTGTATTTGGTGGGATCAGAAAGGTGTCGTGTATTATGAGCTGCTAAAACCAGGTGAAACGGTTACAGCTGAACGCTACCAAATGCAATTAATCAAAATGGAGCATGCATTGAAGATTAAACGGCCTCTGATAGCGAGCAAACAAAATAATGTTATGTTTCACGATTACAATGCTAAGCCACATGTTGCACACATCGTTAAACAAAAGATAGAAGACTTCGGTTGGGATCGGCTTGATCAACCGGCGTACTCTCCAGACCTTGCTCCTTCTGATTACCACTTGTTCCGATCGATGCAAATGGGCTTGTCCGAGATATCGTTTCGAAATGCTGAAGAAGTGCGAAAATGGATCGATGACTGGATAGCTTCAAAAGATGAGGAATTCTTTCGACGCGGAATCGACAAGCTACCAAGGAGATGGGTGGAAGTCATAGCTAACAATGGGCAATACATCGGTTAAAAAATATTGTACGCTTTCTTTAAAATAAACATACATTTTCATCCAAAAAACGGTAAAAATTAATTGATACACCCAATATATACACACATGATGTGTTAAACATACATCAAAAATCAAGTCATTTTTGTGGGAACCGAAAATTATTTCAATTTTACTTTTCCGCACAACCACTGCACAGTAAAGTATTGCAATCACCCCAAAATTTTGAAATCGCTAAAAATCGTTTTTCTATGCGTTTTGGGTATAGAAAATCACAAAGCAACGGTTTTTTGGCCATGTTAATGTGGGGATGTGGTACACTGTACCCTGTATGGTGTACGCAAAAAAATCAATAGGTAATTTGTTAGCACGATAACTCTTCTTAGAGAAAAGCAAATCCAAATCTGATTTTACAGGGTGATTGGGGGTTGCGAGGAATAGGCTGGTATTGTTTTTCAGCGATATTCATGCATCGGTGTATCCATGGTGACACCATGATGGAGTACTCATAAGGGGTATGGTATGCAAAAATTTGTTAACTTGATAAATCTTTCCCCAGAGACGTAAATTCAAGTTTTAAATGTGTATTGGGGTTTTTTGGCACGTGAAAATCGAATCCGGCGTTAGTTTCGAGATAAAATCAAGTTTTAACAGAGTTTCTTTGAAAAAATCGTGAAAAATTGAATTTTTGTATGAGAGCCATGCCTGAATGCTACCTTAATGACGTGAAACTTTGCACAGGCTATTTTTATACAAAAAAATGACATTCTGAAAGTTTTAAGAAATTTCAATCGAAATTGGGGATACCTCCCATACAAATTTTTCATTTTTGAGAAAATTTTTTATGGGGAGTACCCCTACTTTTAATTGAAAAGTTAATTAGATTCACAAGTTTTTAGGGTGATTATATGTAGTTGGAGTGTTTTGTTGACTCGAAATTGATCGAATTTCTTTCCAAAATGTATGCTTGCAGTAACTTAATCACAATTATCAAAATACATAATTTCACCAAATTGGAAGAAATTTCAATCACAAATAGAAGTACTCCCCATACAAAATTTTCTTCAGGAGGGAGGTATCATCAATTTGTATTAAAATTGCCTCAAAAAAATCACATTTTTGATGATTTTTTCTTTCCGTACAATAGACACGCTACACATTTTGAAATATTTATACTTTATTAATTGGACAAAAAACTTGACTGCTCTTAGACAATATAATTCGGTAGTTATTGAATTAGTACTGCACTAGCAGTTCGGTAAAGGAAGAAATTTGGAAACAGTGAGGAAAAGTTAGACTTACGGATGTAAGTTCCTTTTTATTTTTTTTTTAGATTTGGTTAAAAACATGAATTTCTTCAAAAAACTTTTTTTCGTTTACAATTTTGAGACGCATCGACTGAATTCAGAGTAAATACACCTGGATCGAAATGAAAAAAATCTGATAGCCTTAAATTATCAATAGGTAGCCCTGATGGGGCAAATTAAGAATCTACAATTAAAATGACACGTTACGATTATAAAACGCATCGAGTAATAAACACGTTGCAAAATACGTTTTATAATTGTAATTTATAACGAAAAAACGAGATTACAGTGCTTGGGGCTACCCACGAACTCGATACTAGAAAAACTAGAACATATTAGAAAGATGTCAAATGTACATGTCATATGGCGTTTTACTAGAAATATTAGAAAAAATTAGCACATATTAGAATCCGTGGTTTCCCCCTCGTTACAGTGCCAGATTACATACGTCACAATTCGTATTATTTTTCTCATGAGAGAGCTCTCTTAAATTTGTATTCAATGTGGTGATCGCCGCATGCGTAAGTCGCTAGTAAACGAATCAAGTGAGTAGCGGAGACGTGAGAAAACGAAGTGAGTGAATAGCGGCAACGGATGACATTTTTTTTTGGTTAGACAGTTAGACTTTCGGCTGTTTTAAATATTCATACAAGCAGAAGCGTTTCAGTAACGATTGTAACGTGTTTAATTGTGTCTTAGTATTTCCTTTCCCTAGATTTTTTTTTATTGTTTTTGTTTTTGTCAATATCGTGAACTTTTGATTTGCTTTAGTTCATTGCAGGCCAATCAGAATTTATTATTTTCCTTACCTGTATTCGTGAAATGGTGAAGGAGGGGATCATAGCGACGTATAACGTTGACTACGTTAGATTTCCACTGCGCGATTACATTCATTTCTTTGCTTCGCACTTTTTCACCATGCACAAGCAAAAACGAGCAAAAAGGATTTATTTGATGTGTTTTAGAATTTATATGCTTATTCCTTGGTAGTGCTGTTGGTGGAAGTCGACACATAATTTATAACAAAAAACATCAACAACAACAACGAGAGAGAAAAAAGCGCTAGACATAAACTGAGCAACGTCGCTGAAATTTTCGTCAAAGATAAAAACACGCGTAAAGAAAATTTATTAACATTCAAATCGGAAGAGTATGTGACAAATTGCGAAAAGAATTTGCATATAAATTTAAGCACAGTTGAAACAAGTATTCTTGTTGGTTAGCACTTACGACAAACAAACAAAAAAAAATTCTACACACCCGATATATACGTAAAGTTGTGAAAAACTATTCGGAAAATTGCATGACGAAAATCAGCCACGATTAAATCGGAATATCATTTAATATTTTATCTTTTGGTTTTTTATTGGCCGTACACATTTTGAAAGTATTCGTGAAAGTGGATATTGTAAAAAAAAATAATATAAAATGCTTTACTGTGTTTACCTGCGTTTCGTAATAGTTTTGTTTCCATTCATGTTTCGGTCAACATTGAGCCGTGATGCACCAATTGTGAATATTCCAGGTCAAGGCCAGATAATGGGCTTCTTTTCAAAAATGCTTCGATCACATACGATTGTTGGATATTTGGGCATACCATATGCACATCCTCCAATTGAAAATCTACGTTTTGCACCACCTCTTGTGGATAATCTTCCATCGTGGGAAGGAATTCGAAATGGACAAAATCCACCAATGCAGTGTTGGTCCGATATTCGACGACCATTAAAAAATCACGACGAAATGTTTTTTAAAATTCTTGGCATCGATCCGAAAGCTTCTAATACATCACAGTTTAGTGAGGACTGTTTATACCTGAATATTTTTGTACCTGATGGTAAGTATAGTATAAATGTTTTTTTTTATTTTCAAGATTTTTCTTATATTTGAAAAGTGAAATCATTTCCGTAAAATCTCTTCTAGACTGCGTTCAAATCTGTGAAATTGTGCACGAACTATATAAATAGTAGGAAACACATTTTTTTTTCATTCAAACAAACAAAAGACTCTTTCGTAGTGAAAATTAAACATTTATTCATTTATTTATAAATTTGGTTAGTTCTAAGGGTTTAGTTCTGTTTTAATTTAAAAATTCAAAATTTTTAATGAATGCACTTTCTTCGAAATTTTTTTTTACTGGTAAAGATGACATTTGTCTTCTTGTTTTTTTTTTTTTTTTGAGATTGACGTCAAATTCTCATAATTTGTTTCAATTCTTTTATTATTTGCGCAAATCCAACGCACGTGTTCACGTTCTAATTATTTGAAGCTTTTTTGAACATTTATTGGTTAAGGTCCATTTTCCAAGGCGGCGATTACAATCGTGTACGATTTCAAATCGTTGGCCAAAATCGTTAACGATTGAGATCAATGGTTTTTTTGACGCCAAAATCGTGAATGATTTATTATTTGTGGTTTTTTTGACGCCCGATTTGAAAAAAAATCGTGGACGATTGCAATCGTCGCCTTGGAAAATGCACCTTTAGAGCAAAACAGAAGTGAATAAGAATTTTTCAATATAATTCCCATTATTCAAAATCTCAATTTTCGATGAAATAATCCAATGCTTTAAGAATATGCTCCAATGATTAGAATTCAATCATCATAAAACATTACTTCGTTAGTAATCTTTGGCAAATGTTGACATTAAAATTTTCATAAATTTGCAATTAACATGTTTTCAGCCAATATCCAGTTGATTGTATCAATTAAGCTTTGAAGGAAATTCAGCATCATCAGTAAATCATGCTTGGCAAAAAATCGAAAAATATTAGCAATAAATTAATGATGTTGTTGGGTTTTAAACTGGTTTTATGAAATAAAAAAAGGCATGTTCCTGATTTTTCAATTTGACTGTAAACTCAACTACATCATTAATTAAGATTAAACACTCGGTAGCTACAATGCAATCATAGATGATGCACAGAGAAAAATAGATCGCTAAATATTTACTGACTGCGTTAAATTCCATAGGCGAATATTGTGTTGATTTTCAGTACAAAATGCCACAAACATTTCTCTTGTATTTTACCACAGATAACGAAAATTTTACCACACGCGCTATAAACGTCAGATCGCTATGCTCATTAATTGCTTGCAACTTGTTCATTTTCACTGCGTCTTGTATCTTGTACTGTATTAATAGTTAAAATGTCACATAAAATATTATTCAATTTTCCTATTTTTATTTTGATTTGACGTTTCATTATTTCTAAAATAAAAAATATATTTTTTTTTATTTAAAAGAAATAAAAACCCTAAAAATATGGTATAAATAAAAATAAAGCAAAATGAATTGTGGTTGGTTTGTGATTTGAAGTTTATAGCGTGTGGTAAAATTTTCGTTAGCTGTGGTAAAATACAAGAGAAATGTTTGTGACATTTTGTACTGAAAATCAACACAATATTCGCCTATGGAATTTAACGTAGTCAGTAAATATTTACCGATTTATTTTTTTCTGTGTGACGTAAATTTTTTTAGGGGGTGATGACAAAATTCAGGGGGTCCCTGACGATGTCAACAATTTGTACGAAATGAGGAAAAAATCGTTTTTTTTTTTGCTCTTCACTTTTTTGGCGAATATCCCTAGCAAATCGAAAAAATTTCCCTACTTCAAATTACCTTGCCAAGTCCAATAATGACAAGAAAATCTTTTTGAGGCGAAAATCCCCAGCAAATCGAAAGAGTTTTCTCGGCCAAAAAAAGTGAAGAGCAAAAAAAAAGTCCTCATTTCCAAAATTGTTGAGGGTTCCTAAAAATATTTCCCCTAGGAACCCTCGTCATCACCTATGAATGCAATATTAGCAATAGTTATTTCAGAGAGCAATGCTGTGTCCCCGAAAATCTGGTATCTGTTGCCCAATTTCATGTTGTTGCTCAAAAAGCTGTTACATTGTAGTGAAGAAAACGAAACAGAAAAAGTTATGTAAAAAATGCCTTTTTTCGCCATTTGATAATTTCATCAAAATAATCCTTGATAACGTCTTTTTGCATAATCAGTTGAATCTATTTTTGGTCGTTTCGTCAATTCTTTTTGGAAAATATGCATATGGCTGATGATTAAGTTTTGCAAAGTAATAAATCTGTAGTAAATTGGTGTTGGCAATCAACATCGATATTAACACTATAATTACATGTAGGATATGTTGTAACTATATGAGGTACCACATAATAAAAAATACATTTCTAGGTCAAAAGAAAATGCCAGTCTATGGACCTAACTTTTGTCACTTCCGTGCTTTCTTGCTTTCACTTTTCAACTTGAGACTTAAAATCGATATGTTTCCATAAATTTTGCACTTTTACATTCATCCGTCATAACAGCTCTCAAGAAGGAGAAGAAAAAGAATAAAAAAAGTGGACTTTGGCCTATAACACTTTTCAACCCTCTCTTGTGAGTAAATAAGAACTCTTTATCAAAATGTTCCATCGTATTATTTCAATTTGGTTTGCACAATAACACTTGTGTAACGTGACTCATGAAAAGTGGCGTGGTAATTAAATTTGCATAATTTACAGATACTTCAACTTACAGAAAGGTAATAAATCAATTGAATCGTTGCTTAAATATGAAAACATGAGAAAATAAAAACTAAGAAACGTGCAATGGGTCATTTTCATTCCGAGCATATTTTCTAATATTTTTCCGTTTTCCACGTCTTCGATGCATGATTTGAAATATGTCCATAAGTAGGTTAACAATGGGCAAAAAAGAAGAAAAAATTCCAGTAAATAAGCTATGATTTTTTATATAAGTTTCTTGTTTTTTTTTTCAACTGCCACTTGTTATTCATAAATTCAACTTCATTATTTGGTCTGGTTATTATATCGATTCTTATCGGGAAAAAATAAATTCACTCCTTTTTATATTGTGTTGTGTAGTAATAGCTGGACAATAGTAGCCATGTATATATAATGTATATATATAATATTATTGTAGGTATTTACTTATTCTTACTTGTTGTTCAAGCGGCAAATTAGAAATAATATGAATATTATGAGTTAAACGGAGAAAAAAAAACGCGTGATCTCAACGTCTTTTGTCCTCAATTTCTTTAATCACAGCCAATCAGGAAAATAAATGATTTCGAAATGCAACCTTATGACCGAGCGATTTCAAGATTAAGAAATTGTCCCGTTTACATGCATGTGATTTTCATTTAATATTTTGAACATGTTCGATTCCCATTTTTATTTTTCTACCTTCGATATCGAACAATTGAAGCTCCGATTTGTAAAACAAGTAAATATGCTGCTATGTCGAAGTTCAAGTGTTCTAAAAATAAACATACAAATAAATAATTCGTTCGTTCTTTAATGTAATCTGCTCCCCTCGAATACAAAACTTTTGATTCACAGTTAACACTGCAAAACATTTGTATTCGAACCAAATTTGTGATACACTTCTTTCAAATGATATATATACATATAAAAACAAAGAAGTAAGAACGCAAACCTGATTGCGTGTCTAACTTATTGATTTTTTGATTTTTAGCAAACAATATATGTATTCATTTATACGAATCAAAAGTGAATTCTACATATCAAGCAAAACTAATGAAAAAATGACATAGCTTCTGAAACTCCTTAAGTTCATCGACTGGTCCAATAATACGAACATTTCCCTGGAGATCGACAGTCCGATATCTTTGCGAGAATCAATGTTTGATCAAAAATCCATGCAAAACTAGAGTCAGATTTTATTTCGAAAGAAGAACCAAAATATGATTTGGCGTAAAATCAATTTATCAGTCTCCCATTTTTTCGGGTAAATTAATATTGATTTTTTCCACTTTGAACTATGAATCAACAAACACAAATCCACAAAATGTTCTGTGTAAGAAAGAACTAAAGTGTTGATAATTATGCTCATTGAACTTTTCATTCTGACCCATGAAAAATGTGCTGATAGTGTCAATATGAGCGAAGATAGTACAAAATCTAATCGCTTTTACACCATACTATGGCCTTTAAGCTATTGTGCTCCTTAAATATATTTACGTAGTACCGGCACGTTTGTTCTAACAAAAAAAAAATGACGGGTGGTATGGCGCAATCACCTTCAGAAAAAGCAGTGAGGTGCTTAAACAAACATAGCAGCAACTCTCTGCAGTAGAGAAATTTGTTATGTATTAACATATGTAATGAATTAAATGGCCAGAAATGTTATCTATATAGAAAGATTAAACAATTGCAAAATATTGCGTGCAATTCAAAAGCTGTTTGCTTCACATAAATATTTTGTTGATTTTTTCTTGTATAAAAATGATTGTCGGTCAGTTTTCAATACTTTATCCGTTACATTTTTCTTTCGTTTCAAAATTTTATGGAAATGGTCTTCACTCTTCAACCAAAAAAAAAACAACACCGAAGAAATTAATCGAAACTAAAATGAATAATTTTCAATTTCCATTTAAAATTTAGATGAACCCCCAAAAGATGGATATGCGGTGATTGCATGGTTGCATTCTGGTGATTTTGTAAGCGGCAATTCATCCGAACTGAATCCATTCCAATTGGTATACAAACAAAAAGTAATAGTAGTCACAATTGCCTTCCGACTTGGTGTCTTCGGTTTTTTTACTACAAGTGACGGTAGTTGTTCTTTTTTTCTTCGTGATAAATCAATATAAAGAAATAAGATTTTCATTTCACTAGGTGAAGCTCCTGGAAACTATGGACTGATGGATCAATCCGTGGCTTTATTATGGATAAGTAAAAACATTCAATTATTTAATGGAAATCCAAAATCGGTGACATTAATGGGACACGGAGCTGGTGCAGTTTCGGTAACATTACATTTAACATCCGGACCATGGTCTGATGGTTTCTTCCAAAAGGCGATAATAATGTCAAGTCCATCGCTATCAACATCGGTTCGAGATCCAAGAACATATAAAAATGCTGCAATGCAAGTGGGTGAAATGTTTGCATGTGAACTTCGATCGGTTAAAATGTTACAATGTTTACGTCTTGTGCCCGACACCAGATTAATGGAAAATAATCCAGTAATTGAATGGACACCCGTTATCGATGGTGGTTTAAGTAATAGCATCGCATCATTTATACCATATGACCCAAAAATACTGTTTGAACGACAAGATTATGTTCGAAAGGGAATACCAATAATGATCGGTTTCACTGACATGGAAGACGTCTTAGATGTGTCTATGCGTGAAATGCTTGATAATGGTTTAACGAATGACATGTACACAACACTAACAACCGATGCAATACTAAATGATATCGCTCAACTTGAGATGAACAATGAAACGGCATGCATTGAAAATGGTGGCAGCACAAATAATCAACCAGTTTTGAGTGCTGTTGATTTTGCATACAAACCATATTTCACGGGTACGAATGATGGTGGTGAATTGCGTAAGAAATACATTGAATTTTATACAGAACGTTTATATGTGGCACCATCATTTCATATTGCAAAAGCACTTAGCAAAACATCGGATGTGTTTATGTATCGTTTCGATACAAAACCAAAGACTCAAGCAATTATTGATATGCTTCCAACATGGTCGGGTGTACCGCATCGGTTTGATCAAATTTTTGTGTGGGGAATGCCGTATTGGATTTCGTTGGAGAATCAAACACAATGGTCACAGGAAGATAAACGGCTATCCGACATTATAATGAGAATGTGGGCAAATTTTGCAAAAAGTTCAAATCCAACCGATAGTGGTGTTTATATACGATGGACCAATTTTACGGAAACAGATCCGGGCGTACTGCTCATTGATCGTTCGTTTAATATGAGCGACACAAATACACTTAACTATCAAGGTGTACAATTTTGGAACGATTACTATCCGAAAGTTATTAGTTTTGCAAATCAATGTTGCAATATCACAAATGGTGCAATTGGATTCAGTAATAAACTCAAATCATCATACACATTTATCCAAATTGCTATATTACTTGTTACAAAATTTATTTTAACGACAGAACTTAGATCGAATTCAATATGAAGTTATATGAACGTTATAATTTTCAATTTTCAATTATTTTGACATTATTAGTACATTTAGATTATAGTGAAACACCGATTATTAAGGATAAACTGTTCGAGTATAGATGGGAATTTTGATAATCAAGCTAAATATCTGTTTATTGACACAAAACAGAGATAATAATTTTTTTTTAGTATTTTTAGCTCCGATGACGTCAAAGAATGTAGCTGCCTCAAATTTTAGAATAATTTAAATAGATAATATAAGGCGAATTATTACTTAATTGTCCAGAATTATTTCAAAATTTCTGAGATAAAATGATATTTTACGTCAATGGCCATTATGGCATTAAGTTCCGCATTTTTCTTCCCTGTAAATTTCATTTTATTTAAGTTTTTTTCCATTATAAGCAAACTATACTTTGTTGATAATAAAGTTAATTTTTATACACTCCAAAAAAGAGTGCGAAAAAATATAAATTTATTTCTATTGTATATTTCAAAATGTGGTTTCGTCGCTCGCGCGAACTGCCGTTCGCTGTGATCTAGTGCGAAGGGGAGGGTAGAGGGGAGCATTTTTTTGCTTATTTAGCTCCAAATAATACTGAGAGATAAAGAGAAATGTCAACATCAAAAGCGGTATATTTTCGTTTATAATTTCCTATGTTTTATTATTGCTTTGCTTTCTTTTGTCATTCATCTGGGTCAAAGTAAAGATATATAAGTAGCGTCAATCTCGCGCGTGAGCTTTCGTAGAAGGGGAAGAAGGTAGTCGAAGACTAATTACCTGGTTGCTACTCCTGATATAACAAGAACAATATCATATACCCGAACCAAATAGAATCATCGCAGAATCACGTTTTAACTTGATTAATTTGTTATATGTTCATCGGCAAGGCTTTACAAGTGTGCTTTTCTTGTTGTCTGTTTCAAGTTTTGAAAGAAACTATGTTTTTGGACAAATACTCCAAATATGAAATTACAAACGACACAAGAATTACACTGAATGCCGCAAAATATTTGCGATTGGTTGATGAATGTGATTTTCAAAAAAAAAAAATCCTTTAAATTCAACAAAAAAAATTCATATAAAGATATAAAATCTTGTGAAATTCATTTACATTTAATGATTTCATATGAAACCAAGTCAAAATATAACGGATATTAAGCAAAAACAAGAGAAATATCAAAAAGTGACACTTGTGACATTTGGTCCACATATTCTATGACATTTGTTGGGTTATGTCATTAATATTGCTCTCGTATAATATATTTGTTTTGCTCACTACTTCAAATATACATTTTTAACGTTTGTGAATACAAAAAAAAAAAAGAAATGCTTCGACTGTACCGATCCATTATAGTTCCTAGTCGGAATTTATATATGCTTTCAACTAGGAAATGCGCAAATTTCGGAGCAAATTCGGATTCAGATGAAGGTGATGATAATACGGAACCGGGTAAAGTCACTCAAATTTCTTTGAATATAGTGAATATTGACGATTTTATAACTTCAGATATGAATTTTATTAAACTGATTGGTACAACAAGGAATGATTCGAGACTCCAGCCAAATGGCAACATGAATTGTTTGGTGCATCAAAAATCTGAAAATGAGAAATCGTTTTTGTAAGATTCCATTGATTTGACACTTTTACTGTTATTGTAATTAATAAATTTTTTTTTTTTTTTCAAAGTCCAGTCATTTTATAAGTATGCCTAAACATATTCAAGAAAAAACGGGTATCAACCATATAGCGAGTGGCCAAAGAATCAATATTAATGGATACGTTTTATCTCATCCATTCAAATCAATTGACGATAAAAACAAATACAAAGTTGTAATTATGCCCACCGAAATTAGGCTTTACAAAAATGGAGAAGAACCATTACCAGATATTTGCATAGTTATGTTGACTGGTGTCGTACGATCGCCGATTTGGTTTAAAAATGATTTTGCATCATTTTATTCAGAGGAGATCTCTGACGTCAGGTATAGTCGTATAATAGTTGTTCATTTTAAGTTCAATCCATTTATCAATTTTTGTTTGTAGAAATGTGAAAGGCGAATTGACCGGAGAAAAAATGAAATTTTCATATAGTAATTTTGTATATGATGTCAATTTACGAAATTACATACGTGAAAACATAAACCTATATGATCGCGTATTTGTTCAAGGACATCTTGGTTACAAATCGTGTGAAACGAATGATGGAAAATCTAGATCCTGTGGCAGTATTATTGTGACCAAAATTGAAAAAATATGAATAGAATTAAAAAGATTTTATTTTGCACATAATAATTTATGTTTTATTTGAGGAAAAATATTTGTTTAAAAACATTTTTATAGTAAACATGGATGTTGTAAAAGGAGTATGATTGATGAATATAATCATATATTAAATAATATTCTTAAAATTGTTCATTCTCATACTTATAATTCATCGTGAAAAACGAGGTCTCTGATGAACATTTCAATATAAAATTTGTGAAACTGGAAAAGATACCTTCAGAAAAAAAAGAATGAAAAAAATCATGGTGTCATCACTGGTAGCAGCCAGAGAATATCCGATGAAAAAAAATTCACAATCGACTCCACAGAAGAAGAATGTTAACGATAAGAACAAGAAAAAAGTCGATGGAAAAAATGATCATGCTGAACAAAATATAGTGGGTGCAACCGATTTATATGACGACAAAATCACATTCAACATCAAAGCCAAGGACAGCGATGAATGTGAAATTGTGCCATCGAAAATTGCGAATTTGGCTTGTCCACAATTGGTGATTGAATTTTATCGAAAGCATCTCGTTTTCACTGATTTATTTACCGTTAAGCGAGCCTATTAATTGGACCAATTTTTAAAATAACCCGTTGATACTTCGAAGAAGTAATATTTATCGTTAATATTCTTACTTCATTAATTGTTTGAAACTATCAAAAAAATGACTGTCGATTTTTCGCCGAAAAGTATTGATTTTGTCTCGAATATTCTGGGCGGTTCAAATATTCTTAATGAAATTCAGAGAAAAACTGACCTTTTTTTCGTTTTGAATTTAACTTTTTTACTAAAAAAATTTCACACAACCTTTTCACGTTTGAACTCTCTATTTTCTCATGGTTGTCACAAACGCCAGAAACAGAATCAGAAAATCTGTTTTCCGAAAACAGAAATAGAAACAGAAACATTTTAGGGTGTGCAACAGAAAACAGAACAGAAAGTCATTTTCGGTCGGTGTTTTGTTGTTGATTGCGATTTTTTTCAGAGCACCATTGTTTCAATTTTTAAAATTGAAAATTATTCCGCACACACCAACGGAGGGATCATTTCAAAATGTCATCAATGACTTCTTTGCCAGATGGAATTTTCCCAATTGTTGTGGTGCAATCGATGGAAAACACATCCGCTGGCTCCACTTTCTTCGACTACAAAGACTTTCATTTGATAGTTTTATTAGCAATCGTCGATGTTATAAGTTCATTGCTGTTGATGTTGGTTCGTATGGACGAGAGGGGGATGCAGGTATAAAATTCGAATAAAAATTGATATTTCGCAATTCTATTCAATTCAATTCTCTTGCCCAACCATCAACTGACATTGCGTTGCCAAATGTTATTCTTGATGATGTTTCTGGTTGATTCTTTGATTGAAATAAAGAAACGTTCTTTTTTAAAATTTTCGTCAGCGATTTTAAAATATTACGGAAATTTTGCGCCAAAAGTCAATAGTTCAAGTACAGTACTTATGAAAAACTTTAACTCGTGCGGTACTTATGAGAATGTGAGAGAGAAATGTCAACATCAAAACCGGTGTATTTTTCTCCATAAAAGTTTTATTTATATTTATAGCTTTTGGTTTAAAATTTTAATCAGTTTCGCCATTTAAAAAAAATGGGAATCCGTGGATTAAAAACATTTCTGGAGCGTGAAAAACAAACTCGTCCAATAAACATTGGTGATGAGGTGATCAAATGGAAAAGGTACTATTTCAATAAAATTTGAAAGTTCAAAACCAATTTCTCATTTTGGGGCCGCTTTCACAGAGCAAATCCTGGCCGAACACCGATAATAGTCATTGATTTCTTGAGTTTAACAAATGGAGTGGTAAAAAAGGATGAAGATATCATTTGTGGTGGACGACATAAAATTGCATTGAATCGTTGGAAGGAATTGTTGAATGCGTTAAAGGGAACTGGAAGTGAGTTGGTGTTTTTTAGTGATTTAACTATTCAAGAAGGAAAAATTGATGAATGGCTATTGAGACGTGATGAAGAATTCGAAGTGTACACAGAAGTTTATGACTTAATCAGCAGCGGCATACCATTGTCAGAAGTCGTGGCCAACCAAACGAATCGAAAAGCTTTAACATCAACATTCTATGGAATGGCAATTATAGCACAAAATTATGGTCAATTTCATTATTCAATCAGACACGAATGTGATTTAGAGATTGCACAGTATGCCAAACGTAACGGAGCCTTAGCTGTGATATCGAATGACACGGATTTTCTCATATTTGATGGTGAATGGAGATTTTGGTCGTCTCAAGATATAAAAATCATTCATTCAAATCGACTAAAAACCATTGAATTTAATCGAAACGGAATCGCTAATATTTGTTCACTTGCAACTTATCAATTGCCATTATTTTCAACATTATTAGCAAATGATTTTACACACATCTATTACAATCAATTGGCTCGATTTTATTGCACCATGGGACCAATGAAATATCGAATTAAAAATGTTGCACGCTATGTACGGCGGGTTGGCCATGTCAATCTCAATGATTCGGACATCACACAAATCATTCAGCATGTTTTTGGTTACATTGATGATGATCTTCAACGAGTGTTCAGACAGAGTCTAAACGCATATAATACCGACTTTCCGGCAATACACATTGATGATCCACTAGAAAAAAAACTGCTTCTAACAAAAATGTATAGACCATATATGTCAAACTTGAGCTCTATTAATGGTTTTACGCTGCCTTATTATGATATGCGAGGCTCTGCAACAAATACCATCAGTTTTTCAATGATGCTCATCCATTGGATTCAACGCAGAAAAGGCATTTTAAGACAAACGTCAAAGGAATCACAAACTTTCTTGGTGCTCGCAAAGAAGGAGATCAATCAACATTTCATGGCACATTCGGAAGAACCTATTTATCCGGAATGTAAGAAAAAAAAACCATAAGCAGAACAGCGTTACTAATTGAATATATTTTTTTTTGTCTTTTTTTCAGTTGCACTGCCCACTTTGAACCAATTATATCTGGACGATGAGTCGAATATTATTGAAACTAAATGGAACATTTTTGGATGGATTATGTCATTTTCAGACGATGTGATTTCTTTGATCAAAAATGTACCAAAAGATTTTCTACTTATCATCTGTATATTGACGCCATTGGTGAAGGTATATTTTGAAAAAAAGAAAACTTGCTTGAATTGTTGCTGTTAATTTATCTATATCTTTTACAGAATGGGCTAATCAGTATCGAAGAAGCTGATGGAATTCTTTATACAGAGAGTATGGTTTACGCAAATGTCGCAGCGAATGTTGAATATCCAGCTGTACTTGTACCTAAGTATGTTCGTGCCGCTCACCTTTATAACATCACTTTTGCGCATGTAAGGAACAATTTTGCCATTGCCGGACTTTTATCGCATGTTCAGGTACAAAAAAATATCAAATTATACATAATTATTGGAAAAAATTGTAATAAAATTATAGAAAATCTAGCATAAAATCTTTGCATTGTCACAAACACTGCGAAGCGATTTCAAAATAACTTCAAAATTAGTTGCTTCACAGTTTAGCCACTCCGGCCGTAATAGATTCTATGTTTGGGTGCTATGATTTCATTTAATTTTAATTCTTGTACTAAATAATCTTTTTTGTTAACTTTCTATTAGGAATGTTTGCAGTTTGATGGTGTGTATTTTCAGAAATTGATGGAAAATGTTACCAAAATGAGCTCAGCCGAACGAGAAATTTTATTTACTCCTATAAAAAAGTACAGGATTTATACATATATATAAAACTTACGTTGTTATCTATTTTAATCGATTGTTTTCGAAAAATAAAAGGACGAGGTGTTACATACATAAGAGGTGTTTCTTTTCTGATCTAGTTTTTGATTTTATTGTATGATTTTGCTTCAATGAAATTTTTTATAATGCGAGCTGCGTCAATGCTAATCTATGTTTTATTCGGCTAGTGAATGCAACCAGGCCATTTATTCCAATCCAATAATAACAACAACAATTATTTATTTTATTTTATTGCTGAAACACGGAAATTACATGTTATCTGTATGATCATAAAAAGTTGTGCAAATCTTATAATATTTGCCGCAATTCATACAATACCGTATTTATTTAATTGATTATTTAATTCAATTCAAGTTCTTGGCCCCTAGGTTATCTCCTTGCCAATATAAGGTCAACTGGTTTGAAGGATGCGAAAAATCGATATTTATAATATTAATGAATAATAAAATAATAATAAATTATTTCTAATTCATCTGTTATTAAACGAGTGTAAACATCATAATTTCGAATAAATCTAAGTCGTTTTGATATGATACATACATCTTTTGCTGCTTAAAACTATTCATTTATAAAATAGTGCTATAAATTATTTTTTCTTCAATTTCGAAAATATCACAAAAATTTGGAAAATTAAATTGGTTTTATTTCAAACTTTCTAACAAAAGTATATGAAATCAAGTAAAATGAATGTGATGTCGAGAGATATGTGTATCATATTTGTATTGCTACTTGGAATTCTGAGCATAAATTCGTTGCCTTCATCATCCAAAGCGTTGAATATAGCTGTTATTGGAGCTGGAGCAGCAGGCCTTGCGAGTGCAAAAAACGCTCTCGAACAAGGACATAATGTAGTGATCTACGAAAAGACCGAGGCACTGGGTGGAGTATGGTTTTACACAGATAAAACCGGACAAGATGAGTACGGTGTTGATATTCACACTCCAATGTATCAAGGGCTAAGGTATTAGTGAACATTTCTGTGATTTCAATGCCAAATATATTGATTGTTTGTTACGTTTGAACAGAACAAATGGACCATATCAAATAATGGAATATCCGGGACATAACTATCCAAATAATACACAATCACATCCACCACATGAGGACGTATTGAAATACCTGAACTCTTACGCTGAACGTTTCGATTTGAAGAAACACATAAAATTCCATCATTTCGTCGAGAAAATTAAGCCGATTCAAAATGACCAATGGATCGTAGTTGTCAAAGATTTGCCTAACAACAGGACCCTATCGGAGATTTATGATGCAGTTTTCGTTTGTGTTAATATGTATTCATCGCCAAATTATCCGCAAATTGATGGCGCCAATGTATTTAAAGGAAAAATTATACACAGCCATGATTACCGTAGAGCTGAACATTTTCGAGGTTTCTAATTCATAGCTTTTTACAATAGTCAAACAAGTTAACAATTTTGACGAGTAACAGTGAATTTTACAGTTTCAATATATTTGGGTTTCATCATATTGAATAGGTGCAGATGTTTTATTCGTAGGAAATGGTAAAAGCGCAAAAGACATTGTACTCCAACTTTCAAAGAGTGCCAATCGAGTAACTTGGAGTAGACGTAATCCCAAAGAACCTACAGAAGAAGAACGAAAGGTATATGGAGAAACTGTAACATTTAAAAACGATGTGAAACTTTTAACATCAAATGGAACTGAGTTTATGGATAACACACATCAAGATTTTACAGCGATTATATATGCAACAGGTAAATTGTCAGCGGACAATGGTATTACTATACGGATTGACTTTTTTTTATTTTACAGGTTACAGATTTTCGTTTCCGATGTTGGAAGATGATGCAGGCATTCACATTGATGACAATTTCGTTCAACCACTCTACAAACAAACTCTAAACATAAATCATCCGACAATGGCATTCATTGGTTTAGATGGGATAAACCATATATTCGATTTGCAGGTTAATATGATAGCATATTAATGATAGCTCTTTTGGATTGGCAATTTTTTTTCACTATAACTATGAAATAAAAATATATTTACAGGCACGTTTCGCTTTGAAATTCATATCTGGAGCCAAAAGACTACCATCAAAGTCAGAGATGTTGGAAGATATACAAGATTTTGTTGAATATCGACAGAAAAAAGGAATTCCAAAACGTAAATATTATCATTTAGGTCCCGATAAGGAATAAAGGGTCTTTCATTAAGAGCGACGCATTTTGTTTTTTTAATAAAAAGACATGTGTTTGCGATATCAATGAAATTTTTATTTTGGGTTGAAGTACAATCGATACCATTAATTATGGAATAGCACATCGTTCAAATGTCCTCCACGGAACCGCTTACATGAGTGGATGCGCTGAACCCAATTTTCCATCACTTTTTCGCACATTTGGGCCGATACGCTAGCAATTTCGCGTCGAATATTGGTTTCAAGCTCCTCTAAAGTTTCAGGCTTATTGGCATAAACCAGAGACTTAACATAGCCCCACAAAAAAAAGTCGAGCGGCGTTAAATCGCAAGAGCGAGGCGGCCAAGCGACAGGGCCTTTTCTTGAGATTACACGTTCATTGAACTTCGATTTCAATAAGTCGATTGTAATGCCCGCTGTATGGCTGGGTGCACCGTCTTGTTGAAACCACATGTCCTCCAAACCATCCAGACGCAATTTGTCCCAAAAATAAGTGGTTAACATCTTTCGATAGCGCTCTCCGTTGACTGTAACCGCTTCGCCAGCATCATTTCGAAAAAATTACGGCCCAATCACTCCTCCAGCATGAAAACCGCACCAAACAGTCAATTTTTTGGGATGTAACGGCAACTCTTGAAACACTTCTGGCTGCTCACTTGACCAAATATGGCAATTTTGCTTATTCACAAAGCCGTTGAGCCAAAAATGTGCTTCGTCACTGAGGATGATTTTTTTGTGAAAATCGCCATCTTCGGCCAACTTTGCTAAAGCCCAATTGGAAAAGTTTCGACGCGCACCATGGTCATTAGGCTTTAGTTCCTGGGTCAGTACGATCTTATATGGACGTATAGCCAAATCTTTTCGCAAAATGCGCCACAGTGACGTCTGAGAGATGCCTAATTCCTGCGATCGGCGAGAAATCGACTGATTTTGGTCTTGACTTACCGAGTCACGTACAGCGGCGATATTCTCCTCACTCCTTGCCTTTCTTTGTCTCACTGGCACGGTAACATTATGAAGAGAGTAGCTCGATTCAAATTTGGCCACTAAACGTTCAATGGTGCGACGGGTGGGACGATTATACCGACCGAAACTTTTCGTCAGCGCACGTAAAGTTGTCGCGATCGACCGCGAATTTTGGTAAAATAATTGAATTATTTGTAAACGTTGTTCAAGCGTGTATTTTTCCATGATTAAATGGTAGACATTGTAGATGTCAAAAACACATATTGTCAGAAATCACGTCGCGTGAGTCACGAATAACCCTATTAGCAAACTACGACACTCCTAATGAAAGACCCTTTACTATGAGAAAGTGGCGCAGGCTGCAGATATTACCAAAATTACGGATGTTTACATGAACATGTATATCGATTTAGTTTATCATGTACGGATTGATCCATTAGGATTTCGTGAATATAAATACACAATAATTGATGATAAAACATTTATAAGAGAAAAAGAAGTCAGATGCGTTTCATTGTAGATAAGACCAAATTCATATCATTAAATATTTCCAAATGAAATATAGTGACTCGATGTGAAATAAATGTTTCACAGCAATGAAATCCCTACTACCGTGCTAGATGGTGTCGACACGAGTGGACGGATTTTTAAATTCATTTGAACGACGTCATGTTACTATACTTGTCCATTACAACGTACATGTAACAGAAGAAACACACAGTCCATGTCCTCGCTAGTGGACATAAACGATTTGGACTGTCAATGTGAACTAGATCAAGTATAGAACCTTACATAGGATCATATACGATGAATATGGATTACACAGTCTGTTTCAAAATACCGTCACCAATGTCGACACCATTTGACATCAAAATTTTGACAATAAAAATATGTGCTATTGTTGTTGTCGTTTCATTGCTGTGAAATGTTTAAATAATAATAAATAAAAAGTCACAGCATCAAATGTAAATCTCAATTCTTTTGGATTTTTTGCAATTTGGAAGAAAAATGATCTCGCAAAAGTAGTAAAAAGCGCAATTTTAATTTCAACTGAAAAGTTCTGAAAAGCCTAAACAACCCAATTTTTCAAGATCGAAGTATAACAATGTGATAAAAAGATTAATAAATAATTTTTGAGATAATTTGGAGCATTTTTTCATGGAGGTGAATTTTGGGGAGGGTGAGGAGAGCGCCGAAGCGAATCTTCTCCCTCGCTTAAGAAACAGAGCTCCAGAATTATGTAATATTTCTGTAATAATTATAAAAATCTATAGATAGTTCATGACAATTTTGATTTAAATGATCTAATGATCAGCACAAGGCAACGTGATTGTAAAAAAATTTCACTTTTTTAGAATAACCAGACAAAATATGTTGGAACCCCGTTTACTTGCACGAGTATGAGTTAAATGTCGTTGTAACTAACATATGTCCATAAAGTCTTGACAGTAAATTCAGGCGTTTATTGCGCCACATAAACAAAATCAAAAATATCAACCAATGCACACGGCACGTTTATCAGTACCTCGGGACTACTATCAAACTCAATTCGATGAAATACATCCATTCGCGGAGACGTACAAATTGGATTTACGAAAAAGTGTCTCAAATGGTTGTGGCGGCTAAGTTCAAAACAAATTTCGCATGTGTCTAAAGATGAACCCATCTGCCTACGAACCATATATTGTGTTTCATGGACTTAGTATGAAGACAAAGATTCTAGAGAAAGCAAAAAGTACGGTCGTATTCCCTATTTAAATGCTCCAACCCTCCAAAATTGTCATCAAGTACCGAAAACCGGGTTGGTCAAGCAAAAATTCGTTTTTGCTGATTTTTATGGTTACAGCACATCAAAATTTGAACCAAAACAATAGATTTAGACCCGGTCATTAGGAATCAGCAAAATAAGTAATGAAAAAATGCAATAGGGTGTCAAAAATTGGGTATTTACTTCACCTCATAGCATTTTGCACTGAAAAATTCATCATTTTGGACAGTGAAACATTCATCGCTATGTCGAACCACGAATCAAGTGCAAGTGGTTTCTTTTGCATTGATTATGTTAGGGCACTACTATATAAGGCTAGAGACGTCGACAAACCGAACTTTGATAAAGGCGTGTTTGCATGGTAGGATCTTCTTTGGAAGGTGTTTTGGAGCCAATATTCGAGAATTATGTGCTGAAACGTAAGGTAAAACCTCCATTACATGCTCCATTATCAACCAATTGTTTTTGAAATCGATAGAATTCATTGAGAACTATCTGATTTAACACAAAATTTTGGTTTGCAAGCAGAAAAAACCACAATAATGGCTCCTTCTTAAAATATGACATTTCCGTGAAAAGAGGACCATCTGTTTAACTTCATAAAAAGACACCAAATTAATTATTTCTCGTCTGTTTTTGGATGTAAGTTATAGGCGAAGGTCCAAAATACTTGAAACGAGCAACAATTAGCGGTAAGGTTCGAGAGAAAGTTGAAAGAAATCGACATATTGGTCCGCCAAAGCATGATTTTGAAGGTTCAAAGCATACTGAGAAAAATCGAAGACAATGGCCCGTTCAGTGTAAGGTGAATATGCTATTCGTAGCCCATTATTGAAGGTTTATACCAATAAAAAAGAATTTAATATCGTATGTTTGTTGTTCAAATGGCGAACATCTGAATTTACTGTCAAGACTTTATGGACATATGTTAAATAAAGAATGTGATACAATATGTATATTTCAGCATTTTTCTGTGGATAATTTATCTTTGAATAACATTTTAAACGATTTTTTTGTTCATGCAGAATCATCATGATTGTGATGACTCAATTCGTGCATGAATTTGGACAAAATATTTTTTTTATAAAAAGTGTGTGTTTTAACATGCGCATGGTAATATTTGAGTAGGATGACTTTAATTTTCCATTCAATGGAAATATCAATAAAATGTTCTGTTTCAGTTAGTATTTTGCAGTGACCGGTTCGCGCATATTTCTATGCTTGCCTAAATACGCTAGGTAGCATAGATATCCCAAGCATAGCCGCAAACGCAACCGACGCATCGCCGTTCACTCTATATGAACAATACACATATTCGTTTATGCAGACGACCGTGCGCATACAATATAGCTCGAATCGAATGGCGACGGGTGCCATTGAGTTGCTTAAGAAGAGTATTGTTGTCATCAAAGCGTTGGACGAATATGATTATCCCTATAATTTAGACGGATGTGCTCATGAGTTTAATGGTGAAGACCATTATATTTACGTCTATCTTTATTCAGGACTTAGTTCAACAAAAAGTTTGGTAAATATATAACCAGAATGGAATTGGATTATGACCATGAATATTGGAACCTGACAGAACAGAGCGATAAAAATGTTTGGCTTTGGTATAGGAAGATATCTAATATAAGTAGAATCATCAAGCCATATATACCACAAGTGACAGACTTCGTTTTAAAGGCGACGTATTTTGGTATTTCTGGTATAAAAGTGATTTTGATGTTTTTCCGAATGTGTCAAAGTTTATTTTCAAGAGCGGTTTCATTGCTAATTTTGATAAATTGACGAAAATGTACGATTTTTTTGATATACATATACGACAGATTTGATTTGAGTCGTATGTTCCCAAAATTGGAATCCTTGCATTTGGAAAGTAGATTGGGTGTATGGAAACCACTCGAAAATAACAGGTGCAACTATGATGACATTCCGCAATATTGTCGAATGAAATTTAACCCGATTCGAATGCAAAATCTAACCAATTTGAAAGAATTGACTCTGTTGATGGACCCAGAAGAATATGGCTTAGAAAATGGATTAGAAGAAATTTTCAAAAAAAATCCCAATATATCAAAGCTTCGGTACCAAATTGGTAATAAATTAGACGCTATCTTTGCAATCGAAAAGCACTTGAAAAAATTGAATACACTTGAACTTAACTTACAAGTTGGGTGTGGATTTTTGGAAACATATCATAAATTATTTGAAAATCGTTCAAAGCAGCCATTTGATATACCAAGTATAAAAACGCTTATGATTCACAGAAGTCAATGTGAAGATGAGAGGATAATTGATTTTATTGCAGCTTTCAAAGGTGTCGAAACTCAGTGGGCATTTGAACGCGTTAAAATAACGCGTTACACCGTTTTTTTTAGTGTATCGTTTACACTTTTATGTCGACACTTTTGTATGGAAGTTTTACACTACTTTTATGGTGTATATTTTACACTGATAGTGTATAGTATACCATTACACCACAGATGAATACTTTACACCAAAATCATTGTCCAAAATACATTGCAAAAAATTTCGGTATATTTTTTTCACGAACGGTGTAAAATTTTCAAGTTTTCGATAGAAGTTAAAAGTATATTTTTCTTGTCAACAAATTTAATAATTTTTCCTCTGTAAGACTACAATATTTTGGATTTTTTGTCGTTTCTATGCCCGAAAAATTAAAACGAAAGGTAGTTCTTCGACTGAAATTTGAAACTACCCCCTCTAAAATTTATGCGCCTTTGATATTATGCCGATTTAATAAAAATACTTTTTTTTGAAAATTTGCAATTTTTTCTCATTTTTCATTTTTACTTCAAAAAAGCAATTTTTTTGCCCTCAGATCATGAAAATATTGAAAGATAAGCAATATTGCAATAATTTAAGTCCCAATATTTATGAAATTAATTCATTTTAATATTCTTGAAGATGTGATTACAAACATGTCCTCCATATTTCCATACTTCACACGACAAAAATTATCAAAAATATGGTCTGATGTATATTTTTCACTACTTACGGTAGTGGTGTATATTATGCTCCAAAATCCAGTGATTTATTTATACCATGCGTGTTTAATTTACACTAGATGATAGTGACGCACTGCGTTACTCAAATTTCGTGTATATTTTTCCTGTAAAATTTAATTTCAAGGTTTCTTTTACACTAAATATCGCAGTGTATTTAATACACCGAAATTTACACCAAAAAAATGGTAAAAATACGTTAAATAATTCAAATTTTGCTTGAATACACCAAAATTGGGCAAATACACCGAAATTTTTTGCGATTTTACACTACTTTGAAAAATTTTGCCCACTGAGAAATTTGCATGTTTCTTTAACGACCTGTAATATCAACAATGTTATTAAATCGCTTGGTGATGGCAGTTTGAAATTTGTAAAACACTTTTCTACATCATTTACATCAGACGATACGATAAATGAATGGGTAAGAATAATCATGAGCTCCAAACATTCTTTGAAAAAATACTGATACAAGACGATGAATTAAAATAAATGAGATACTAACTCGCGTTTAAAATAAATCTGATACTTGAAAGATATTGAAAATAAAAGTGGTATGTATCACATTTATTTTCAATTCGTTCAAGTATCAAATTTATTTTCAATTCTGGCTAGTATCTCATTTATTTTAACTCATTTGTGCATTATACTGAGTCTCCGAGAGTTTCATATAAGCCTTCCCATGTAGATGGTAAAAAATTGTGAAAAATGAAAAAAATAATTAAATTTTTTTTCTTCGATTTACAAATACTATTCAATTTTCTGTACCATCTGGTGAAATCAGAATGAAAAAAATCGCATTCCCTATCACCCAAATCACGATTGGCATTCGGTCACTATTCAATAGGTGTTACATAGGAAGTTTATATGAAACTCTAGGAGACTCGGTATAGAGCACCCAAACAGTGAAAAAAGTCCAGATCGTGATTTATATGATATGGGATGCGATTTTTTTCATTCTGATTTCACCAGATGGTACAGAAAATTGAATAGTATTTGTAAATCGAAGAAAAAAAATTTAATTATTTTTTTCATTTTTCACGATTTTTTACCATTTACATGGGAAGGCTTATATGAAACTCTCGGAGACTCGGTATAATGCACAAATGAGTTAAAATAAATGAGATACTAGCCAGAATTGAAAATAAATTTGATACTTGAACGAATTGAAAATAAAAGTGATACATACCGCTTTTATTTTCAATATCTTTCAAGTATCAGATTTATTTTAAACGCGAGTTAGTATCTCATTTATTTTAATTCATCGTCTTGTATCAGTATTTTTTTAAAGAATGTTTGGAGCTCATGATTATTCTTACCCATTCAAATAATGCTGTTGATTTTACACATTGCATAGAAGAGTCAATCTTGGGAAAAGAGTTCAGAATTCAAACCACTAAAAAAAAAGACAAAACAAAGTTGAAAACAGTAAAGTTTACATCGCCAGATAATGAATTTTATGATGATAATATCAATAATCTTAAACCTTTTTATGAAATGATTTATGTTCATCCCGGTTCAAGAATTGAGAAAAAAAAGTGGATTCCATATATGTTGGCAGAAGAACCTTTTAATGTTATAATTTTTAAACAACAAGAACAAGACCAGAAAGAATTTGTCGAACGAAACAAAGCATACGAGTCTGTGATGCATCATCAAAAAAAAGAAGAAATGAAAGACTACATGGAAATAGATTCACTTTTCAGTTAAATTTTGGCGTTATAAATAAATGATCTATCTGAATTAAAATATCTGTATTTTAATGAAAATTGAATTTGCAAATGATGATGTACTCGTTTGCAAAAATTTAATGAAATTATGATTTTTCATCGGCGGTAACTCATTTTTAAGACTTGATTCGGATTCAGCGCCCCAATTTACCCTAAAAATGACTATTCATACCATAATGACTGTCAAAAGCTATCACTAATTCGCTAGATATAAATTATTTTATTTTCGAAAAAATTTTGAAAAGAAAAAATACAAACAACTTTTGAGAAAAAAAAAACAAAGGACAAGTAAATTTTGATGCATTTTTTCTTCGGGGAAGCATTTCTCTCGAGAATCAAAAATGGGAAAATGCAGAATCCGTTGATCGTTCAGTTGATTTCAGTATTTGGATCTTTATACACTCTATTTACAGTATCCAACTACCCAGCCGAGTTGTTTGTAACAGAAACCAGAACAACAAGCTCCTTGACTGCCGTCAGGTTACTGACGATACACTGAAATAGTAAAAAGATATAAAATTTATTGCAATCAAATCAATTCGAAGATCGATTACTGACACCATTATGGCTTGCAATACAGCCCTCAACAGACACCATCGCCATTACCGATACACAAATGATCATCAAATCAAATTCCAATATTTGAGACATGTTGCTTTTGTATTTTAATTGGTATTCACTACTAACTTTATGAGGTTCAACCATGAAATGTTCTACTTTTATACAAATGGATTTCAAATTTGAAATTTTGGTGGGGGAACTAAAATTGCATATCTTGATTGGTATCTTTCGTATTTATTGAAAAACATAACTGAATAACAACTAATAATAATTGATTTAGAAATTTGTGTTGTGTTTTTTTTTCGATAACGTCTGTTTGAATTCCCAAGTGCATTGATCACAATAATGATTATTGCGGAGCAAAGATTATCGCAAAAACGGAAGACAAATTTTCAAGTCAACTATTATTAGTTGTTATTCAGTTATTTACAAAACAGTAATATTTATTATGATGAACAATTTGGGCTTGAGAATTTCACACATTTTTTCGACGAAGAGCACTATGAAAACTAATAAATATTGTCAAGGACCATTTACATCTCAAGGGGATATCAAAACGTCTCTAATACAGCAAAATAAACTTTTACAACGTGTGCCGGGTGGATTTGAAACTAATTTTTATGTAATTTTTCAACGATTTAAAAGTGGTTTCTTGAAAATTTTGGATTATTTTTTTAATATTGTTTTGTATTGAAATACAGAATATTCTGATCTTTAAAACATAATCCATGAGAAATAAGGAGGATTTTTGCGCACAAACTAACATTTTGCGTCTACTCAAAGTTGAATAAAATTGTTAAATACGTGGTTGTGGCAGCACCCATCTGAAAAACACACAGTCACGTTAGACTAATCTTTGAAATTAATTTTTAAAAATGTCATTCATACCGTAAATAACAATGTCCAATCAAATACAAAGAATCCGCACGAAGCAATGGCGTGACGATGTTGCAACTGCTGTGACAATTGAGTTAACTAATTTGAAAGAATCAGTAGTCGAAATGTGTTAAAAATGCTTCGAATGAAAATTGTAAACATACATACCGAAAACGCAACCACATCCACTTCATTGTAGCAATTTAAAATTTCGTGCACAATGTGAGCAGTTCTTTTCCCCTTTTTATCAAAAACAAAATAAAAAGTTACATTTACATAACCACATATTCTTTTCTCACTTGGTATAATATAAGTATTACTTCATTGGCGACACGATTTGATGTATATAAAACCAACAACACAATAACTAAGAAGTATAGTTCCCATTTGAAATGTATCCATGTTGAATCTCTGTAAAGCTCCGTTCGATCACGCAAATATCGATAGCCAGTGTAAAATCCAAGGACAGAATAGGCAAATGTATATGCCATGATAAACATCACCTAATGTCCACGTTAATATCAGGGAATATCTTTCATTTCATAACGAATTACCTGAAATGAATAGCAAATGTTGACATCATCCATGATGTCGATCAGATAGCTATGTTCACGTCCAATGAATTTAATAGCCCTAACAGTATCTTCTTTATTAGAATTGATCAACAATTCTGTAGTTTTTTCATTCAATAATCGATTCCTGGTTATTGAAATAAATGTATCAAAACATGAAAAAAGCTCAAGTAAACAAAAACCTCAAAAAGGAGTTTAATGCAACGAAACGCTTGTGGAGATTTCTTAGGAATGTGATATATGACATTGAAGGAATGAATAAGGACGCAAATTGAAACAAATAGGATCCATAATAGTTGAATAGTTCAAATGCAGTGAAGTGATCAAACAAATTGTAGAATAAATACGTTGTAACGAATAGAAAAATGGCCACCACTGTTCCTACTGCACAGCACACAATATTATTTCGATATTCTTTTTCATAATCAAATTGGATTTCGCTGCGCTGTGCTTTGACCATCAACTGTAAATTTAAACACAAATCATTGTTGAAGTCACTTTAAGAACTTAAAATCACAAGTTTCAATTCACCTTTTTATCGAAAGTGTTGAACATTTTCAAAATATTGAACATTTTGAAACGATTATACATATCCATGGCGATAGTTAGGGCGCCAATGAGAAGTCCCATTATTAAAATCATATAGTCACTATGAATCATGAGGTACGAAGAGTTTGAACTTTTCGGGAGTATGATATTATCGCACTGGAAAATGGCCAACGATATGTATAAACATATTGAGATTACGAACCAAACACAATCTAAAGTTCCAACTCTGAGCTCGTGCGTTGCTACATCCGAATTATAAGTTATCGAAAATGGCATGAGACCGAACATTCGTGAGAAATAATAAATTGGGCGAAAACCATATGCAAAATCCATTTGTTTCCGTTGTATTTTAGCACTTTTATGCCAATCATTGATCGCTGGATGCACCATTCTTATCGTTGTTTCATTTCTTTTACTTTTTCGGATGAATTTCTCCATTGTTTAAGCGAAGAACGTTAACATATTTTATACACTATCAAGTTTTAAACTTCAATGTGCACATGAATGAGGACTTGCAATCCTTAGCCACTTCATTTGCCATCAACGTTATCTGATGATGTACTCGTTTTATCATGACATCGACAGCACCTAATTCGATTTACTTAATTAGAAATTATTGTGCATATAATAGAAGATAACTGGGAAAAGTCATTATTATAAATTAAATTAATTTCCAAGCCGATTGATGCATTTTAATTTAAATTAGTGATTCATACAAATTGTTACACAAAGATACACTTCTCCAGCTTATACTTTTCTCAAAAATAATCGAAAAAGATTTTAAATTCAAGCGGAATATTGATCTGATAAATCGTTTGAATAAATATTTACTATTCTAAAAATAGACTCGTGTAGAGTGAAACTAGTTTTGGTTTTTAGCTCAGAGATTGATATACCGTTGGATAGCTTGACCATTGCTACAAATTTTTTCATCGTCTAAAGTGCGACGCATACAAAAATGTCAAAGAGATTGACAAAAAAGAAAAAAATGAAAACGCAAAAATATTACTGTTTATTGATATATTTATTTAGTGCACTTGAAATTTTAAAAAGAAAACGCTCTTAAATGTGACGAGTCCGCCCTAAAACGACAAGTACCCCAAACATACAAATCCTCTCGCCTCATTTCGATGAAGCTCAAATTCGTGTTACCGTTTCTGGTCGACCATTTAGTAGCCAAGAAGACATTGTCACAAGTACAAATTTTTATTTTTCGTGCTCCGACTAACTTGGCACGTTCTGCATTAAACATTGTCAAAACTACATTTATTTTTCGAGGTATGAATTTAATTTTGTTCAATATCGGCGGTCGATGGAATTCGAAATTTCGGAATTTTTTCGATTTTTTTGTTCAATAGCATAATGTCATCGATATAAGCCCCAAGAATTTGAAGTCGTTCGATTTTCGTCAGGCACTTTGCTAAAATATCTATATCCTTGAGGTCATAGAATCTCTTTAACATAGTTAATTCTCTCAAATTGGTCAATTGGTCTAAATCATAACCTAGATTATAACAATCGCTACATTCAATGCACAATAACTCGAGACCTTTGAGTGACATCAACTTAGTCCTGTTCCCTTCGAAAGCACGAATCTTAAAGTATAGTCGCTTAATGTTGATTTGATAATTCCAAAAGAGTTTCAACTGGTGGATGACAGTAAAATCCATTGAATTCCAATATATCCAATTTTGCATTGGAATTTAAAAGTATGTCACGATTCACCCACAAAAATTCTGTGGTAGTGGGAAATCTCTGTACATTTTGATTACGTACGAAAAATTCACGTAGCTTTTCGGCAAAACTGTGCAGAAGGCATCAATTCTAAGCGTTCAAGCTTGGGATATTTTTGCAATAACCAGTTGTCTATATGTTTTTAGCGGTAACCGGCATCCGAATCTACAATATAAATCTCTTTAAATATAATATTTTTTATAAGAAAATGTCTAGCACATTTGATAGAACATAAAACGTTGTTTCTAAAAACCTTATAAACAATGCAATGTGTGATAGCGCCATCTATATGAAAAAAAAAAAAAAAAAACAAATGGTGTTGCCTGTTTGCGTTTGTAGTGCTTCAATAAGTACAATACACAGCTTGAATGTGTCAAAAACTATGTTTACTAAGTGAGACATTTCGAAGAACAGCCAATTATCAAAATAAGTATTAGTGTCGAGTTTACAGAAACGGTTTAGATTTTGTGTTTGTTTGAAAAATCATTCAATTTAGAATTTAAAAAAAAATGTCAAAACGACGTGGTAAGTATTGAAATGATGCTTAAAAATAATATAAAATGTTTAAAATGGCCGATTGTTTCATTCTAGCAAATGAAGTTGTTGTGGCTCGTGGCCGTTTAAAGGGAGCATTACAAGAGCTTGCAAATGTAAATGACGATGATGATGATTTGGATGCAAGTAAACCAAGCCGTGGACGTCCACCAAAACGTGCCAAAAAAGAACCGACACCACCACCACAGCCGCAAATCCAACATAGTTTCATTATGAAATTGTTCGATCGTTGCGTTGACCTTGCCAAATACAATGAACATACTGCACTTTATCCCATTTGTCGGGCTTGGATGTTAAATCAACCTCGATCTAATGCGATTATCAAGTAAGTTTCAATTTAAAAAAAAAAGCACAAAAATAGCTTTTTTCGAATTATTCTTTTCTAAAGTGTTCAACTTTTTTCTTCAGCTACAAAACCAAAAAGGAAATTTCATTCGTAAAACGCGAAGAGAATGATGATCTTTTGGAGGACATCAAAGCCGAACGAATAACTGAAATCAGCGACTTACCACCATGTAAAGATGTTGACATTTCACGAATACCATTACCATTGCCATTTCAAAAAAATAGCAACAGCACAGAGGACGTGGATAGAGTATGTTGGATTTGTTGATTTTTCTGAACAATTTTACTATTTTACCACAATTTAATTATTCGGAAATATTTGCGTTTTCAATAGGGATTTGACGGACCAAAACATGATCGTAATGTGTTGTTAACGTCGTGGAAAGAGCGTTGGTGCCAAGTACGTAAAAAATGGCTGGATCATACAAAGGATTATGAAGAGAAAAAACACGGTGTCAATATGGCCATTTTAGAGGCATTATACAAAAAATAATACATTCACCATCATCGCAATCGATTTCTTTACCATCATTGTCAATTTCTTATAGTAGCTAAAATCGTTTGGATTTATGAAATCAAAAATGTGACGAGTATTTTTTCAATTTATTTTCCATTTTCACTTTAAATTTCGATTTAGGTCTGGTGTTTAATTTAATGTTTTATATGGACGTGATTTTGTTTATTATTTGGATTTTTTTTCACTTACAGTGTAAATTAGTAAACAAAAACCAATGTACAATTGTACAAACAATCTACAAGTCGACAACATAATTATATAAATTAACATAACATCAGTACAATCATTGGATATTTTGTTATTTTTTTATTGTATTTACGGTAGCGAAAATAGGGGAAATTTAGAAGATTTGTGGAATGATGGCGCGACGATTTTTCGGATAATTTTTGAATGTCTCAAGGTACCATTTATGTTTGAGCCAAGCAAATTCAATTTTCGAAAAAAAATTCAAACAAAAGTAATGAAAAATCAGAGAAAAAGCGTCCACTATGAAATTTAAGCATTTTTTCGCATTCGTTCGTAGAAAATGTTCTATTTCCATTCTGTACTCCATTTTTTAGCGTGTTCGTCGTTTGTACGAAAAATCCGAACATTTAATTTTCAACGAACGAACGCAAAACAATTCTATAAACGAACGAACGAACATAATGTGAACGAACGTTTGTGGACAGCTCTGATATTATTTTCAATCTATTTTGAAGAAGAAGAAAAGGTCAAGTATAATAAATGAGTATTATGCTTGGTTATCTTTAAAATGATTTTAATTTTCCGCACACACCTAGTCCCCAAAGACCCCCTAAAAACATGTTTTCTGGGTGTTTTGGGGGCCAGGGAACATGAATCAGCCATTTCGATGTCCGAAAATTTCTTAACACGATAACTTTCAAACAAGAAAAGTAATTCAAAATCTGACTTCACGGGATGATTGGGGGTGCCGAGGAATAAAAACCATTAGATTTTGAGCGACTTTGGTTGATAAAGTGAAGTGTAATGTCTGGTGTGATGCCCATGGGCATCCATGGGACAAATTCAATTTTTCTTCCAAAAGTGATCTTTAATGTATTCCTAAACACTCAAAAATAAGAATTGGGGGTTTTTGGGTACGAGAAAACCGAAAATGACATTAGTTTTGCGATACAAATAATTTTCGACACACTTTTCATACAAAAATTACAAAAAAATTGGATTTTTGTATGGAAGCCATGCCTGAATGATATCGTAATAAGCTGAAATTTTGCACAGATTATTTTTATCACACAAAAATAACATTCGGAGAGTTTGAAGAAATTTCAATGGATAATAGGGGTACCTCCCATAAAAAATTTTGGACTTTTCGCTCAAAAACGAAAATTTTGTATGGGAAGTACCCCTAATATGCACTGAAGTTTCTTCAAATCTGCTGAGATTATGTAGTTTGGCAATAAAATGAGATTAACAAGTTTTCACTGTAATTAAATTACTGTAACTACACATTTTGGGAAAAATCCGATCAATTTCCGTTTGAAGTAATTTAATCACCATAAAATCTTGTGAATCTTATTTTCTTGTCAAAATACACAATCTCAGCAAATTTAAAGAAATTTCAATACAATATGGGAGTACCTCTCATACAAAATTTTCGATTTTTTGCTCAAAAACGAAAATTTTGTATGGAAGTTGTATTGAAATTTTTTCGAACATTTAGAATGTCGGTTTTTGTGAAAAAAATAACCTCGGCAAAGTTGCCCTACATTCTGTACAATCAAATATTTTGGTTGATAGAGTGACGTGTCATGTCTGGTGTGATGCCCATGGCCATCCATAGGAAAAATTCAATTTTTCTTCCAAAAGTGATATTTAATGTATTCTTAAACACTCAAAAATACGAGAAAACCGAATATGACATTAGTTTTGCGATACAAATAATTTTCGACACACTTTTCATACAAAAATTACAAAAAAATTGGATTTTTGTATGGAAGCCATGCCTGAATGATATCGTAATGAGCTGAAACTTTGCACAGGTTATTTTTATCACACAAAAATAACATTCCGAGAGTTTGGAGACATTTCAATGGATAATAGCCTCCCATACAAAATTTTGGATTTTCCGCTCAAAAACGAAAAGTTTTGTATGGGAAGTACCCCTAATATGCACTGAAGTTTCTTCAAATTTGCTGAGATTATGTAGTTTAGAATTGATGCCTCCTGCAGAATCTTGTCGAATTGAAGAGCTACGTGAATTTTTCGTACGTAATCAAAATAAGTACAAAACACTTCTTTCGAAGTTCCCACTATGACGCAATACTGTAAATCTAAAAATGGTCTGATATAAATTTTCAGTGACGCGTTCGTTCATTTACATACAAATATTAATATTGCGTCGCCTCTTTTACCTCAAGAGAACGATAACATGTAAACAACACGAAAATAATAGAATTCAATGACGTCTTTTGTTTGTGTTAGACTTTCAAAGGCGACGCAATATTAATATTTGTATGTATATGAACGAACGCGTCACTGAAAATTTATATCAGACCATTTTTAGATTTACAGTATTGCGTCACAGTGGGAACTTGAAAATGTCACATAACACGCCACCTGGCGGACATTTTTGAAAAAATTTCTATTTTGACTTCGGATCCAGAAAGGTGAGTCTCATACCTTTCCAACGACGTATAAATCATTGTTGTACCTTACAGATGGCCAGAAAAATGTCCGATTGATGGAAAACTCAAAAGGGGCCTCCCAAAAATTTTCGACCCCAGACCCGAGAGACATACGAGATGAAATCGAAAATTTCAAAAGCACATATATTCTCAGTTTTCCATCTACTTTCAATAAAAATTGGTTTCAAAACGTTTTTCAAAAAGTACGGAGAAAAAAAAGCAGACATACAAACATATCATCCGGCCAATTTTGAGGTTTTTGGCCATTTTTGGCAAATTGACCATATCTCGTCCACTTTTCAACCGATCGTGATGATATTTTTTGTTATTATAAATTTGACCCCCCCTGAAAAAAAAAACCGTGCGCACGTGTGATACTCGTGACAATGTCTTCTTGGCTACCAAATGGTCGACCAGAAACGGCGACGCGAAATGAGAAGAGAGGATTCGTATTTTTGGGGTCCATATCTTTTTAGGACAGATAAGTCATATACAAGGAAGAGAACCCACGTGAAACGCCGTTTTCGTTTTAAAATTTTAAGTCCACTAAATAAATATCTCAATAAAGAGTAACATTTTTGTGTTTTCGTTTTGTCTCTTTTTTGACAATTCCCTTGACATTTTTGTGTGCGCCGTACTTTAGACGATGAAAAAATTTATTTGGCCAAAAATCTCAATTTTTTATTTTATTCGCAATCAAATCACTTTTTTCAGCATAGTTCGAACGGTATATCAATCTCTTCGATATCTTTTCATTTAAACATTTTCTGTGCAGATAAACTTATTCCATTATACGTATGAGGTCATTTGCTGAGCATATTTTATTATACAAATATCAAAACGGTTTCTTAAGCGAAAGTGAAACGATTGTTTTTTTTTTTTTCAGTGTTTTCTTATGATTGTAACTTCCAATTACAAACATCAGATTTTAGGTGGAAAAATATCGAGAGAGGTAAGCATAGAATCCAATTCTAGTGTAAAAAAGAGTTTTTTGATTCCACTCGAAAAAAATAATTACGGGGGAGAATTTGGATAAAAAATATGGGGGGTAATCGTAATTTATAACAGACAATATATTGAACTAACTGGTCAGTTGAGCTGACAGTACGTTAGCCAGCTAAATGGACTAAAACAATAGAAGTTATTGTTATAATGAACAATCACTTCTATTAAAACAAGAAAAGTGATTCATCATTAAAACAATAACGTCTATTGTTTTAGCCCATTTAGCTGGCTAACGTACTGTCAGCTCAACTGACCAGTTAATTCAATATATTGTCTGATTTATAATGAGGTAATTAGAAACGAGATTTTTTTAATACTGACATTCGCATTTATTAAGACTTAAATAAAAAAAATCCATCATTTATTGAGTATATGCCAATTTTACTGGCTTTTTACAAATAAAATTTCAATTTTTCACCCGTTCGGGTGTCGTAGTTCTTAAATTTTCTTAATCGTATTTTTAAATCTCCTGAAATCCTTGATAATTCTAAAATTCTATAGAATTTTAAGTTTTAAGTTTAAAAAATATAAATTCACTCGATAAAACAAAATCCGTCAGAAAATGTCAATATGCTTAGAATTAGAACTCATTAACACTAGATCCTTAATTGTATGGCAATTAATTTTAATTATTTGCTTCGACCAAGTGAAGCGGTGTACATTGAACCAGATTCACCATCATAATGTAGTAAATCTGGTGTTTTATTGCCGCGATAAGTGCGTTTAACAGCGCGTTTCTTTTCCAAGTCAATTATTGTGGCTGCTGCGTTTGCTTCAATTGTTTGTAAGCTTTGGGTGCGCTGAAGTGAGAGTCGTAATGGTTTTTTCGGCGGTGTTGGTCGGCTATTTCGTATTCGTGATGTGTTTGATAATGGTGTTGCAACCGGTTCGGACGTATAATCTACTTCACGTGGTTTTCGGCTAACATTGTGCTTTGGGATGCTTGATATATTCGATTTTGTTTCATCATCAAAATTTAAACTTTTTGCACTACGAATATCAATCGAATTTCCACCCTTTTTGTACCGATATCGACTGAAAATTTATATCATTATTAATATGAAGTTGAAAATTCGTTTCTTATTTGAGAGCCATTTCAAAAATTATACGTACCTTTCCATTCCAGCATAACCTTCATTGTGATCGACTTGCCTTGTTTTGAGTGATTTTGTTTCACATTTTGGTGTCTATAAAAATGTTCACAGAACAACGAATAAGTAAAAAAAAAGAGATAAAATTGAGCAAAATAGCGCTAACTTACTTCATCGTAAAGCAAATCGGGATGGGAATGACGATGTGAATGCGCACGTTGATTCATGTGATTTTCCTTTGAATGATCATGGTTTTTTTCTTTTTGCTTCAAAAAAGTGTGTACACTATTTTCGTTTTTATCGTGTGCCAGTTTCGATGGTGTCTCATACAATTTTCCATTATTCGATCCAATAAATTGATGCGAATGGCTGTGTTGAAGACCAGGACGTGGTAGGTGATGATAGTTGAAACTGTGATTTGATGTTGGTGTTGAACTTCCATCTTTGCTACTGGTTTTATGCATGGATTTTGTGTTTGTAGATAATGGTTCGTTAATTTTAATTGGTATCGAATTCGATGATGTTTGTATTGCCTTTCCTCCGACTATGGTTGCAATAAAATTGCCCCGCTGGAAGACCTGAGGCTTATCATTATTATCTTGATTACTCGATGAAATGCTGATGCTTGTGACATGGCCCTTAAAATGATTTTGATTGGTTTGTTGGTTTTTAGTTTGATTTTGACCTAAGGTCGGTGCCATTATTATATCTTTGGTTGATTGCTGCAACTCTTTTACCAAATCTTCCAAATATGAAATGCGATGTTGCAAGCGTTGATTATCTTCTTGTGATTGTAACAACGATTGACTATTATTCGGTTGTGATTTCTTTTTTCGTATTACAACTAGCTCACATCGTCCGGTTGAGTCATTCAGCTTTTGAATGTCCTCTTTCGATTGGACATTGATGAATTTTCCATTATATTCGATTATGCGATCACCTTGACATAAAGCTTCGCCATCTAAAGCCCATTCGATATAGATTCCACCGTCATCTTTGATATTGATACCAAAACGACCAAGATTCGCATTCACCGAATACAGCGACAAATTTATGCCATTTTTAAGCTGAAAATATAATGTGGATTGTTGATTTGCACCATCTGATTTCAACGTCTTATCAAGGCGATACTGTAGTGCACGAATCTCTTCTACCAATGACAATAATTGCAGTTCTTCGCGTCCCAGCGCATATTCGATTTCTGCTTGCCGGATTCTAATGTCGATGTTACTGCAAATGAATAATAAACGGATTCAACACGGATTATTGAAGTTAATATGAGTAATGGTTGACTTTTTTTTTAAATGTACATCACTCACTCTGTAATATCTAAGCTTTCCAATGCAGTTTTTAAATTTCGTATCGTAATACGTTTTTTATCAGCATCATTTCGAAGTTTTTGTAATTCATGTTCAGCTTTTGAAATTTCTGCTTCGTCCAATGGAATTCCCGGTCGCGGAAGCTTTCCCAAACCCAATTGCACTCGCAAACTCTGAATTATTGCTTCACGCTCTTGTAGAGCCGACTGATGCTCTGGTTTCATATTTGAATGTAGGCCCGAATGAGTGTCAGTGCTCGAATGAGTGGCCGGAATCAGTTGCCTTGATGACACCGAACTTCCTCCACCCAATGATGTACCTGTATTCATTTAAATTAAAAAAATATACATATTCATTTCAAATGTCAATCAGTTCTATTCAAAATAAAGTTTAAATGCTATGTACCTTTTCGTCGTCTTGGTGTATTTGTGCTGTTACTCAATGACACTTCTATATTGGCCATCTGAAAAAAGTGATACCATTATTTTTTTAAATCCTTCTGCATACCAAAAAATACATAATTTCGTCAATTTCATTGATTTTTTCATACATTTTCTATGCGCGGAGCGCTCTACTAGTACCGCTGCAATTCAATAGTTTTAACTATGCAATAAAATCTATGAGAACCAATCTCAAGGACCAAACCACTCGAAGATTAAAATTTCGATAAAAAGTAAGAATGAATTTTTTTTGTGGATATTTTGTATCGGTTTCGTTTTGGTTTAAGATATGGAGTATTTACATAAAAAATAACCGGAAAAACGCACTTTTGAAAAAAATGAAATTTTTTCAGATAAAAACATACACTCAGCATTGAGCTCTAACGTTTTCTTGCAGTGAAGACATTACGACGTATTTCGAAAAAAGTCTTGCAATCAAAAAATCCTATTAAATATTTGCGTCTGGGTGAACACTTATTTTAAAAACGGAACTTACCTTAGCTTCTAATGATTCTAAATGTGTCATTCTCGGTTGAGGTTTTTGTGGTGATAAAATTGACTAAAAGAAAATTCCATTCATCAACAACTGAAAAAATAAATAACTGAAAACACTGGTATTTACCATCGATTGAGAACGTTCTGTTTGAAATATACGTGGTCCACTTAGTACACTTCCGCAATCCATTTCTAAACGGGAGAATAAGATATACCATATGGCAAACTTGTTAGTTTTCATGTAATTTAATGGAAACCGTTCTTCTGCTTAGAACTTCTGAATATTTCATTCGCATTCTATTCGATTGAAAAATGTCTTTAAACAAACAAAAAAAATCGGCTATCAACTGAATTTTACTTGTTGAATATTTTGGTACGGGCTACCGTCGAGTCTCATGATAAATTCAATGGAATTCGACGTTAAAACGATTCGTATTTACAAATTACAAAAACGAAACAGTTTTTATTGAAAGATATACGTCTAATCCGAACCGAAATCTATTGTTTGGGAAGAAATACTCCAGTTTGAATTTGTCAACATCATAAAACCAGTTATTTTGAACAAGACATTTGAATAAACTTCTATTAGTTCACTTCTTTTGTCCAACAGACGATTGTCGCCAACATTTAGCCATAAAACATTAACACTAAACTTCTCGTTCACAAATGAAATACAAAACAGCAAAAGTTACATCGGACAAATTGTGTGAATACAATTTCTTGTATTTAAAAAACGAAAAGACAAAACTACCCACTTGTATTTAATTGTTTATCTGGAACGATTTATGCATTTTCATATAAATTTTCAAACACATTCTATTAGGCACAAAACCACATTCACTTTTTGTTTTATTAAACAAAGTCTTTTTAGCATTATGATCTCTTTTGGATGATGCTGATAATGATAAATGCACTTCTCAAATGTGACACAAATATATACGATATCGAAATTTAGAACCAAACAAATAAATAAATAAAATAAGATAAAATTAATATGATTTTATTTATATAAATATTCAAAGAATACTATGCATCAAACAAAAATAAAACGTACAATGTACACCAGTCGATGAGATCTTGCGACGCGGTTATACAATACCACTACAGACAACCGCTTTGTAACGCATACAATACAATTAAGAATGTATACATGTGAGAAATGGTGTGTATGTAGTTGTAGCATTCGCAACGATCGTTTGGGCGCGCATATGTAACTATGTTACAGTTCAATAACCATAAATTATTGTTTAGATACTTGACTATAGTCATATATGCGCTGTAATTAGAAGCGTCATATGCAACTATTTTTCCCTTTCGGATGTAGATGAATTTTTTCTCTGTTTTTTTTTTTCTGCTGAAGATAAATGCTTAACGGCAAACAGAAATATGTGTGTGTGTGTGTTTGTGATAAAATGGTCGAGAAACAGTTTGATGAAGTGTGTAAGAGAGAAATGAAAAACTCAATAGATGATTGTAGTAATTTATAGTCGATTTATTGTAGCAAAAATGAAACATAAATATTAAATTTATTGAAATTTTGTTGCACCCAACTGTTCAATGAGCTCCTTCATTTCACGCCTTTTCTCATTACAATTGATAACTATGTCGGTTGATGGTTGAACGGATGAATTGCCATCGGTTTGTTCGAAATTGTCGCAAAGAAACTTTTTCGCAAACTCTAATAAAAACAAACCACAATCATAATCGTTGTCTTGTTGAATGATTGGCACAATGTCGATGGACACTTCCATAAAATCAATGAATTGACCATGTTCTGTTGTTATTTGCTCCTGAATGAATGTCAATAGCTTTTTCAACAGTGTCGAACGTTGTGTTTTTAAAAATGTGATTGATGAATCGAGAACAATAATGCGTGGACATTCTTTTGGTTCATATTTGTCACAAATGAGATTTCGTGGATAACATATGATGATCAAAAACCAATGATGATTCGCATTCACTGGAATTAAAACGAATTCTTTGTTTAGAATTTGTAGTTTTGGTAGTGGTAGATTTTCATTGTTTTCTTGCAGTATTTTCTGATGGAATAGGCTCGGACAGATTTCGACTTTTTGTCGTTGCTCTTTTGACAATATTGCATCGTACAAATATTTTAAATAAAAGTCAAGTATTGCGTCGTTTAACAATCCTTCGGATTCAAGTGTTTCCATGTCAAATGGAAAAATCTGAATACCACCATATTCCAGAATGGGATCCATAATTGTAGAAATATCCTAAATAAAACTGGTCACTTAGCGTGTTTATATCAACAAAATTTATTAGTTGACATTTGAGCTGTCAATTCGTGGAATATGACGTTTTCAAACCAGTTACATATTTAAAAAAAAAAAGAAGAATGAAACGACAATTGATTTTCAAATGTTTTTATTTTTTTTTTTTTTTTTTAATCTGAAAAAACTGAAAAGCGGTTACAATCACATAAGAACGAATAAATAAGCATTAAGGAATGAAAATAATTAGTGTTTAGATGGTGAACCATTTTTTTTGTTTTGTTTAGTTTTTGTCGTGTGTGTGTGTGTTGCCAATGAACAAATCTTAAAAAAATCAACAAATTCAAATGCAGTGTGGTCGTCTTATTATCTTTGACAACGATTTTTAATTTATTATTTTTGTTTTTTTTTTAATTTTTTTTTTTAATTATTATATTAATGAATTCAACACTACTAAGACGCGCCTCAAACAAAATTAAGCATTTTAATTTTTGACCTTTTGTTGCAATTGTCTTTTTTTTACTTCTTCAAATTCGATAAACGTTTGTTGCAATTAAATGAAAGCGAATAATATAGCAAATTTATCACAAATGGCAGAAATATTATCTGAAACTTGGGATGTGTTTTCTTTATTACTTGTTTTGTTAAAATAAATTTGGTTTTCGTTTTGTTTCGATTAATTTCGAAACAATTTCTTCCGAACGAAATTTTTTTTTTATGAAAACTTTTTAACAAATCTTTTATTTGTTACATTTATGGGATGTTGGGGGAGGGGAGGGGGAGGGCTTGGCTACAAATTAGATTGAATTGATTGTTTTCATTCAAATGAGACGATGTGGAAAAGCTAACTTCGTAAAGTCAAAATCAGTATAAATAAATTTTTGTAAGCGAAACATCGTTTTAAGCAAATTAACGCAAAAATTTCATGTGACAAATGCAAAATAAAAAAAAAAATGTTTGGAACGAAGTACGTCGAAATCAACTATTCTCGGAATTGGTTTGGAAATATAATGATTGTTTTATGACATTTTTATTGATTGTTTTTTTCTCTTCTTCTTTCGTGTGTGTGTGTGTATGTTGAGATCTCATTGGGCATTCATTTCATTCCTGTAGCTAACTCTTTTTTTTTTGTAATGGTTTTTCTTTTATCTGTATGATTTTCTCACAAATATGGAAACGGTTCACTACTATCTAAGGTTCACGAATTTGAAACACCGGTCACGTAAATTTCACGCAATGTCGCTGTCTCCGATAAAACTATTATCGCGTCTCAAGATTTTGCTTACAAAAATTTGCTATTCACGATCATGACTTACTATTATGCGCCTTCTCAATATAAACATTAAGCAATCTGGAGATAAGAGAGAGAGAGAGAGAGAGAGAGAGAGAGATATCCAATTAGAAAAATTAATGATTTTTGCTTTGTTACGTTGAAATTATACCTTCGTTTACTAGGACTTAAATCTCTCAAATACGGCATGACTCTTGCTTCGCCCAATACAACATAGAAACGCACAATACAAAATACGGCTGCCTTTCGCACCATCGATTGGCAATCATCCGTTCGCTAAATTGAAAAATAATCACATCATTCTTGTTGTTGTTGTTGTTGAATAATTGAACGTAAAAATGAATGTTATTTTACCTTTGCAATACCTATCATCAAGTTTTCTATGTGAGCATCTGTAAATTGTTCACTTTGATTTGTTACTAATTCGGTTAGCAATTTTATTGCACACAAACTAGTCGGAAATTCACCGGTTGCTATCACTGGGTTTAGTATGTTAATTGTTCCATCAACAGGTAATACACTTGCAATTGGTTTTAAAATTTCATCGATTTTTGCAGCAACCTTACAAACAAACAAAAAAAAAAAACATTTATAAATTTAAATTGAAACAATTGTGCAAACATTTCGAGCAATCGAAAGAGAGAGAGAGAGAGAGAGAGAGAGAGAGAGAGAGAGAGAGAGAGA